CGCCCTTACGTTTAACATCTTATTAATACTTGATCACTTAAGTTAGTAGAAGTTGTTTCATACTTCCTCGGAAAAGGGTTGGGGAAAAGAAATAATGGGGAGGGGTTTGGGATTGTGGCGGCTCGGCCCTCCCGTCCCATTACTTTTAAAAAAATTAATAATAATAATAATAACAATTATGTTATTATTATTATTATTCCTAGCCCGCGATTGTAATCCTTCGTACGTAACCGTTAACCCAACCGTTCACGTATTCTGGTCGAACCTGAACCCAAAATTCGGGGTGTACACAGCTCATATCAAAGGAAAGAGAAATTGTTTTGGTTAGATTAGTTTTAGCTGAAATCCTAGACTCAAACGATACTGTGGTGGGAATCGATATTACCTTTATAACTTAATTTGCAAGGTCGCCGGAGCACGAAGAAGCTAGCGTCGACGATGAGGCAGCCGGAGTAGTAGAAGAGACGGTTCTCTTAAATTGCTTTTCCTAATCGCAGATGTCGGCGATTGACTTGAGGGCGCAGGCAAAAAAACCTAAAGGAAAAATACCTTTTTAATAATTTCCCCCTTTAATTGATAATAATTTATAACAAAAATATAAATAAAACAAAACATAAATGAAAGGAATTAACCTGACGTCTGGCAGCTCCTCCGTCCATTTCCCATCAAAATAAACATATCCAAACCCAATTTCCGTTGCGTTCAAATCCAACATCCATCTAATAATTAATTAACAAAAAAGAATCAATCACGTAGTGCCACGTGGCTGGGTAGCAACGGAAGGCTACAACCCAGCCAACAGCCAAATTTTGGCCTTTTTGTTTAACCCACTAATCATGTTGTATCCATTTATAATAGTGTCTAGATATAATCACTGAATTATAATCAGTTTTTTTGGTAATCGAATTATAATCAGTTAATTCACTGAAATGGACTTGTCACCACTCGCTTGGCACTGAATTATTAGGCACCCACTGACGGACTGATTTGTGGAAATTGCCAATATGCCCTTCTCTCTGTATTTCTACCCATCATATTCTATCCACCACTATATAAACTTCACTCGATATGATGCTGCCCCAAACAAAACACATGAGTTCGTTCTTTCTGACCATAATTAAGGTCCCTCTCTCCCTTATCTAAAAATATCATCAATATTCTTAATAAATTAATTGACCAAGGTATCAAGGATGGACCCGATTCCCAACGCGTTCGCCGTCCTTGTGACGATCATTGCATCCCTCGCGAGCTTTACGTTCGGTTTTGGATACCGTAAGTAAAGTTGTGCCCTAACTATTATTATATTAATTAATTATACACATTCTAACTAGCGAAATTCAATCGTAACAGTACTTTTTTTTCCCCATTCACCCAAGTAATTGATCGTAACTGCATGCATGGCCATTGCCAAGCTAAGCTATATCCCTTTTGCTGACATTTCGAATTGTTATTTGCATCCAGAAAGTTGCGTATTGGTTACGGCCGCGACCACCCCTATGATGCAGGAGCTGGACCTGTCCGAGGCGGACATTTTCGAGAAGCTCATCATGAACATGCCTTTTTGCGTTGCGTGCTTCATTTCCGGACTAGCAGCCGACACTTTCGGCCGGCGACCAACGCTTATTGCGTCGGCGATATTGTCTTTCACGGGGTTCATCGTCATGACGCATTCCTTTTCCTATACCACCTTCCTAGTCGGCCGGTACCTCTCCCTCTTCGGGATCGGAGTGGGTGCCACCGTGGCTCCGCTCTACATCGGCGAAGTCGCTTATCCGAGCCAACGAGGGTTCCTCAACACCATCCCAGAAGTGAGTGAGAATTAACTATCTAAAAACTCGCGCGACCGATCGATCATTTGTGCTTTAATTTTTTCCCCAATTAAAAACTAGCTATGGTGGCCTGGCCTGGTAATTTATTTTTTGCCTCACATCACTAATTATCTATAGAGGCACATACAATTTTTGTTGCTAATTAGGGAATTGGAGGCATAAATTTTTAGTTCCTAATCTCACTTTTTAAAGATTATATTTTAATTAAAATTTCCATTCTAAAGTGATAAGTATTTAATTTACCACTAATTAATGTTATTATCAGTGACAGATATTTTGGCTTGTAATAGTAAATTTAGGTGATTGATTATTACATTGCTTTTAGATAATTAGGAATTTCTTATAAAAATTAAGCACTTCCTTTTTTGTATCAAATTATATATTAGTATCCGAAGCCATTTTTAGAACCAATCTTATCTTATTCCTCTTTCAGCAAATAGGCAAGTCTCTGTCCATTGGAAATAGTTATAAAAATTGATGTTATTCGCAAATAGGTATACGAATTAAGGCAAAAGTTTAGAGGACAGTTATACAAATGCACGTGTTGCTAAAAATGATATATCATTTCAATTAAAATTAAATATAAAGTAGTAAGGGGTACGGTTTTGAGGCAATTAATTAATAATTCATACTCATATAGAGGCAAATAAATAATGTATCAGTCGCGGGTTTATAGCATATATTTTAAGAGGCAAATTAAATATATTATGTGTCGCTAAAACCGGATTTTCTGTTTTGTTCTGGCGCGCGTGCACGCAGATATTCCGGATCATGGGAGTGTGGATGGCTGTCGTAGCACGCGCCGCCGTGGGGCCCAGCTCGCGGTGGCGAATAATCTTCGGGGTGGGCAGTGTCCCGCCGTTCGTAATGGGTCTCGGCATGCTTCTGTTGCCGGATTCCCCAAGCTGGCTAATCGTTAACGGATGGGTCGCCGACACAGCGTACGTCCTCAGAAAAACCTCTTCACCACTCGAGGTAAAGAAAAGAATGAAATTCCTAGCAAAGGCCGCGAAGATCCCAGGCAGGGCGATCCGCAGGAATGTGGTCTATTCCCCAATTCCCGATGACACAGACACGTGCGGGAAAACGCTCCGCAACCCTAACAACCTCAAACTCCTCAAACCAATCTTCGCGTCCATCCTCGCTCTCCATTTCTTCCAGCAGGCCTCCGGCGTAGACTTCATCACCTACGACACAATTTTGACGTTCGGCATCTCGGACCCGTTCGGCCCAAGGGCGTACCTACTGGGCCGGATCCCATTCATCTGCGGGAGCCTGCTTCCGCTTTTCGTCCCATTGGTCGTGTCCGACGTGGTGGGCCGCAAAACGCTCATTCTCTGCAGCATGGCTGCGGTGGGAGTGTCGTTGCTCGCGATCAACCTGCTCTGGTGGGCCGGGAACTCCAAAATCCTCATCAGCGAGACGACTGCCACCACACTGTACAAGTGGAGCTCGGTGTTGTTTCTAGCGTCGTTTTCGATGGGCCTGGGGCCCATGACTTGGGTCCACACGTCCGAGGGCTTCCCTTTTAAGATCAGAGCCCAGCTTTTTGGGGTGATGATGACGTTCGACCAGATGGTCAGCCTTGGGCTAAGCAAGACTAGAGTCGTCCTGGACACAAAGGTGAAGGGAGTTCCGAATCTGTTTTTCGTCATTATCTTTGGTATATCTACGATTGGGATATTGGTGTGTTGGAAATGTATCAAAGAAACAAACAATCAGTGTCTCGAGGAAATCGATCTGCTGCTGATGGGCAAGAAGGTGGAGGAAGTAGAAGCACGAGATCAGGAACAAGTGGTTGGGGCGGGCACCATTAATGTCGAGTTAGTTCCGTTAGCTGAGCTCACTGTGTAAGTGGTTGTTGGGAAACTCGTCTTACTAAATAAAGGAAGCACTAATTAAGTTGTAGAAATGCGTGTCATCCAAGTGAATCATATATGCTTGCAACTATTTACTTGATTACTTGCCCTGTGATTGTGACATGGAACAATATTAATGCCAATAATTAGTAATAACCTCGTACGAGGACGAGGACCCTTTGTCTCGATCGTCGTTTAACCCCCACATGTTTGACAGCTGTCTGTGACTCACTTCAAGGTAATTATAAGTAGTTTTGCTACAAAAACAAAAAGTTTCACAACCTAACTAACATTGGCTGCAATAAGTCCATTGTTTACTATTAAAAAAAAACAAAGCATTAATAAACGAATACAATTTTAGAAGAACAGATCATTTAGTAGCTGTAGTAAATGGTTTGTACTTTTTTCCAGTCAATTAATTTTTAATTTTTCCAATCAAATCATTTGATAACATAATGATTCTTACTTTCTTACAAAACCAAACGTTATTGGTTATAATATTTTGAACACCAATTATGTAATCTTAGATAACTAATTAATTTGGTTCCAGCCACTAAATTATTCGGCTCTGTTTATATTGGTGTTTAATAAAATTTGTGGATAATATATATAGGGTGAATTTCAAATGCATATCTAATATGTTAAATGTGAATTTCATATGCATCAATAGGTAATGATTTGAAATTTCTCATAGCATCACATAGAATTGTTCACAAAAATTTAAAGCATCAAGTATTATGACTCAAGGCAAGTAACTATGTAACAAAAAAACAACAAGATACCAAATGAGCTATCCTATTAACATTTCGACCAGCAAACATGCGACCATATGCCAGAAAAGACTTGCCAGAAAATTTAAAGCATCAAGTATTATTAAGGACCGAATTTTACAAAGGATTGCTCTTCCCCTACCCTACCAGTTGTTGCCGATCAAATCAAAACATTAATCAATGGCCATTTGGCATCACCACCGAAGAGGGCTGAACCCAAATTGAGAAGCGAGCCCAAAATTAGATCATTCCTGACCAGGCCCAATCTAAATTTAGACCTCGGTTTTGGGCTAATAATACAATAGTTCTGAATTCTAATCGAAGCGTGGCCTACTCTAGAATTCTGGCGTGCTTCGACTTCGCTACCGCCGTCGAATCAAAAGAGGAACGAAAAAGCAAATCGCGAATATCTCTGCTCTGCATTACTAAATCCCAAGCTGTCCTTCTTGTAGGAAACTAGGAATCCTGACCTTCGGTGGGAATCAATCTCGATTTTCATTTTTCAATCCAGTTTGGCGGGGAATTACTGGCGGCAAGCAAAAATGGAAGCTCTGAAATCGGCCATGGACCAGCACTTGGACCAGATGGCGGATCTGGTTCAGAAGCTTTCTTCCGAGCTCCGATCCGGCCTCCAACCCGCTTACGAGAATTTCATGGGTTTCTTTCACGCCATTGACTGGACGGTACTCTCTTCCTCTCTTCTTATCTCTCAAGCTCAGCTTATTCCCTCAGCTTCTGGGTTTTTGTCGTTAATGGAGTTGCGTTGAATTTCGTTGTTTGACATTGTTGTTGCAGGAGCCTTGGTTAATGGGTATGATGGGATTCCATGTATTTCTATTGCTAGTAGTTATATTCTCGAGGAAGAGCACTAATTTCCAGATGGGGCTGTTCCTTCTCACCTGTGAGTTCTCCTTTTCTCTTGAATTTCCATCTAGATTCTGGCTTGAATTGAATATCTAGGGATTTGAGGTGTCTGGATTATATTGAAAATGTGTCTCTTTGCTCATTATTTGATTTACTTGTTCTTCTGGCCCCTTTCTGCAAGGAAGGGTAGGGAACAAAATATACAAAACAGTGATAGACCTAAATTTAGATTTATGGTGAACTTTTGCTTCTGCGGCTAGGATAGATAATGCTGCTAGTGTATTTCACTGAAATGGAGCTATGACTAGGGTTCTTATAACTAAAGATCAACACTTTTGCTTCCCCTGATTTGCTAAGCAAGTGACTGCTGTGCAATGGCTGATATGGTGGTGATAGAATCTCTTGTGCATCGGTTTCATATTTGTTTAGTCTAAGATATGACTAGGTTTGGTCTGTGCTGCTTGTTAGTTGTTACATTAATCTTGGATGTATTGTAGTGGCCGGTGTACGGTTTGCTGAGATCCTGAACAGAATACTTCGAAACAACTGGAGGAACTTTGCAACCCAGAACTACTTCGATCCACATGGTCTCTTTCTTTCAGCCGTCTGGTCAGGGCCTCTGCTCGTCATTGCATGTCTAATCTTGGTCAGCTATCCCTTCATCGCCTTTCATTCGCCTACCTTTGTGTTTGTTAGTCCATGCCAAATGTTTTTGACAGTGTTTTGATAACATTTTGTTGCAGATAAACTCACTCTTCAACCTCTGCTACATGATCGTGAGGTGGAAAAGGGCGGAGCTCAAACACCGGGTCAGACTTGCTCGCGATAAGCAGGAATGAGATGGGTCTAGTTCTTCAATTAGGAACAACAATGATCATACGAAGAAACCTAAAACGCTTCCATGCTGGAAGTTTTTGCAGTTACGAAAAAGAATGCTACTGAACTCTTTCAATTCGATTCTTTTTGCTCTAGTTATTGGAATGTGTAAATTGTTGATACTCAACCCTAGATTCGGACTCGAACTACTGGTTAGACTGATCTGTAGCTCTCCTGGTTTGTTCAGAATCATGGGCTTCCATATCTTGCTCTGTATCATATGTCTTCATCAGCTCTTCAATGTTGTAGTTATAGATGTTTCCTATGAACCAAAGATGTAAAATGATTCTGACCACGTAGCTTAAAGATGCATCTACCCCACCGCCTCACCTTATGTGCCCACCACCGCACCTTTTCCGGAAAATCCACCGCCACGGCCCTCAGTTACTCAAGTAACTTCAGACAACCTTCAGACATAAAGTAAAATTGCATGTAATTTAAGCATTTTGAGTTACAGATGAATAATACAATATCAGAAGTATTTAAGCATAATGAGTCGAGAATTAGGTGAATCATAGAAGATCACGTCGATTATAATACACATACCTGCTTCTCCTTACCTACGATACGATGCGAGTATTACCCATCAAAACATGTCAAACGAATCCAGTAAAACGGGCAAGGTCTAAATTACCAAGTCTTTTCCCCAATGCAAATCTGCAACTTCTGTACTCTTCTCTCAAGGCCATGCTTCACAAAGGAGAAGGAAAGGTTATGATCACACTTCATCCCAATAATGGGCAGGCAATAACTTCCCGATTGGGTGAGTGAATTGAAGCATATTGAAGAGTTCAAATTTGCCCTGGCCATGCCGGAAAGTGAAGTGGTCCTGCCTTGGAGGTTACTCGTTATGAATGAGGCTCAAGTCTGTGAAAAGTGAGAGTTGGAATCCGTATAAGGGAAGGACTATGTATTTACCAACCCTCGAAACAAACCACATGGGAGCGAGGGATGGAGGAGGGAGGAATTAGGTATAACTTCATGAACTTTTGGACCCTTTCGTCGGATCGATCCCTCTTGTCATTCCTCCAACCACTCTTTTCTTCTGCAAAATCTCTCCAAGTTCGACTTATGATGAAAGACTGTAACAGAACATTTCCAGGGAATCCCTTTTTACCTCATCTATATATACCGCCAATGGCAGCTCAAAGTTTCTCAATTACCACAATCAAGCAGAAGACAAAAACAAAAATGGCCAACTGGGTAGCTGCTTTCCTGATCATAATTACTCTGGAGCTGGGAATTTCTACTTCTGCTGCTACCTTGAACGAGACGTGCCTTGGAGCTGACATCAGCTTCCAACTCCAGTTCAATCTCTACCAGAACAGCTGCCCTGAAGCCGAATCCATCGTCTTCTCGTGGGTTCAATCCGCCGTTGCCGTCGACCCAAGAATGGCCGCTTCTCTCCTCCGCCTTCACTTCCACGACTGCTTCGTCAATGCAAGAGCTCATAAACTTTTCGTCAATGTTATTAAGAAACCACACATTATCTACATTGACAGACTCTGATTTTTTATTTTTTTTTTTTAACTTCCAATGCAGGGGTGCGACGGCTCTGTTTTGCTGGACGACACGGCGACGTTTCAAGGGGAGAAGACGGCGCCGCCGAACTTGAATTCGCTGAGAGGGTTTGAAGTGATCGATGCAATCAAATCGGATCTGGAATCGGTTTGCCCTGAAACCGTCTCTTGCGCTGACGTTCTCGCCATTGCTGCCCGCGACTCTGTTTTCCTCGTAACCATACTCTGTTTTCTTTCCCCTGTTTTGCTTTCTAAAACTAAAATGTTTTTAAGAAAGAAGTTACAAATCGGGTTTACTATTTCTGCAGACAGGGGGACCCAGCTGGGAAGTTCAGATGGGGAGGAAGGACGGCGTATCGGCGAGCAAAGCGGCGGCCACGGCCAGCCTTCCGGGGCCGAATTCCACGGTGGCGGTTCTACTTGCCAATTTTCAGAACGTTGGGCTCAGTCTAAACGACGTCGTCGCTCTTTCCGGTAAAACGTGATTACTTGAATCATATTTTTTTTTTTTTTTTTCGTGTGTTTGAAAATCGTACCGCATCGACAGTCCCACTAAACTTATAATAGGTGAATTGTATTCGTATGTAGGTTGAACTACGCTTGAAACATGAGTTCGACATAAAACAGTTTATAGTTGACTTTTCCTCTTTTGTATTAAGTAGTAAATTATGCTTACTGTACCTTATTTGGCAGGGGCCCACACAATCGGGAAAGCCAGGTGCTCATCGTTCAGCTCACGAATCTCCGGCGGCGCTGGCGGCGGTCCGGACATCAATTTGGATTTTGTCCAGTCCCTACAGCAGCTGTGCTCATCGCCAGACCTCTCTACGACGGCCACCACGGCGGCGGTGGCGGAGCTGGACAAGGGGACGCCGTTCACGTTCGACAACCAGTACTACACGAACCTGTTGTCGGGGGAAGGGCTGCTGCCGTCGGACCAGGCGCTGGCGGGGCAAGACCAGGAGACGAGGATGATCGTCGAGACGTACGTCGAGGATTCGGACAGGTTCTTCGAGGATTTCAAGGCTTCGATGGTGAGAATGGGGAGCTTGGTTGGAGTTGTCGGTAACACGGGGGAGATCAGGAGGAACTGTAGGTTTGTTAACTGAAGGGGAGTGGATTAATTAAGGTGGTAATTGGATTTTCGTTTTCATTATGTGTCTGTAATTTGATTTCGGTTGTCATTTAAGTGAAAGCATGCACGCGTCTAGTTTGTGTGTGTAAGTTGAAGGAGCCCATGGGTCTGGTCTGGCCCGGCCCGTAGCTTGACCGAGCTTTAAACCCAATTGAAAGCAAGTGTACGTGACAGGAGAATCAACCTTGGGTGTTATGCATGTTACGTCGGGTAAAATTGGTCGCGAACTATCTTAACAAGGGGGAACTTTTGTTCAGGACACTAGTGACTATTGACTAAGAGACTATGCTACAGTACAATATGACTACGTAAATATTACAAGCGCCGGCGCCGGCGAGGGCATGCTAATGGTACATAATCCGGCTTGAAAAGGATAAGGGTTAACGCATTTAAGATGTTAAGCCAACCAGTTTAGTGTAGAGAGGATGAGACGGAGAGAGAGAGAGAGCAGTCAGATTGTCAGTTCTGTAAATTGAGGGTTGTGGACTAGAACCGGCCCTGGTTGCCGCGAATGCTGCCCTTGACATGTCCTCCTTGGACAATGAAATGTGTTGAAATGGCTCAGGTTCCTGGAGAAGGCAGCAAAAAGTGATGATAGTCTTCAGTAGCAGTCACAAGAATGTGATTTCAATGACTAGTTCATTGAGAGAAAAAAGCAAATTCCGCAGTTCGTTTTTAGGGACTACCTGTTGGCTTGTTCTTCCACATCCAATCTTGAGCTGCCTGCAATATTGGAGATGACAGAGTTGCATTAGGATTTGAGCTGTGTGATGGGGTGACAGATAGCGAAGACAAAGAAATGCTGGATACCTGGTGCCTTGTCGGATCGTTAACTGGTCCACTGGGTGCTGGCATTTGTGCATAGCCATGCTCCTGCAACAACCGAAAGAGGGAGAATGTCATGTCATCATACGACTAGAAGACAGCGGTACATTCAGAAACCACAATGTTGTGCTCTAATCCTTTTGAAGAAACGGAGATGGCAACACCAATGAAACATGCTTCAGAGGCGAATTACTCTGAGAGTAATGCAAACAAAAGGGATATTCAAAGTGAAGATAGATGTCAGTTGAGCATCTTGATGGATTCTTGAAAGAACTGGGATACTATAATGTGCACACTGGAGTTAGTAATAGAAGAAATTTACCCCTGAAGGAAAAGAAGGTTGTTGCATAGGCTGCTGCTGGTGTCGATACTGTTGTGGAGGGTACTGCATCTGCTGTCCATGCGACGCTTGCGGATTGGTTGGAGCTTGAAGATTCGGCTGAGCTTGAGGAGGTTGAGCTGAAGGCTTTGTTTGTTGTTCAGAAGAAGCCAACTCCTCTGGCTTCTCCCACTGCCAATTTTTGCCAACAAATCATCATTCAGTAAACTTGCAACCGAGTAATAATGACAGGAGAATGTTTTCGTGCTTCAAAGATAGTCTATATACCCGGCTCTCCCCGGTCACACTGTTGTAATAGTACTTGAATCCTTCAGGGGAGGTATGCTCCGTCCAGTTACTCTGCTGCTGGAGAGCTGTAGTCTGTGCTACTGGTGCAGATTTAATTGATGAAGGTACATCTGTAGGGAGTGTAGAAGCTGGAGCACTAGCAGCACCCATTTGTGGTGGCATTCCGGTCCACTAGAATACCAAAAAGAAACATATAAATCAAAGTCACAACCATGGTTGTCAAAAGCGAGATTTTCAGAAAATTGAAAAAACACAGTAAAATCATAAATGGAAGATTGAATCATGAAATCGTAAGAGCTCATGAACACAAAAAAAAAAAACAGTGATAACTCATGGTCCAGCCAATTGCACTGAAAAAATGTTACAATAATTGAACAGTTTTATAAAAAAAATTAATATGAGCAACTAGAAGTAACATATATAACGTTATTTCAAAATATTCAATATAATGAATTCATAATTATGAAAAAACGAAAAATAAAATAATTATGGACCATCCACTTTAAGAAATAGGTAGGTATTTTAACAAAGTTGAGTATAAAAAGAGAAAAACCAAACATAAATCAGAGCATTTCTGGGGTTAATGACCATCTATACCTGAGGTCTGCCAGCCTGGGAACTCTGATGTGGCTGCATCATCTGCACCTGCTGCTGCAACTGGGAGAATGCCTGCTGCGAAGATTGAAAGCTCGCTTGCAGAGTTTGCTTCTGCTGAGACAACATCTGAGCTAACGGGGAAGGAGACTGCTGCAGCGATTGAGGTTGACCAGACTGCTGCTGCGGCTGATTTGGCACAGTCGTCCCCGGATGAGACTGCAGATTAATTGTCAAAGGATTTTGAGGTGCAGCCATAGAGACAGTTGGGAAACCATGTTGTGATGGCATTGGTTGACTGTACGATGGTTGACCAGGTACAGGTGGCATGTTCTGCTGACCAGGATGCGGGTAAGATGATGCAGCATGAGGGTGATTTGATGGAACTGAAGGTGGTTGCAAATTCTGAGGAGATTGAAGCGGTTTCTGCATTGGCGGTGGTATTTGCTGGCCTGACGGTGGCCCTTGCTGCTGCAATGGCTGGTTAAAGTTCTGAACAAGAGGTTGCAATCAGTGACATTTTCTCCATGTATAATGTAAGAAATAGCAGGACAGATAGAGGTTAAATAATGTAAGTACATATGCTCATACCGGCTGTCCAGTAGAAGAGCCAAAACTTCCTTGAAAGGGAGCATCGGGAGGAGGACCACCAAAGCCACCCTAAAATTTGTTCAAAAAGCTTGCACAGTTTTAGCTAAATGAACATTTTGCTAAACTCTAAAACTCCCTAGAGGGACTGATGAACACAGTATAGAGGTTCAAACTAACCTGATTGAAAGGTCCTGGCATGTCGCCAGGCCTAGGAGGTAACTGATTCCCAAGGGCATGAACACCTGGATTAGGATTAGGCCCCATATTGTGGGCACTAATTGGGTTCCAGGGATTAGGTGGAGGACGATCAGCCATTGGTTCACCATAGTTATGTTCAGGTCTAACAACCCAAAGCAAGAAAAGCAATTAAGATGTAGGAAAAGTAATTATGATGCAGAGGACGATGATCAGTTGCAAAGTACACGCAGAAACTACCTTGGCATTGGCACTTGAAATCGAGACCCAAACCCCGGGGCTTCAAAAGCCGGACCACCACCCCTTGGGAAACTGAAAATTTCCAGCATTAGTTTAAAAATACCCCAAATATAGTACTCGGCGAAAAGAAACACCAATCATTAGAGCTCATATGTTTATCCTTTCCTCCCAATCCAAATACCAAAATTCCACAATCCAGTATTTGTCAATTATAACAAGATATGGAAATTAAATGTAGGGAGGAAGGAAGGATTGGAGTTAAAATTCACTGTATATATGAAGGTAACACTTTATCGCCAGACCTGGATTCTCCCGGCTTTGGCCTCTTTGGGTCAGCAAACCGAACAGTTAGAGGTTGATTGCAGCCCTAGAATCACAAAAGGAAGAAAAAAAATATAGAATATTCAGCAATTGTAAAGCCATGATATACCTACTCCTTCAAATGATATAGAGATTAAAGAGCTCTTTAGACCATATGTATTGAGTATGGAGCATAACAGAAGTAACTAATAACACTTACTCTCATGGTATAAATTCCATTAAGAGCATTTATAGCTGCCATTGCCATATCTCTATGAGCGTATTTAACAAATCCACATCCTTCACAATAATTCAAATAGCACCAACAGTCAGGTACGTCGAGAACAAAATGACATCACATACATCGATATTCAGGTAACATAAACACTTCAGGTGGTTGGCAATTGAATAGTAACATCAATTTAGCAAGAAAGAAAAATCATGTAAACCTTTGAGGTAAGTGCAAAACATCACAGGGACCAACTCTATTAGTTTAAATATTAAATCCCAATCAACGCACAGTAAGGCACAGGGGCATAGTGGGCGCTTAGGAGGAGGACAGCAGATAGCATATCAATAAGGCACTGGATCCGATTTATAAACAATCTCGGCTAAAACATTTCGGTTCTACAACACCTGCTTTCAATTGACCAGAAACATAGAACATACCACGGCTCTGCTTCATTTCATCGCGCATGAGATAAACATCTTCAACCCGACCATATGGTGCAAAAATCTGTTACGAGTAAAAATCCATCATTGTTGAAGAATAGTAAAGGAAAACACTGCAATTCAGACAGACATGCAATAATGATGTCAGAAGATGGCCGTCTAGCACAGATGATAGATTACATACTTCCTCAACTTCCTTCTCTATAGCCTGCTTGTTTAGTGACCCAACAAACAACTTGTACTCAACTGCACCTACAGGACAAGAAGCTAATATCAAGAATTATACATCGGAAAAGTAGGTACCACATACTAATCAACCCGAAATTCTGAGAAAAGTCAACATTCATGTACAATTCTCAAAAAGCAAAATGCTTTTACCCATTTCAAACATCTAGTTCTACAATTAGTAGTAAGAATTCAGAACATGAGAAATGCTTCAAGGATAAAATTGGTTCAAAGACAGGAGCAAATAATACCCACTCCAAATGCCCAACACCCAATACAAAATGAGATTTGCAATGTCCAATTCAGAATATTGAATAAATGTCTTGCAGTAAGCACAGGTGTCGCGTATGAAGCAACCTTCACAAAGTATATGGTCAAAGAATTACATAGAAATGTATGAACCAAAGAAAATGACATCAGAAAACCTAAATGTCTAGAGATCAATACCTAGGCGCTCACGTTCTCCATCAGCATATCTAACTTGGATTGGGCCCACTCCCTGGGAAAAGAAGTACAGCAATTGAAAACACAATAATTACCACACACTAATGAGAAACAAAAGCATGGATAGAAGTATAGAACTCACTCCAGTCAGAGTATGCTGATTGTGCAAAGCTCTTATGGCCCTATCAGCCTCTTCTGATGTCGCATATTTCACAAAACAGCAACCTGCACAATTTCATAATTTTTCAAACTACATATGTATCATTGCCAAAATTATATTGAATAACTATATCTCGCAAAAATAAGCACCATGTCCATTATGCTGAAAACGCACTGGATATCTTAACAATCAAAAGGCATCACATCAAAACCTAACCACCGACATAGATGGATCACAAGCGGTTTGTGAAACCATTAAGGAAATTACTGAACCTACAGAACCGTACTTCAAACCCGAGACCTATCTCTCAGAATACCACACAAAATCCATGTACAGAACAAAACGGAAAAGAAGCTGACAAATCCTGAAAGCTTGGAGAGCAGTAACAAAAAATTGTTAACATACTGCCATTAAGACTAAATTTGGTACACAGTCCATGAAACCCAAACTTCCAACTTCTAATCGTGTAAGAAAGAGCCACATATACTTAATTGCAACATCAAAACCGATAACAAAACCGTGTCTTAGGTCAGTCTCCAGGAAAGCTGTTTCTGTCAAACTGCTGAGGGATGGTATTGGGTAACCAGCCTCGATATTGGCAACACCCAGACATGCTCAATGTAGCCTTGTTTCTAAGGGATGGGAAAAACACTACAAAAATATACAGGTCCTGTGGAAGAACTAACCAGAGAACATCACAAAAGCCCGCTGTAACTATACCACACTCACAGCAATGTTGCATAGAATCTGTCATCACCATTCATTCAACTCATACTCAACAGGGTTCCCCATAGAATGATTCAGATCTTGCATTCAAACTATCAACTTCTCCTCGAAATCAGTATTTTTTCACTGAAATATGCAAGATATAAAAACATTCCCATTGCCAAATCCACACAGCAGACTACTTATCCGACAGATTGAGACATCCGATTCATATTCCACATAGTGTGGGCCAAAACCAAAAGTTCCAACCATCCTGCTTTAACATTACCACAAACATTTGACTAAATGAAATTAAGAGAATCGTCTTCAGTGTACCATGGCAAAAGTAATACACTTGCATTTCACACCCCGACATACTGCACCAGATCTGTAGTGACTACCCATTTAAACACGTACATCATCCAGTCCATAAAAGAAACCATCCATCATTCAATCCATAAAAAGGCACATCCATCAGTCTGCAGGGAACACACAAGATAATCCATGGCACACAAAGAAAGCACATCCATCATTCAATCCATAAAAAGCACATCCTCCAGCAACACAAAACTAATCCAACCAGCGGGAGAATACAACACCCACACACTCACCATACATCACATCCAATCAATGAGCGGGCAACTACCATTCTCAAAACAGCAATAATGAGCACAACCCAGCCTGCATCTCAGCTAATCATGGCAGCACTGCCTTGAAAGATTTCTAAACTAACCCAACCAGCCTCTAACGAGAGAAGACAGCATTCACCGACAACACATCCATACTCCATCGAAGGTACCCACCATTCTCAAGATAACATATAGGGACAAAACCAACATCTCAGCTCATCCATCGATAACCATCCATACTGACAGTGGCCTAATGCCTGTCAATCTACTTCGAAATGTGAACAAGTGTGAAATTCCAAGCCATTAGCATAATCATTCCCATGCTGACCAAGAATATCAACAATCCACAAGAATCCCACCACTTACAACGTTTTTAACTCTCATTCCACATGAAAGATGGGGGAAAACTGATCATGTTCTTGTCCGTGTCACTATAATACAAAACTAAAATTTCTCAAATCCTGAAAAGGAATGCTACAGTTTGGCATTGGACACTCCTATGACAAAAAATGGAACACTTGTTGTGTAATGCCCGCTGCTGCAGCCACTATGAAAAGAGGAGGTTCTAACCGTCTTCAGGTTCACAGAGCTATATTGTGGTTTTAGCATGCTTACACGAGTTGCCTTCTTGTTTAGACAGAGAAGCAGACAAAAAAGAAAGAGCGTTGCAACTGATACTTGTGGCAAACACAAATTCGAGACCAAGATGAGCGTGCTTTGCACCCATCAGCCTCTTCAGAGAACCTGAAAGAAGTCAGCTATGAATATAGATAATCATTAGGAACAGAATCAGAAAATACCTTGCTGCTGTCCAGTCCTCTTGTCTTTGATCAAGGCAACCTCCAGGACATTCCCTTCTTTTTCAAAGAGAGGCCGAATCTATAACCAAACAAACGAGTCATGAGAAAAATCAACGCATCTAAGCACATAACCCCAACCCCTAATGTTTTCGCCTGCTAGACCTATCAATAAGGCAGGAAGTCATTGGTCTAAGAAAATGCCAGATATGAAAAAATTACAACGAAGGGAATAGAAAATTCATCCAGCTCTACGGAATATCTAACATAACTACAAGGAGTAATGTGTCGTAATTCCTCCAATCAACAATTGTTTGGAGCCCTTTAAACAGTAAAGTTTTAAACTCTTAAACTGATGAAGCAACTCTCACGGTCTCACCTCCTCTTCAGTAGCTGTCCTTGGAACAGATCCCACGAAAAGTTTGGCAAAGCTACCTCCATCAGAACCTGGAGAGAATGGAGAACACCAATATTTAGACGACAACAAAACAATTGCAGGTTTATCAGTGAGAGGCACCGAAGAAAGTTAATGAATTCAATCTCTCGAGATACACAAAAACTTACCACTCCTAGGAGAACCTCCTCTACCAGACATAGGATGACTCCTCTTGTGCCCTGACAATGGTGGAGGCGGACCTTGGTAATTGGGAACAAACCCTCCGCCTCCACCTCCACCACCACCACCACCATATCCTCCAGGCCCACCACCGCCTCCTACCGGCGGAAATCCATCTCCACCACCACTGCCTCCGCCAAAGCCACCAGGAGGATGACGCGGAGGGCTCTCGAAACCACGCCGTCCCCCACCGCCTCCGCCGCCGCGATAGCTGTTGGGACTACGTCGATTGAAGTTGCCATCACCGTTGGCGCCGTTATTGGAGAAACGATTCCCGGGCGGGGGTCCGTCGGAGAAGCGAGAAGGAGGGCCGTCGGAGAATCGAGAGGGAGGACCGTCGGAGAAACGAGAGGGACGGCGACTGTGGTAGGAGGTGTCGTCTTGGTCTTGAGAATCCTGGTTGTAGTTGTTCCGGTAGCCGTTGCCTCCGCCACCGCCGTACCGGTCTCCTCTGTGCCTTTCCATGGCGCGGTAAAACCCTAAAACCTAGGATTGGGGGATGCTTTGGGAAGACGAGAATTGAAGAATTCGCGCACTGGCTTTTGATTGTGCTAAGAGAAGGGAAGGAGGGAAGACTGGAAGAGATTGGTGGGGAAACAGAAAGAAGAAAAAAAACGCTCACAAACCCAAGGCAGTCGAGGCGAGCTATGCCGCAGGCGCAGGGTTGCACTATAGCTTTCTGGGCCGATACTACATGGGTTGGAAAGTAAATGAATTGCTTGCCTTTGGGCTTTTGAGGGCCCAAATTTAGGTTGGCTGGAATCCAAGTTTGAATACATGGTAAAATAATCATACTATGATTACCCAATCGAATTGGAATCGATTTTACCGGGGAAAATTTAATCACTGTTATTTTGGATGGATTATTTCCGATTTTGGTATTTTAAGTATTCGCGTTGAACTACCTGAATATGTGTTGCATCTATGTTATAGACGCACTCACTTTAACACTTCGATTATCCATATCCCAAAAATATTTTAACAATCTCTTAGTCATCAAATATTGTTCTTTTCTATTAGTTTTACAAACAACACGATAAATAAGCTTAAATTGACATTGACATTCTAAGAAACAATTTAGATTATATAAAAAAACTTTTTCAGGGATGGTGCGAGTGGGTTTTCACCTAACCAAATACTAGTTAGTTTGATATGTCATATTACATCTTCACATAGTTTTGGTTAGGAGAATGGTTACGATTTTAAAACCATAATTCATGGATGGAATATAGAAAAACTAGCACCACTCCAACCCGTTGTCATCCTTCCAGCCATCACTACTAATGGTAATATCTTTATATTTTTTTACTTTCTAATATTTAATTCACATTTTTACTCAAATTGTAACACTTTCGAATTTAGTATCATATTTTTAAGTTTGCTTATCTAAAACAATCATCCAATGCAAACACTATGTACTTTCTCATATTACATTTCACCATTTCAAATTTTCCACTTCATTTTTATTATTTTATTTGTTAAACTCAAAACTTATTACAAATAAGCAAATATATAAATAATTGTTTGTGCCAACTAGCTCAGGACACGAACAATGATATTTGTTGGTGTGGGTCGACTCGTCATCCGTTCGTCCGATCTCGTCGGGAGGGGAAGAACCTGTGAAAGAGCCAGGGTTGCCCCCCGGATTAAGCTCCTACGATCAAGTTAGTGTATCTTTGTGGAGAGAGTTGAGAGGGTAGATAGAAAGATGAAGTATAGAGAGATAGTAGAAAGTGGAAAGTGAGGAGAGAGGGAAGAAGCCCCCCTCCTTGGTGGGTTTCATACCTTTATATACTCGTAGCGGGTTTAGAGCGTCATACGTTGTCGATTGAACGCGGTATTCCTTAGTCTCTGCGGGGAGCCTCTTAGCAACACCCCCAACAATAATCATTACTAGTATTCAAACACACAACCTACACGTTTACATTATTACAGCGTAAGGTTTAATCACGTTGATTTTTTTAGTTAAAGATACACATGTCATTTTATTAAAAAAAATAAGAATATATTTTTATTTAATGTTTACAATTGCAATTACCAAAAAAAAAAAACGAAACTAAAATAAAGTCCCAGCAATATGGCAGAGCTAGAAATTCTGGATTGTTAACCATCTAGTAATTTTTAGACTTCAATTCCTTTGTGCTTCTTTCTCTTAATCATTATTCTCGCGTAATTTCGTAGAGGAATTCTAGAAGGCACATAATTTATGATCTCCTTGACCTTTCCCGTAATGCAGGGATAACTGAACTCTCTGGTGCGGGGATGAAAAACAACACAACGACTCACGTCATCCCACGTCACGCCTTGGTGCGTCAGCAACGGTACGAAGAAACAGTTCAGATTTCTCGAGAATCCCATAAAACTCGCAGGGCGCGTCGTGACGACGTGGAGCTTCGTCCAGGACTCCGGCACCCAGTACTTCAAAAGCGCCCACATCTCCCATTTCACACCAGCCTCGCGAATCGACATCCCTGGATGACGTGGATCTCTTCTCTCGTGGGCATCATCCTCCTGTACCTGAAACAGAGCTACCATGGACTCCTCCTTGAGCAAGCATTTGGGAACATCAGGCGAACTATATAAAGAAGCTGGATGGGACAGCTCCACCCTTTGGAAAACTTCACTGGCCATGTCAAACGAATCGAACACCAAAGCGCCAGCCTTCTTCCATATTGGCTTTGGCTGCTGCAACCAGTACAACTTCCCCTTACGAAGTTGAGGAGTAGCGGGCCGTTCAACCGGAAAGGGAAGCACTGGATAATAACCGTCGCTGTCGTTATCTAATTTCTTCCACCAGCCGTTCCTCAAACTGTATACCTCGACGAAGTAGCCAGCTTGCCTGGTCTGCCATAGGATTTTGTAGTCATCCGAATCCGGATCGTAACCGAGCCAGGGCCCATTTCGGTTGCGGATTTGGGCCTGGCCCATGATGGCATCTATCTGTGAATTGAGCCCAGACCGTGGCACGTCCGTGGGCTTGTGGTACACATTAGGAGGGCGGGGGACGAGCTTGATTTCCGAGGTGGCCGGATTCCAGAGGATCAAATCCTTTTCGTTTTCGAGCCGGTCTACGCTTTTTCGGGACAAGCAAAACAGACCGTTGCAATACGCTTCGACTTCTAGATACAAATCGCCGTCGCGATGGTTTTCCGGGAGGAGGGGCTCGAACGTGTTGTCCGAGTGCATAATGGAAACCGATGGCATTGAGAGGAAGCTGCCGCTCTTGATCATGGTTTTGTGGTCGGAAGAAGAAGAAGAAGAAGAAGAAGAAGAGTCGGCGCCTCCGGATAGTTGTTGTGAGATGTAAGAGGGATTGGAGAGGAAATCACGCCATGATTTGCTGACGCAGCGGAATCGGAAGGCGCACGCATTGGCCGGAAGCTTCCAGAGGATGTCGGTGGTCAGGTCCGTCGGAATCTGCACCCTCTTCGTCGCCGCCGCCGCCGCCATAGCCTCTGTTCGATGGAGCTACTTAACTTGAGTTATCTTTGATAGAGGGTGTAATTTATTTATATGCAGAAGATTCCGTTTGTGGGAGGGACACGGACTTAATTACCACCCGAGATACTAATTTTAATTTGTTGGGGATAGGGAAGAAAGAAATCAATATATATCTTCTCTTCTGTTGCGGACTTTCATCTTTATATGTGTCTTGTTGCCTGTTGGGCCCTGGGCCAAATAAATTAAGAAAAATACAGCACTTAATCATTATTGTAGGGCCAACGTTCAGAGGCCGGCCACAGTTTACCAATTAGACTATGAGGTTAGTAAAATACGGTAAGAGAAAGTTACGTATAAAATGCATACAGGTATTTTATTTCGTCTCTAAGCTAATGTTACGTTTAATAATACATTAATAGTCATAAATATATAAAAATGAATTATTTTTAAGTAAAGTTAATAATTTAATTCATTAAATACGGATATTAAACGTGCTATACGGGTTTTATACGTGTTTAGTACGGGAGCCGTCAAATGAACGGAAACAAATGAAACGGCTTGACAACAATTAGTGGTGGAAATCGGTACGGTATTGGTATTGGTATCCCAATACCAAATACCGAAATCCCGAATACCGAATTACACCCTAAAATCAATCACAATCCCAATCCCTAAATAATTTCGGTATCCCAATCGGTACCTCGGCATCCCAATCGGTATTATCGAATACATAATTAATTAACTTTACAATTAATAATCAAAAAATAGATAAACTAGATTTTATATTTTATTTTAGGGCAAAGAGACTAAGCAAATAGTCTTGAGTTGCCTAGAGCTAACATCTCAAGTTCTTGTAATTGGTAATCTTTAATTTTACGAATTTGAGGTTGAGAGACGACTAATACTAGTGTGAAATAGTGATGTAATGATCTTTGTATAATTAAATGATACGTTTGGTGGTTGAGGGCCGCGTAGTAGTGATTGAGAGAGTCTAGTTGAGAGGATAAAATACACACTAGCTTATATTTCTGTATTGATCGGTATTTCGGTATATACCGATCCCAATCCGGTAACCCCTAATAACGAATAACAATTGAGATTCAATCTCAATCCCACGAAATAATACTTGTATTCAGTAATACCAAATATAGACAAATTTGGTACGGTATTCGGTATATCCCAAATATCGGTACCAAACTTCCAGTCCTAACAACAATACAAATACATCAGTTTTAAACGAATAAAGTACGTATGGGTACATATACGTGCATTAAACGGAATATTTACTAACTATGTGATGAAAATGAAGTAACAAGAATTATATGTATCTGCTTCATTCAGCCAAATCAATTGGGCTAAAACTAAAACACTTTAATAGTCAAATCTCTCAAATTTGACAAAATAATAAGCAAAAATTTTGAACAATAATATCGTAATCATAGTCAAATTATTATTGTCATAGTCAAATTGTTAACTTTCCAGTTTCTTAATAGACCATTCACAAAGCCTTTCATCCTCAGTTTCATCTGATGAGTTGGCAGCATTGCATCCTATTTTATAAATTAGCTTATTACCCGGCCCGTTGGCCGGATTACTGTATGTTACCCGCTTGTGGAATGGGAGAGAAAGCAAGTGAGAGTGAAGGGATTGGGATTCCACTTGATTAGGACCGACCCACTAATCCGATTCTTCCCGACCCGCCCCAACCTAAAGGGTCAGAAAGATTCAATAAGAAAATACGAACGAAGAGGATTAGTCATATATCTTGACTCTTCAGAAGTGGGTCAAACAGGATCAAGGTTGGGTGAGGGCAATATTTAGCGCTAAGCAGAGTTATGGGTTGAATAACTTTACTTAGGCCTAGAAATTGGTGCTGATGCAGACTGCAGTTTTTATTATACCATCATCAATCATCATTGAATTAGTCCTGGGCATCCCTCCCCGTTGTCGGTCTGAATTCTAATCATGGCTTCATTCCTTGCACCAGCCATATCAGCGAGTTGTCATCTCGAGCATGATTTGCCTATGTACAAATGATACAATTAGAGTATGAAACTGGATTCAAAGAAAAGGAAAAGAGAATTCTATCACATGCCAATAAATACACACATAATAGTTGAAGCTAAGTGAAAGTCTTTACTCGCACATCAATTCTCAAAAATTATAGACTAAACAATGGCTAGAATGGCACTGAAACTACCAAGAATCATGGACAAAACAACTTGTCAAATTAAATAATACTTATACTGAAACTACCTTCTAACTTGAAATAAGACATGATCACAGTTCATAGCACTCTTATCACTATGAATTGGTTGCAGCTCGTCCTTATCACTGTCTCCCAAGCTCAATTCAAACAGAATAGAGACCGTTATGTAAGATAACCATATCCTTACTGATCATAATTCCTTTCTCCACTCCATTTTTGTCGGAGAAAAGAGTTATCCCCCTCTCATGCATTTCCCTTTCCTCCTCTCTTCTCCCTCTTCTTCACAAACCGATCCTTAAACCAACAACAACAACACAAAAATAGCCTTCGCCTCTGCCATCTCCATCTACTGAACGCGTTGGTGGCAAAACAGGACTGCAGAAGCAAAATTTTCTAAAATCAAACTAAATTTTTTGAAGGAGACTCAACCACGAAAAAAGAGTAAAGCAACAATGCTAATAGTTCAGATGGTTGGTTTTGATGTTATACGTTGCTTTTGTTATGGTCTCCAATATATCAACTGCAACAGAGATGTTTCCTTCAATCATCTTTAGTGCACGATTTAGAAGTAAGTCCTCTTGTTTGTGTCAAACGGAAACATTCATGGGTTCTTAACTCCCCTGTTAGTGTAAATGCAGCACCAGCAGCAGCAAAGAAGTTTGACAACACAGCAAGCACCCAGGCAAAATGATACAATGCAGTAGGTGATATGTGTCTCGAAGGTTTTGAGTTACTAAAGTTCATGTTAAAAATAAACATGAATTAAAATGGATTATTCTATTAATCAAACATCCCCTCTAATCATACAAAGATCAGATATCCAATCCACAAACAATTAAGTCATAAAAAATCATCACACATCCACCATCTTTGATTGCCTAAATTGGTTTTTGGCAAAGTTATGGACTCTTAAGGGTAACGTTCATGGGTAGTCTGTTTCATAACTCTAGAGAGCACAGTAAGCAGCCATTTTGATAGTATTTCGACGAAAATCGGATTATCGATCGATCGGATAAGTATACGTATTAATTATATATATAATATAATATTATATATATAATTAATACGTATACTTATCCGATCGATCGATAATCCGATTTTCGTCGAAATACCAGCCAGACACAGTGCGGTAGGCGAATATGATTCTCAATTCACAATTTCTCACCACCGGAAGTAAGAACGGACCATAATAAGCGTAGCATTCATGGGTGGTCTGTTTCATAGCACTACTACACAATTTGTTAAAAAAGAAAGAAAGGTATTTAGCATCACGGCGGAACAACTTTTACAGGCCAACAACGACAACATGCTGCAACCACCAGAACTGGTATCACAACTCATAGGGAAAATCAAAAGATTTACTCTCAAATTAAGTAGTTACAACATCGAGCAATCGTCAAGCACATACACCATCACAAAAGTCACGGAACCTGATTCACAAAGCATTCAAACATTTGAGGACATTTATGCAAAGGTACAACTTATATGTCTTTTTTCCAATCCATTTCCATCAACATACTAATAAATTTGCAATGCATAAAACAAACGGGCCAAAACTTGAAATTCAGTCTGTTTGACCAACCCATACCAAATTCTAATTATTCTTTACTTTTAAACTTTCTATTTGAAAATAAAAAATAGTGAAAGATAAGAGACGACTACAATTCGCCATTTGCACATCACTTATTCGGGAATAAAACCATAGAAATTCAAAAGGAACTGAAAATGCTTAGGATCGTTTTAATGTTTAAAATAACCAAATAGATCTTTATGTTTAGTTTTTTACTAACAAATACCAAACGATTCCCTATAAAATACACTATAATTTGATCATTATGATGTCAAATAATTATAAAATAAATATTTTAAATGATAAAAGTTGGACTAATTGGGTTGGTCGAGGTTGAACAATTGAATAACTTTAAAATACATTATATTTTAGCCACTAAGATATAAAATAATAGCATAATATATATTATGCCAGAGAAAATAGCTTGTTTTAGAATGGCAAATCAATGATGTTCATTTGTTTACTTGATGGCCAAATCCCATGTAGGTCAGGCTCATTCAACTCTTTTATTTTATGGTTAGTGGTTAGCCCATTAGATACCATGCATTAGTTTATTGTAAATTTTTCTATTTTTAACAATAAAAGGAGTATTATTTTTGCCTTTTCATATATATTTTATCACCACGGAGAAATAAAAGGGAATAAAGAAACAAATTGACACTCCTGGACCCGTTTAAATCCGCACGTGTACGGTAAGTTGGCCCGTCCCAGAGAGGAAAGAGAAAAAATTGACACTCCATATTCTACCCTTCCTACAAACGCTCCTGGTGCAGGGAATTTGAAATGGGGGAAGAGTTTTTTCCACCCTGTTATTATATGTTTTTAATTTAAAAGGATACAACAAATGTACTTAGTGTGATTGATTATGATCCTTGTTTTTCTTTAAAATGATCATGGTTCGAATCCTAGCATGTATCTTTTTAATGAATAAAAAAAAGTAATTGTGAAGACCAAAATGTCCTTCCTACTTTCACTCTCGTTGCAGGAAATTTGAAATGGGGCTCCCGTTTTTCCCTTCGGTGTATTATATTATGTGTAGATGTGAGTGCGCCTTTCAACAATTTAAAATAAATGAAATATGTTTATTTACAAAAATAATAAAGAGTGGTTAATTACATATACTTACACCTCATCCTTCCCCTAATTTTGTTTTATGATCAGTAGTATAAGGTGTACTGACAGTAAACAATTATATTAAAGATAGAAAGAAAGAGCAAAACACCAATCAAAGACCCCACCAATATATCACATACAGTGTTTTCATAGTAAATCAACCTCACCCACAACCTTCTGTCTGCCGCATTTGATCCCCAAACTAAACAAACAGTCAAACGCTAGATTTTAGTTTAGCATGTTCTGGTGATTAGTAATAAGGAGCTAACAGTACTGATATATGTATATACAATTATATATACTTTGCCTCCAGAAAGGAGTAAATCATTTCATCACCAAGAAAAAAGCTAAGAGAGAAGCTAGTTGAGATTGCAAGAAAAAGTACAATGGCTGCAGCAACAGTCGTGGGATTAACCATGACGATGGTGATGATTGGATCGTTAGCAATGGGAGGTAAGATTACTGCTTTATCATTATACAACAGCTGAAAGAGAGTATTTTCAAATCTGTTACAACACAACGAGGGTCGACCCTAATAAAGACCCACACTTCAAATATTGTTTAGATTCACTAATCTCCTTTGACCTTTCCACAAGTATGAATTTTTGTTTTGGAACTAGACAAGTAGAACCCGTGAAAATGTATGAGTGGGCTCACAGCTGTGTTGACAATAACGATGTCAATGGTAACTGCTACCGGTGTCTCAGAGATGCTGATTCCACGATGAAACAATACTGCAAGGGCTCCTACGGTGTTTATACCAAGAGCGACCATTGTGAGGTTAGGTACGAGAACTACAATTTTGAACACCTCTGAATATTAAATTTTGGTAATTCACCATCTTGCATGAGTAGTAGGGTTAAGTTACATATAGCTAGTGTCACATTTTATTTAAATATCAATATGAATTGTAAGTAATTTATTTTCAAATATGGTTTATATGTGATTAAATTCATTTGATGTTAATGGTTTTTCATATTTCTACGTATTTTGTAACCACACAAACCGATTATACCATCGGTTGAAGCATTCCACTTGCTAAACCAGTACAATGATATAAACCGGTTTGACAACCTTCGTATATTCAACCCTGAACCAATTTTCCCTACATTTTTCGCGTTGCTTCACCAAAGAACAAAGGAAACCTAACCAAACCATTACACCTCCATACATCCATCAATTCTCCCAACTTTCCACTTCAATCCCGGGCGGCGTCGACACGAGAATTATCATGTACCCCTCCACACCCACTCAATTTATACTTCACAATTAAACAGAACAAACAAATAAATGGAATTGATTGCTAGCTCGCCAGCCTATAAATACAATTGTGATGAACAAAATGAAAAAAAAAAATATGATGACCATTTAGCAACCAAGTCAAAGTATAGATACCAAAATTATAAACTGTTAATCCTTGGATCCTTATCCAGTTATCCTAGTAGTAAACGTGGACTGGAAGTTAGTGGATCAATTAATTTAAATAATTGAGCAGTTGGAGGGATTGGGCCGAAAAGTTCGCAGCTAAAAACGGGCCCAACCGCCCACGTTCGTAAGGAAAGCGAGAAATAAAGCCGCTTATGATTATGAATTGATGATTGACATTACAAAGAGTTCCAGACTGACAAGGAGTCTTTACAGTTATGAAAATCAGGTTCCATCCAGATCCTTCGTTTTCCCCTTTACCCATTTCAAATCAACGTCAAATCAAATCTAATTACAAATTAGATAATCTTAAATCACCTAACTAGATAAAACATCTCAATTTAAAAAATCAAATCATGCACTAATCACCGTCCAATCTGATAATTATTTGGCTACAAACTGAGGATGAAAGAAAAAGAAAAAAAAAGGAAAAGAAAAAAAACTGGACGAGCAGTTTCTCGAATTCCATGTTTTATAGTTCTCAGCGGCGCTTTGTTTTTGATTCCCATATCTGCTCCCAACAAAATCTTTGTCGAAGTAATCAGTGCAATTCGTCTCTGCTCCAGAAGAGAGAAAAAATCGCTCGGAGATTGAACTCCAATAATGGCGGCGAAGCACGACGAACTGCCGGTCCCGATTTTCTCCTCCCTCGATCCTGTCTACGGCGGCGATTCTCAACTGGAAGAGGCCCAGTTCCGGTTCGACAAGTTGAAGTCCAAGTTTCTCCAAGTCTTCGGCCATCCGCCTGACCTCTACGCCCGCGCTCCAGGTCCATGGAAATTCTCCTCTCCCCAATTCCTCGTCTGGTCGCTAAGAAAGAGGGGCGGAAATGGAAATAACCGCTAGTCGGAGTGATGGAACTCGGTAGTGCAATAACTGACGAGTTCGTTTGCGGTTTTTGCTTGTTTTGTTCGGCAGGACGAGTGAATTTGATCGGGGAGCACATCGACTATGAAGGCTACTCGGTGCTGCCAATGGCGATTCGACAGGACACGATCGTGGCGATTCGCAAGCGGTCTCCATCGGAGGCGGAAAAGCTTCTTCGGATTGCGAATGTCAACGAGGAGAAGTACGCAACGTGCACTTACCCTGCGGATCCTAACCAGGTAGGTTCAATCTTCTTTTTAAGGGACTGGAGAATAATGATTAGAGAAATTGACTTCAAGGGGGGAAAAGAATGGAATCATGATTTCGATTTGGTGCAGGAAATTGACTTGAAACATCACAGATGGGGCCATTATTTCATCTGTGGGTGAGTGAGACTGTAAGGATTAGAACCTTAGGGTTGTTTCTCTTCCCAATTATGGCTGTCTGCTGTGTGATTATGTTTACGGCTTTCCCACTGTGCTTTACAGATACAAAGGTTATCATGAATACGCCAAAACTAAAGGGATAGATGTTGGTGTTCCAGTTGGGCTGGATGTTATGATTGATGGAACTGTTCCAACTGGTATGTTAATTAAGTGGGCACTGGGGGTTTAGTTCTTTGTGGGTTGATCTCCATTTTTGGGAACTTAGATTTTGTACGAATTGCTTCAGGGTCTGGACTTTCGAGCTCTGCTGCATTTGTTTGTTCGGCTACCATTGCAATTATGGCTGCTTTTGGTGTCAGCATTCCAAAGGTAACTAACAAGAAGAAGATTTGGGGGATTTTGTGAACATTTTGTATTCAACAGTTCAATTTGTTTCCTCTTGTGTAGAAAGAAGTTGCTCAGCTGACATGCGATTGCGAAAGGCATATAGGGACTCAATCTGGAGGAATGGATCAGGTTCGTTGAGGGTGTACACTATATCAATCGGCATTTCTGGTTGCATATATCTTCTGCCTATGATTTCCATATCGGAAACAACTAGATACTGGCTTAGCCACTCTGTTTTGGGGACTATCTATATGACAATGAGTTATTTGGCAGGCGATCTCTGTAATGGCTAAGGCTGGATTTGCTGAACTTATCGATTTCAATCCTGTCCGAGCAACTGATGTGCATCTTCCTGATGGTGGGACTTTTGTGATTGCACATTCTTTGGCAGAGTCTGAAAAGGCTGTCACTGCTGCAACTAACTACAATAACAGAGTTGTTGAATGCCGCCTAGCTTCTGTAAGCATCTTTCCTTCTTTTCTCTATCCATAGTTAGGTCTGTCAGTTCTTCCTTGCCTGGGAGGTCTGGTCAGAAAGAAACTCAAAAGAGAATTATAGATTTCAGCCCCACAGATCCATACCCATCCGTGACCCATCACCACTTTGCTGTTTGGTTTACATTTCTTTCAGATCATACTAGGGATAAAGCTCGGAATGAAACCAGAGGAGGCAAGATCAAAAGTCAAAACCCTTTCTGATGTAGAAGGGCTGTGTGTATCTTTTGCTGGCAAACATGGTTCTTCTGATCCTGTTATTGCAGTTAAGGTATAACTATCAGCCCCTTTCTGCTTCTAGCCTGCTAGTTACCGTGAATCATTTCCCAACACTATTGTTGCAGGAATTCTTGAAAGAGGAACCATATACAGCTGAAGAAATCGAAAAAATAACTGGAGAGAAGCTTTTAACTACGTTTGGCAATTCTGCATCCTCATTGGAGGTGCTCAAGGCAGCCAAGAACTTCAAGTTGCATCAGGTATGCATAAATTCCTAATTCCATTTGTTAGAGTAATTCATCCGGGCTGAACACGTTCTGCTTAATGAACTCTTGCATCCTCTTGAATGAACTGTTATGAACTTCCGACCTGGAATTTTCATTTAACGTCTGCGAACTTCTGCTTCATATATTTTCCTGGTTAATAACTTATCAAGTTTTATTCATTGGGTCATCCTTGTACCACAGAGGGCAGCCCATGTTTACTCCGAAGCCAAGCGGGTGCACACTTTCAAGGATACTGTGGTAGCAAATGTCAAGTATGCAGTCGCCCCACCCATAATCTATCTAAATGTAGACTCGATTTAGCCAGCGCCTTTTTGTTTTGGAGTTTGTAATTAAAATCCTTGTGAGGTCATTGTAAATGTTGAGTATGTTACTTACGAATAACATTTTTTTGCAGGGATGAGGACAAGTTAAAGAAGCTAGGTGAGCTAATGAACGACAGCCACCACAGTTGCAGCGTTCTATATGAATGCAGGTACATGATTTCTATACATTATTGTCCTTAAATTAAATGTATGCAAACTTCGACTGTCCGATCATTATTACAAGTCACTGTGCATCCGAACTAGAACTCCAAATGTTCTATAAGCTCAAAATATAAAAGAATTACTTACATTCCACTGATTCTATGATGTTCTTCTCTTCAACCTTCACTAACCAGCTGTCCGGAGTTGGAAGAACTCGTTAAAGTCTGTCGCGATCATGGAGCCTTGGGGGCCAGGCTAACAGGAGCCGGATGGGGCGGTTGTGCAGTTGCATTGGTGAAGGAAGCCATTGTCCCACAGTTCATCCTTAACTTGAAGGTACATAAATATTTTCTCGACAGAATTTCAATGTCAAGATAAATATGTTGTAACTTTGGTGGTTGCTTGTTTTGCTTTGTTATTTTGTCCAGGACAAGTTCTACCAGTCAAGAATAGAGAAAGGGGTGATCAACAAGAGCGATCTGGGCCTCTATGTATTTGCTTCGAAGCCTTCCAGTGGTGCTGCTATCTTCAAGTTCTAGGCCTGTCCAGTCATATTTTCTAAACCCGTTTTCCTTAGCTAACTTGTAAGAAGTTAGGTTTTACCTTTGTTTATGCACAAAACCAAAACATGATTATCAGTACAGTGTTATTGTTGGGTGGTGAAATATAAATAATTTTCGTCTTTCAGATACTTTGCTGGGGTTTTGTAGTACTGAACTACTTCTGAACTAAAAACATGATGTTCTTGTATTATAATTTTTAGTAAATACGGAATTGTGCTGCGTTGTGGATCCATTGATGGTGTTGTATTGTGATGTATTCTTCATTCACAAGCGCACTTGCGTACTTGTGTTGTTTTGTATCCCCTGGTCCCAATGTGGCAAGAAAATCCAGAAATAACATTTTACGTTTCGATCTCGTTTAATGACAGTTGATCTATTTGGTTTCGGATGCTCGCTTATTTTCATGAAAGCTATCACTAAAGCCAATTATGAATCGATTTAAACTCTCTCTCTCTCAAACCTCATCTTCTGACCATATCTTAATCTTTTATTAATTTGACGAATAAAATTCTTAAAGTTGAGGTCATACTTAAAAGGTTCGCCCCGTACACATCGTTACTGTGATTTGAATAAACATATATCAACTTAATCATTGATGTTAATCAAATTCGAGTCTCATAAGACCCCAAATGGTAACACATTTCTCCTTGCCAAATCGTAGTTACGTACTTACATTACTGTGAGCTTGTTTTGTGTAGTCCCTGAGCTCGCCTGAAAGAGATTTGGACGAGTGGGATTTTTCTGTGGGCCCCGAGCACCGATTAGTGGGCCGGGAGGTAGCGAGAGGCCTGTTGATGGGTCAACTAGCTGAAGGGCCGGCAGCATTGGCCCAGTACCCATAACCACAAAATAATTTGGGCAATTAGGCCGTAGCTTAGCGAGCCGGATTTGCGGAATCCTATCACACGTGATCTTGTCTTCTAAACACCCCCGTTTCCACCGACACAATCAACGGAGGATTTACAGGACCAATCTACCAACTAAACTAGACTTGCAGATTTGCTTTGTTCTTCCTGGACAATAATCAAATACCTAATTTCATCGCTCGTAACACAAAAGTGAAATAGTAACCGGTAGTTGTAAGACTGACTTGCTATGCGCATGTGTATAATTAAGTTTTTTTATAATATGGATATGATATTTTCGTTATGGGGTGGGACTACTTAAATTAGTACAAAAAGTAGGCTTTTAGCATATTTATCGTCCGAAACAATTATGTTTATCAGGAGTAGCAAGGAAGACACATAAACCATGGTTACTTAGATGTACAATAGTCATCAAGAAAAATCCGACGGCATACATTAAAGGCAGAAGGCGCTTCCAGCAACACCCGAGTTTGACATGAGCAAAAGATCTACTATGTGTTTTCGAATTGGAAGCCGTATGATTCTTACAAAAAGGTTAAACAACAGTTATCATTGAAATTTGGAAGCCAGTTTCTGTGGGCGATCGAGATCGTTCGAAAATGTTTCGACCCAATACGCCCTCATTCAACTATCTTAATGTCTTATGCCTTTCGTTTGAGTTAAATACAAATTACGATTTGGTATTTACTAGTTGGGATGTCAAACTCGATGTTCCTGGAAATACCAAACATAAGGAAAACAAGGAATGGCCTAACAAGCTAGACCAATTGATATTTGAGTCTTTGACAATGCCCCCAATTCAATTGTTCTTTATAAAGACACTTGGAATTGACATATTAATGAGAATGGTACCATCACAGAAATAAAAGGGAGAGTGATGTGTTTGGGTTTGTAGGGCCAAATGGTGCGCCTCACCAACTAAACAGAGCAACGTTTTCTCGACGTGGGTAATTAATGAATTGAATTCAACAAAGAAGAAGAAGAAGAAGAAGAAGAAGAAGAAGAAGAAGAAGAAGAAGAAGAACGAAAGGATAGAAAACAAAAGAAGAAGGGAAGGACGTGAATGCCTCTTCTTCTTCTCTCTGGCCTTGGTTTTGGAATAGCACTACTAATCACTGTAGTTGGTGATCAGTGGGGCCTGCACACTTACACATATTCCTCCACTAAGTGTAATTACCAATTATATTAATCCTCTTAGTGTCCCTTTTTCTGTTTTAATCACAGGGTGAGGGTACTAATGATGGATTAACATATTATTAGTATTCCCTATTGGCTAACCTACCTCCTATTTTCTTTTCCCATGGCTCCGGCCAGCTGCAGCAATTTTGGCAGTGCCCGTTGGCATTAGGATACTTAATTCTAGCCTTTTTTTTAGGTGGACATATGACAGTCCTAAGTCCTAACCTAATCCGTAACCTCTTTTGTCCCCTCCCTTAATTAAAGAAAAGTCACCATTTTGTCCCTATCATCACACTAAATCCAATCCAATCATCAATTGTAACGATGAATTGAGAAAAGAGAGTACTATTACTACAAGTGGAGAAATGTAGATCCAATGCATCGATCTCATCTATTTCAGATTGGTCCTTAAATTCACTTTTGATTCGGGAGGCACTTGTTTAATAATCACTCATCGTTTGATTTATGACTTGATATGATTTTACGACTTAATATTCACTATATAAGAGTTCTTGTTTCTCAAGTGATCTAATCGATAAGTCTTTACAGAAAAACACTTTTGTATTTCTTTATTTTTAGTTGATCTTGTTCTTTAAATCTTTATATATATTATAGCTGGGCACAAACAATATTAACCCAATTCACACATAAAATAATTAAACGGTCATTTGGATGAGAAATTTTAACGGAACAATTTAATCAAATTGTCTCATTTTGACACAATTATAGGCCAAATTGACCTCTTAAGCAGCTGATTAGATGGGGCAATTTGAACTGCAAAATTTCGAATTGACTTATTCTAAGACAATTACAATTGTCTCGATAATTCCAATTAACCTGTCTTATAAAAAAATAATTAACCAAATAGTTTTAGTTTCCAATCAATCCATCCGAAACGACCTGATTATATGTGAGAACGGTCCAATTATATGAACAAATTAGTTACGAAGCAAATTGCGTCCCCACACCCATTGATCCGTTAACTTGACACCTCTGGTATTGCCGCCTTTAATCGCAAAAATTAGCAAACTCCAATCCAAAATTTATTTTAATTTGAATAATTTTAATTCCGGAGGGAACTAAAACTACCATTTGGTATCTCGAGAACGGAATCATTAATAAAATCCCATATACTTCCTTCCTTTTCCCTTCCTTCCTTCCTTCTCCTATAAATAACAAACCTAACGCGCCAGGTGCCAACTGTCGGTCACCGACGGCCAAGACCATCCACGCAAACTATCCAACACCACTCCACGTGTCCCTCCTCCTCCCGCCGCCGCCGCCGCCGCCGTCCTTTCTCTCCGGTCACCTCTGGCGCAATTCCGGTGAGTCCCCACTCCCTGACTCCTTCGCTACTCCCAACAAATTGATTTCAGACTTCCCGTGCCAATTTCGTCTGCAAACTTGAGCTGTATGATCTCTGCAACTGAAAACCCGACCCGATTCCATCGTGCCCATTCCTCTTCTTCCGCTTCCCATTCCTCTCTCTCTCTCTCTTGCATTATATCTATTTTTCTCGTAATTTTTTTTTTCCAGTTTCAATTTTTTGCAATTAACAACAACAAATCGAGAAGCCTCCTGGTTTTTCTTCTTCCCTTTCTTTCTTTCCTCGGGCTATCAAAATTTTCATGTTTGATAGCCTTTCTCCTCTATTGCTGCCTCTTTCGTCGGATCCGCCATTCCCTCCTCTCTCGCTCTGTCAAGGTAATTCCGATTCCGCCGGCGAAGTTTTTTCCTAGGGTTTTGATTCGGACATTGCCGCGTTTCCTCCCCCGCTTTTTTCTTCTGTTTCGTTGCTTTGAATGTTGGTTATGCAGGTTTGTTATTCTGATTCAGTTATGGGTTCTTTTTTGGTTTTAGGTTTGAGGAGGATTTTTTTTTCTGATCTCTGAAGAAGGTGGGTTATTGCTCGATTCCGGCGACTGGATTGCAGGTTGTCGATTAGGGGAGGAAATTCATTTCTTGTAGAGGAAAGCCGAGAGGGAAATTTAGGGGGGAATCTCAAAATTGTCGCAATTTCTTTTGTTGTTGATGATCCTATAATATATATGCCCATTTTGAGCTTGTTTTAGATAGAGCGAGGGAAAGATTTTCTCTTTTTTGGTTTCTGGTTTTGGGTTATGGAGATGGAGGATAATAATGCTAGCAGAGATTTCTACGTTGATCTGGAGAGCGGACCAAACAACAATGATAATGGCAGAGCAGGGGATCCTTCCTCTTCTCCTCCTTCTTCCCCAAATGGCGTGAGATCATTGTTCAACAAAGTGTGCAGCGTGTTGGCGAAAGGGGAAGAAGAAGGGCAGAAGCTCTTGTGTGTTAATGGAGGAGGAGCGAATTCGGAAGGCGATCAGCAAGCGAAATCGGAGGACAACAATGAGACTACTGCTAGTAGTGGGAGTGATCATTCGGATGAGAAGCAGCAGCAGCAACGTAGGAAGAGCAGCAGCCCACACAAGAAGTCCCCAAAGCCACCTCGACCACCGCGAGGCCCCTCGCTGGACGCAGCTGATCTCAAGCTCATCAAGGAGATCTCCGAGCTCGCCATGTTGAAGCGCGCCAGGATCGAGAGGATCAAGGCCATGAAGAAGGCCAAAGTTGCTAAACAGTCATCGGTTTCTTCGACGGGCAATCTGTTTGCTATGATTTTCACTGTCCTGTTCTTCCTGGTCATACTATGCCAAGGTAAATCGTGTAGCAAGGAAATTGTGTAACAACTCTGAGAGTTAGTTATTGTGATGAAATCAATGGAAGTTACAGTGCTGTGAGCCATGTTTTTTGAACCCCCCCGAACATTGGATGTTGCTATTGCAGGAATGTCGTCGAGGATTACATCGATAGACCTACAGACGGCCCCCGAGCCAGCTAGAATGATGGACAATGATCTCATAGCGGTTCAGTACTTCGGTGTTCCCTCTGTAAATGGCCCTGTCGGTCTGAGCTCTGGTTCTCACAAGTATGTTAAATCATTGGTTTTATCTAATACTCTTCTTCAGTTCTTCCATGTTAGCTAGCTGAAGTAATCATAGTAACAAGCAAGTAACTGTTTTCGTCATTCTGTGTCATCTTTTGCAGCTCGGGTGTTGATCCTCCGGATTCAGCAAGACGACTCGGATGAGTGTCAGGGTTTATGTTAGAGAAAGAATAAACTTGCCATTTATCTGCAAGTTGTCAACCTTTTGTTTCCCCCCGTTTCCTTTTTGTTTCCCTTCTCCATATGGGAACTGTGATAGATTAGTAGACTTCGGTGGATTCACCTGAGTTAAATGGAGCAAGGAAAGAAGCAGGAAGAGGGTAATGTAGATACTGAGTCTCAGAGCCATTTGATAGGCCAGAGCTAATGCATTTGATAAAGAAGGAAGCGGCTGTCTTTTGCAGTGGGAAGATGGTAGGTTTGTGCTGTGTATTTGAATGAGAAGGTTCAAAATGAGTTATAGTAGTTTTTGTCAACTGGGTTTTGGCCACACTGATTTCAATAACATAATGTTACCTTGTGCATATATTATCCTTCCAATTTGTCTGATCAAATTGCAAAGTTGATGTTTTGGACCATCCATCCAAGCTTCCCATCTGTCACATCCTAATCTGTCAAACATGAACCCAGTTCTTATGACAGGAAGATACAAAGTAGCAGCTCTATCTACTGCTCTAGTGTTGCTGCCAGGAAGCTGGAATGCAAGTCAGTTCATATAACAGAAAGTTACAAGGTAGTAGCAGCTGCTCTGTCTACTGCTCTAGTGTTGCTGCCAGGAAGCAAGTTAGTGGACAGATTTGTTTTCCATTTTATAATCATCTTTCTCCTCAGAAGTTGATTATGAACTCTATGTGGGTTGACTTCAATTATTTTCCAGAGCAGGGGAGGCAAAGGCAAATGGCAAATCTTAGCTAAGCCAGCGTGTAGTCCATTTAATGCAACTGCATGATGCATGTTGATTGAACACGTGCTTCCACATGTTCATCTTTTGCATGCAGCTTTTTGTGCAGGATTAGCCTAAAACAGGGGGAAAGTTCAAATTTCCTGTTATTGTTTAGGATTAATCTAGAGGGGGAATTCAAATTTCTGTTCTCCCTCTTAGCAACCATCGGGCACCTTAAACTGAACAAGATGCTAACTTCACGCTCACTCATCTACTTGGATCGCTCCCTTCTTTTTTTATTGTTGAAGAAAGCAATGGAAACCCAGTAGAATATCTGATCATGTGCATTTCTTTAATTTCTGACAGTCACTTCAAATAATTGGGTCTATTATCTTTTTCCCTCATGAATAGCCGTTTCTTATTAAACCTTGCTTGTTCATAGAAAGCATAGGATCGAAATGAACAAAGTTCGGGTATTACTGTTATTCATCCAAAGGATTGAAAAAAGTAACATGGGGCGGGCAACGATTCGGTCAACACCGAACTGAATTATACCGATTCGATATTTGGACGGAATATCGAATCAAATATATTTCAATTCGATTTTGATTCTATAAATCATTTTCAGTACGAAACTTTGTTGACAATTATTGAATTCGAACCGGACCAAAACAAACTAAATAAACATGCTTGTGATATGATTCTGATCTCATTTTTTTTCTTTTCTTTGGAATGGGTTTGTCTCGATTTGATCTGATTCTGAACCGAGTAGTAGCTCTATCCTGAATAACCGAGTGGGATTTTCTTTTTTCAGTCATGAGGTCTTTTGGCTTTTGTGAACAGTGGCTGAGTTGGCGGTGGTCTTGTGTCTCTTCAGTTTCTTACTCGGTTCTCCCCGTGGATACTTTCATCCAGAACGCGGACTTAGGCAAGGGGATCCTCTTTCCCCTCTTTTGTTTACCTTGTATACTGAAGCTTTTTCCTGCTTGCTTAATCATGCTATTAATTCCGATTTTCTTCATGGTATTAAGGTTCATCGTCGGTGCCCTGTGATTTCTCACCTATTTTTTGCAGACGACTCATATATCTTCCTTCGAGCATCTGTTTCTGAATGTCATAGGTTGCTTCAGCTACTTCATTCTTACCAGCAAGCCAGTGGCCAAAAAGTAAATCTACAGAAGTCCACAGTAACTTTTAGTGCCAATGTTTCTCCAGCTGAAGCTAGCTCTCTTGTTTTGCTACTGGGAGTGACTGCTAGCGGTCCAAATGATCACTACTTGGGTCTTCCGGCTCGTGTTTCCAGATCCAAGCAGGCCACCTTTGCATACATAGAAGATGGATTGGTGCAACGCCTCCAACGGTGGAATTCCAAGTCTATGACTTTGGCGGCCAAAGAAACAGTCCTTAAGTCGGTTGCTTGCGCTACTCCCTTATATGCTATGTCTAGTTTCAGATTGACATTTTCCTTTTGTAGGCGTCTTAATAATCATATGTCCAAGTTCTGGTGGCTGCAACAAGATCGCGACACTGGTATGCGTTGGTGTTCATGGCGAGCTCTTTGTCGGCCTAAGCTAGCTGGAGGTCTTGCTTTTAAAGATTTTGATAGTAACAATATAGCCCTACTGGCGAAACAGGCTTGGCGGATTATTCAAAATCCAGATGACCTTCTTGCTACTACATATAAAGGACGATACTTTCCTCACTCGACTTTTCTACTGGCCACTCAAGGCACTCGTCCATCCTGGGGTTGGCACGGTATCTTGGAAGGACGCAATTTACTTGTTCAAGGGTTAAGATGGCTCATTGGTTCCGGGACCATGGTTCACATTACAAATTACATTTGGTTGCCTACGACTCCCCCCTCTCGACCACATCTACTGCCTAATGTAACACTTCCCTTTACACATGTATCTTCCCTTATAGACCATGCTACAGGTTCTTGGAGAATAGATATACTTCAACACTTGTTTGATGAAGCGACAATTCAGATCATAGTTAGTATTCCCTTGCCTGTCTTCCCGATTACAGATCGATTGGTTTGGCACTACGCAGGGGCGGAGCTAGGATTCGGTGTTCGGGGGGGGGGGGGCGGAATATTTTATTATGTTACTTCAAAAAACGATAAAATTAAGAAAATTTATTTTAATATTATTATTATTATCGCATTTTTAGATTATTAGAGTTACTCGAAATAAAATTTATAGTGTTGTTTATTTTATGTAGAAAAAATTAAATATGTCATATCCGTAAGTTTTTTTCTATGAATTCATTAGTTTGTATGCTTCTAAAATTAGTATTGATTTGACCCGTTCTGATGGCAAGTGTCGAAAATGTATTTTCATCTTTTAGTCGGGAGACAAAGACATGATTCAGCTTTCATAAGGGAGGTTTATTATAATAACATCAATTCTAGATGATCATAATGAACTAAAATTTTGTATCACAGTACAATATAAATGAAAGAAAGTAAATAAATTAATAGTGCATTTCAATATTTTGTAACACATTCTATTTTTCATATTTGAAAATCATCATCTTGTCTAGTATCTTCTAAAAAAATTCTTCATTCATTATTTATCCGAAGAGTATTCTTTAAAATTTTAATTTAATAGTGCATTTCAATATTTTGTAACACATTCTATTTTTCATATTTGAAAATCATCATCTTGTCTAGTATCTTCTAAAAAAAATCTTCATTCATTATTTATCCGAAGAGTATTCTTTAAAATTTTAATTTGAAGAACTTAATTGATATGATTTTATAGTGTAGAATTTAAGAAAACAAAATATGCAAATTGATAACTTATGAGACAAAGACTGAAACCATATTGAATTTAATAGAAATAAAAAGAACTACAGGATGAAAAATGAATGGGAAGTTATTAAAACTGAAAAGTTCAATTCATAGCATTTGCATGCAATGGGATTTGAACACTTGACATAAGGGATGTACTATCAAGTTTGCATCCGCTAGACTGTCTTGTTTTTTGTTTCCATTTTGCACACTAATATTTATATACATTTCATTTATTTTGTACGAAATTTTCAAATGCCGATATTTTTATACGTATCTTTCAAAATTCTCGGGGGGGGGGGGGGGGGGGGGGGGGGGGGCCGCGGCCCCCCCGAGACCTAGTGTAGCTCCGCCCCTGGCACTATGAGTCTTCTGGTGAGTACACCGTTAAGTCTGGTTATCGTATTGCTTCACTTGAATTTGTTAAAGATCTGTCCACCATTCCTACTCTTTTTGATTCTGTATCCTTGAATTTTCTTTGGTCACTTTCTGTGCCTCCCAAATTAAAGTTTTTTCTTTGGAGATTGATTAAAGGATTTCTTCCGGTAAGAGATGTTCTTAGGGATAAGGAAATCATTGATGATGATGATGCTGAAGGGATATTATGTCCTGTTTGTTCAGCTGCTCCGGAGACCTTGGTCCATTGTTTTTTGGAATGCAGGGTTGTTATCCAGTTTTGGCACTTACTGAATCTTGATTTTATGCGCTTGCATCTTCAGTTGTGTCACATTGCTCTTGGCTGGAGATGGATTTTCTTTGATGCAGGTCTTACAAAGCTGTCGATTGTTCGTTTAGTGTTCCTCTATTGGCGGCTCTGGAAATCCAGGTGTTCGGCTACCTATGACGGTATTCAGTTCCTTCCTCATGCTTTGTTGAGGCAATTTGATGCACAAGTGGCTGAGTGGGATTTTGCACAAGCTAATCCAATAGCACGCCGAAGGGACTTCAACAATGGGGCGATTCCAGCTGGTCCTAACAACTCCACTCCTCCTGCTATTCCACCTAACTGTATATTGGTTCATTTTGACGGGGCTATTAAGCCTTCTGAAGGGGGTGCAGTTGGTTTTGTAGGCTTCTCAGGAGAGCATACTATTGACTTTGCTTTTGGCCGTTATTATGCTCATATTTTCCAACTCCTTCATTATTGAACTCATGGCTCTTAGAGACGCTATTCGTTGGTGTCTTTCTCACTCGGTTAATCAAGTTCTTTTTTGTGGTGATGCACAGGTGATCATCTGAATGATCAACGCGAAGGACACGTCACACGTCTTGGGCGGTGCTATACTCCAGGAAGTCCTTGTTCTTAGCTCATCTCTCAACCGTGTATCGTTTCATTTTGCACCACGCAGGTATAATAGGGCTGCACATTTCGTGGCTAGACAAACCCTCTTATCGATGGTTCAAAGTCTTACTGATCAACGCCATCTTCTTTCCTTTTTGTGACTGTTCTATTTAGGTCATATATATATTGGTCTTTTGGTTGTTGTTGAAGGTCCTCTTTGTAATTCTTATATGGCCAGTTGGGGTCATTTTAGTTTTTCATTGTATAGTGTTTTTAGTTTTGCAGGTGACGTTCTGTTGCGCTTTTTCTAGGTGGCCTCTTTCCAGTGGTGGATCACAAGCCATCGTGCTGCCTTTGTTAGCTTTTGTGGGATATGTTGTTTTTTCTTGTTTCATGATAGTTTGGCATCTGTGGACGTGCTGCAAATTGGCCGGTCTAGCTAGGCCTTGTTTGTTAATCGTGCAGGTTGCAGGTGTCTTTGGCGATGTTACCCAGTCATTACTATGGGTTTGCTATTTGGATTTGCTGCTCTGCTTCAGTTTCGATGAGCTCGATCCATAACTTTATCCCTGCAAAGGGTTGTAGTTAGGTTATGGATTTTGCTTATTACGTAAAGGTAATTAATAGGATTGCCCATTTCGTGGCATCTCGATCCTATTTCGTCAAGACCTGAAAAGGTCGTGTTCATTGTAATATGTATCTGCTCTTCCCTTTGGGAATATCTATGGCAAAAAAAAAAAATAGCAGAGAATTTGTTTTTTATCGAATCGAACAGGCTGCATCCTAATTCGGCCCAACGGCGCTCAATCTCGAATGGGCCGGAAGCTCAATGTATAATTAGATGAAACGCCGTATGAAATGCGCGAAAGCCCATATGTGAAAGGCCCCCGAAAAACTATGTCCTTTCAGTCTCAATAAAATTACTGGACTCATTAATTATTCTGATTATTATTTAATTATTTAAAAGACAAAACAGAAAATTAAACTCATTAATCTGATCAATCATTAATTCATTCTACATATTACACAAAACCACAACAATAATACTGAAACCCATATTATCGACATCAACCACCGTTTCTCTTTCGCGTCCCGAGAGCACGACACGTATACACTGCACTACCTCCAATTCATTAAAAATAACTGAAAAAAACGCCGCTAGCAAAACGATAATAAAACAAAAAAAGCTAAAAACACAAAAAACAGGGCGGAAAATAACTTCCCAGCCACTAACAATCTGACACCTCGACAAAAAAAACCCACACAAGCCAGTCGGTCAAACATTCAAACCTCGCCGTCCTCCGACTTTCATCAGCAGGCCAACAATCGCCGCCCCGACGCCGCACAGGTCGCCGACCACCTTGTTCCGCGCGCTCAGCTCCCCGCCGTCGGCGCCGGAGCCGGAGAGCTTGTCCTCGCACGCGCCTGCCTGCTTGGCGGCGTCGGAGAGCGCGTACCTGGTGAATCCGTAGTATCCCCTGAAGAAGGCCTCGATCGCCTGCGGCAGGTTGTATTTCACCACGGGAATGTAGAGCTCGGCGCAATTGGCCAGGGCTTTCTCGGCCTTGGGATCCTTCTCCTTCCTCAGCTGGGCCTGGATGAACGACAGCGTGTCCGTGGCGTTGGTGAGCACGAAGCTGGTGACGCTGGAGGCGAGGGACTTGACGTCAGCTGCGGCGGAGGAGGAGGAATTGGAGTGGAGGGTGGCGGCGCAGAGGCCGTAGAACGGGGTTTTCTTGCACACTTCCTCGATTAGGTCGCCGGAGCGGACGGCGGCGGGGAAGGCGGCGAGGAGGAGCAGGAGGAGGATTGGGAATGAAAGGTGAGGGAATGTCGTACGAGGAATTGTGGGTTTCATTTTGATTTTTTTGAGGGGGCTGATTTTGAGGGAATGGGGGAAAGAATGAAGAACAGAGGACTCTGTTTTTTTCAGGTGGGTGGAGAGGAATGTATGTTCGTAGTTTACTAGTTTTGGCATTTGGAAATGGAGGCTTTAAAGGCGACGCTCATGTGACAATTTGACAATGTTAAAGAGTACAAAGGTTTAATTATCAAAATTTTACGATTGAAGGTTTCGTGTTCCATTCACAAAAGTTGTGACGAGACGAGAAACTCATCATTAGTTTTGTAGTTTGTATTCTTTGCAAGTACCCTGATAGTGAAATTGTATAATATTTATATTTGAACTTTTCTCACAATTCGAGTTAACCAGACCAACTTGTAAACAAAGTATGAGAGCTTTTGTAACCGAGATGTCTTTTGTTCAATTCCAGATATTTGAAAGGGTGTGTTCGTTCATAGTATGAGATTCATTACTGAAAATCTTTCAACAACTTCAATTGTTATAATCAGTTGATTTATAGCACAATATCACAACTTTCAATAATCTAGAGATTTTGTGTTTTTATCTGACAACTGATTTTTAACCTACCGAGCATGTGGTTTGTTTAGATTTTATAATTTGGGGTATTCTAATTGGGGTTGTAAAGAGCAAGCTTTGATTCTTGGCCATAGGTTTTTACTTTTTACCTTATGTGGTGGACAAGTTTGTGGCGTTTAGTAGTAGTGCTCACTAGTGCATGACATTGCATGTGGTTTTATTTATTCGACCGAGAGATGGTTTTTGTCATGGCTGGTTTGCTTGGTAGTGAAAAAAAGAGAGGTGGGAAAGAAAAAAAGAAAGATGATCAAAACTAACCTTACGTTAGGCAGGCTCGTGAAGTTCTAGAATTCTCTCCCTATCCTTACTTCTCTTGTTTTGTTCCGGCGGGAAAGTGGGGGGGTTTTTTTTTTTGCACAAACATTAAAAGCCCATTGTTCAGGCTGTAAATCGAATTAGAAGATACTTTCTATAATTTTCCAAGTTGATGATTTCGGCCTCACAATGGAAATGTGTGCTGGATTTTGCATATTCCTAATTTTACGGCGAGGGATTTTCATTCAAAATGTATACTCAACAAACTCATTCGAGTTTTTTGATTTCCAGGTCTGACTATTCTCCAGTGTGTAACTATCTTTTAGTTTGATTCAATATATCACTATCTTTTATAAAAAAAAAACAAACAAATTCATTCGAGTGAACTACTCATAAGTTATTAATAATCATCAATATTCCCCTAAAAGCAAACTTTAGTGGTCTTGATCCCTTGAATTATTGTGGCTAGACCAATCAAATAAACGTCCTACCAACTTAGGTGGTTGAGTTTAATTTGCTTGACTAAATATATCTCAACATGATACTAGAAAAAAAGGAAGAAAACAAACACAATTTAGTAATATATAGTACAATTTACGACCCCTATTATTCAGTGGTGGAGCTGCAAATCTGAACAAGGGGAGGTTAAAAATTTACGCTCAATAAATTTTGAATCGGGAAGGGAGGAATAAAATCTTACCAATGCCAACTCTATTTTCAAAGTTTGTGTTATGAAATTTACTTGTGTAAATTTACATCATTGTGAGAGTTGAGAGGATTATAGCGCCTTCTATAAAAAACAACGCAATTCCACCACTGCTGTTACCCATATATTGATCCAAAAGTTGAACAGATTGTTCATTGTCGCCAACCAATCATTTGTGTAAAAAAAAAATCCTATTTGTGTACGTACGTTTAGATTTGCAAGCGTACAATTGAATAATTCACACCTATAGTTCTCTGCCAAAACCACTCAGTCAGCCCATTGGAACCGGTGTTTGTGTGAAATAATTCTTATTATTATACAGCAATATTTTTTTTCTTACCTTTGTAACTCTTTCATTTTAACCAACGGGAACAGCAAATTACGAGAAAGCCCAAAAGAAATCACACACAAACAAAAAGAACCCAACCATGTGAATGTGATCATGTGATTTTGACCGAACTCTTGCTCGGCTGTTTTATGGGGGCAAGATCATGTTAAGCCTAATACACAAATGGGCCCAGTGGGCCTTCCCACTTCGAGCTCATCAGATTTCCAACCCAAAACTGAGCTCAGCGTGGTCGACATGAGTGGACCAAAATGGACAACTGATGTGTAGTTTTGTTACCAATTAGGAACTTTAGATTGCTCGTTAAGCATTTGGTGTTTACAGTTATAAGTTGAATTTGTATGATAACGGTAAAAATACGAATTTAATTTGTACTATAAAAAATTTTGTACGGAAAGATGTAAATTAATATTGAATTAATACATCAAAGTAAAGATGCATGTTCGGTTTGTACTATAAATATTTTTCAGAAAAAGTATAGTTACAAAGGCTATTTCTGGGGGCAAGATCAAGTTAAGCCTAATACACAAATGGGCCCAGTGGGCCATCCATTTCTAGCTGATCAGATTTCCAACCCAAAACTTACTCAGCGTGGTCGACTGTCGACATGACTCACATGAGTGGTCCGATATGGACAACTGATGTGCAGTTTCCGTTAATAATCATAGTTAGTAAATATTTTGTTTATTACACGTATATGTATCCGTATATATTTTATTCATTTAAAATTTTAGTATTCATATTATTGTCAAGCCGTTTTATTTTTGTTCTTTCATTTGATAGCTCCCTTATTAAACACGTATAATACGGGATGAATATCATTTAACGTATCGTGGGGTATGGTGAAAAGATTTGAAAAGGATCCATATAACGTACGTATAACAAGGCTTATGCTCATTAGATGAAACGTTTTCTTTCCAACATGGAAACATGATCATCTGTTACAGTCCAGTGCTCGGCCACATGTTTTTGTTAGAGTAGGAAACTTGTTCTTGGAGAGTTTTCGTAAAACCAAAACCGTACTCCTCCGATCCAGCCAGCCCACGGTGCTAGTAGTAGTGCAACATATCCCTAATCCAATGACGTGTCACTGCAGGTTCGTAGCTTTTGGGCCTAACTTTTTGGCCGCTAATACCCGAAGAGAATGCTACCAAGGAAGCCCTATTGCGTCACCCCAAGGATAGTTACATCCTGGATCGAAGACAGGCTTGAAAATCAAACAATCAACAAGGAGCCGGATACAAAGTTAGGGTCTTTTTAGCCACCGTATGGGCTATCCTATTGCTATCCCGACCTACAAATCGAATACTAAAACCCATATGACTCTCCAAGCACCGCACAATTTCTTCCAGCACCACCCCAATCCTACTATCCCTGGTCTCGGCTTGATTGACTTTGTCAATAATGACCTTAGCATCCCCTTCAAACAAAACATTTTGGAAACCAAGGTGCACACACACCAGAAGAGAGCTTCTCTGAGAGCAAGGGCTTCTGCTACCAAAGGATCATCAATCGAAGGGAATTGGCAACCACGAGCCAAAAGTATCTCACGGCGTGTATCAAGCAAAACCATTCCAGAACTCGAGTGAGACCCTGGCCGAGTAGCCCCATCCCACATACAAACCATCGAAGGAACCACCGCCTGCTGATTTGTGGTGGGAGCAACTGGGGGCATACCCTGTGGCATCCTGGCATTCATCACACGCTCCCATTCCTCACACTGCTGGTGAAACTGACGCATCAAGGCCGGGAAGCCAAACTGCTTGCCTTCAAAGACAACCCAATTTTCTCGAAATTGTCGGAAGTTCCATGTCCGGTTTTGTTATGCTCGATCTCCTCTTTTTCATTGAGCGGTTGAGACAGGCACAGAGTTCTCTCGGCCCATGAAAAGAGAAATCCATGCTTGCGTTACCAATCACCAAAACGGCCACATAGTCAAACAATGTTTGTTCCTTTTGGCGCTTTACTATGGAAAAGTAAGCACTTACGTATTAAGAGCTTTTATCTATTATTTTGACAAATATATGGAGAGCTACGCTTACTGCATAACATACAGATTACAGATTGTAACATACATAGTACATTAGCTAGGCACAAGCTAAGTATATACTATATACTAATAAATAAGGCAAAATACACCTAGATAGCCATAACTATCAGCTTTGTGACAATAATAGCCACTTTTGAAAAAATACACTAAAATAGTCATTCCGTCTATAACTTTAACGGAATTATCATAGTTGCTGACTAGACTAATGATTTTTTGCTGATTTGGCATCTTTCGTCAAACACCGTGACAGGTGGAAAATGATTTTCTTATTTATAATTACTTGAACAAAAACAAAAAATAAATAAAAGAAAAACCAATTATGTATAATGAAACCCTCCACCGTGGAAAAAAATCCCAAATCCCTTCGCCTATCTTCCTCCACCATCTCCAATCTCCACTGCCTCAGCGTCCTCCCCCGCAAACTATCCGCCGCCGCCGCTACCTTCATTGCGATTCAGAATTCCAATAGCGGAAGCAAGTGACAACAGTGGTTTTTACCTCATCTCCGCCGCACGCCAAGACATCCAAGCGCCTGACACAACCCTCATCTCCGCCGCACGCCGTTTTTACCTCCGACTCTGCTGCCTCCCCTCCATACCAGAGCTGCTCGACTTCAGTTTTCGTCGCCGCTACTCTCCTATTTCAGATCCGGTCAAAATCGCACACAACCACCAAGCTCCCGCCAATGAAAAAAGGCTAGATTAGACCTCTCCTATACCAATCTTCAACTCCCCTGTTCCCAAATAAAAAATCCAACCGGAGTTATTCATTGATCTGCAGAATGGGAAAACTTCATAGATCTGAGGGTGGAGGATTTTTTTAGTGAGACAAAAAGGGGAAGAAAATTGCAGCAAAGGGTAAAGGAGGAACCATGATTCGATTGTTGACTCAGAATTATTGCTGCTATTGTATTTTATAATTAAAGAAAAAAGAGGAAGGGAGTGAAGGGAAGTCTAGCGGAGTTGAATGGAGGAACAGCTTCTGGGTTTTCTGAAGCAAGTGGAGATGGTTGTTTCAGAGATGGGAGAGAGGGAGAAGGAAGGAAGAGAACGAGGGATTTTCCATATTCTTTGGAAAAAATAGTAATTATTTTATTGTATTCAAATATGATGTGGCATTTAAATGATGATTTGGCGCTGATGTGGTGTCCATGTGGCATGGTGGATCTAGGTGGACATGATGTGTCGTCCAGGTGGCATCCACATCAACTTAACTGATGGAGGCTATTAACACCGTCAAAGTATTTGACGGAAATGGCTAAATTTGTCAAACAAGTTTAACAAATGTGGCTATTTTAGTGTATTTTTCAAAAAGTGGCTATTATTGTCAAAAAGTGTATAGTTATGGCTATACAAGTGAATTTTGCCAATAAATAATAATAACAATTCACTTACAAATTAAACCTTTCACTCATTTAATCTTTTATACTTTCAGAGCAACAGCCTGACGATCGCCGCGGCCACGTCAGCCAACCCACGAACATCTCCATTCTGCTTGGTCAACGGCGACTTCTCCCCGTTCCTCCCAAACCCACCCTCGCAATCCTCACACTCCACTCCTACGTCGTTCATCGCTCCTTCGCCGAACTTCGGGTTCCCCAACTTCACGGCCTGCCTCGCCACCGTAACGTCGGCCTCCAAAACGACGTCGTAGCGCGCGGCGCAGTTGTCCAGCGGCTCCTTGAGAGACGGCGCCGTTTGTTTCATCAGCCGCTTGATCTCCTCCAGCGTCGACGTGGCCCTGGCTTTGACCGAGTCGATCATGATGAGGGCGAGCGTGGGGACGTCGCCGGCGTTGGGGCCGCGTGGGTCGGCGGTGAGGGTGGAGGCGCAGAGGTTGTGGTCCGGGGTTTGTCTGCAGGTTTGCTTTATGAGGTTGGTGGGGCCTGAGGCGGCGGCGGCGGTGGAGGAGAAGAGGAGGAGGAAGGCGGTGAAGGTGGCGAGTATTGGATTTTGCGCCATCGGTTGGAATTGTTGTTTTGCGGAGTGAGAGAATGCGTCGTTAATTACAAGGTGGGGTTTATTATATGAGGAAAATGTTGGGCGGTATACATGAGTAATTTATGGTTGTAACTAAAATACATTGTGAAATATTATCCTATGTTATATCGGGAAAAAAAGTTAAGGCAAAATTCATTCCCATAGTCATAACTTTGCGCTTTGTGACAAATATAGCCAGATTCTGAGAAACACACAGAAATAGCCAAAAATTTAAAAATTCGTTGACAGTAATAGCCATTTCCGTTATTAAAGATGACGCCGTTAGGGACGCCGTTAATTACATGTTTGCGTCGCTGATGTGGCCGATTTCTGAACTCCACGTCGGCGCCAACAGGACTGAAGTTGCCACCAAAGCGCCACGTCATCCAGAGGAGAGAGAACCGGTTGGGGAAATTAACCCGGAACCCTAATTTCCCAGCGACTTCTTCTCCATCTCAAAAATCGATTTCATCCCCCTTCCCAGAGAAAACCCCGATATCGGCTTCCTAGCGGCAGTCTGAATCCGGCGAAGAACCCTCGACCCATTCACCGATTTCGCCGACCCCTGGTCCCCTCGGCCCTTCTCTCTCTCATTTTCCGATCTCGTCGACCCACCCAGAAAAAATCCCGAAATCGCCTTCCACACAAACAGAGGCGAGAGTAACAGATGGATAGGGTGAAGTAGTAACAGAGGCGAAGCAGAGGAAGAGGCGACGAGTTCTTACCAAAACAGATTAGGGTTCGAGCTTTGTTTTTCGCTTTTTTACAGGAATGCAAGTTTTCGACCTTCGCAGAGTGAGCACGATACAGCCCACTTATCCTCTTCGCCGTCGACGACTGGAAGCGAAGTCCCAAGTTCCTCTTAAGCTGCCCGATAGTGAGAAGCCATTTCTGTGTTCGTCAATTGAAAGGGAGACGAGGCGATTCGACGGCGAAGTGATAGAGGCGAGAACCACCGTCGACCAAGGCCAGATGACCGGATGACTGTGTTGGTCGATTCACAGTCACCGGCGAAGAGAATCGATAATGGTGGCGGAGATTTAGGTTTTGGCTGGGTCTTCGCGAAGAGGGGAAGGGAGAAAGAACGAAAGGGATTTCTGTTGGTTCTTCTCCAAAAAGGTGAAAATTGGTAAAGTAGGGTAAAAAGTAATTAATGAGAATTAATTAATTAATTTCCACGTTGGCATACACGTAGACCAAATTAAACGCGGCCATTTGGTTCGTTTGTCCAGTCAGCAGGCGTTATGTTTTCTGTTACATTATTGGACGGAATGGCTATTTCTGTGTATTTCTCAGAATCTGGCTATATTTGTCACAAAGCGCAAAGTTATGGCTATGGGAATGAATTTTGCCAAAAGTTAATGGTGTAGTATTTTGTTGTAAATCGTGATTTGACAGTGTAATGTTGTTAAAATTGCTTATCAGTTGGAGTCTGATACCTAGTATTACCAGTCTGACTGGATGACGATGGGGTAAAGTTTCTAAGACATTGATTGATCCTGCGTTGTGCTTGGTTCAGTATAACAAGGGTGTACCTCAACCCGTTTTTATCTCTTATCGTATTTGACATGATGGCATGTCAATTTTCATGATCTATCGTGTCAGATGATATTTAAAATTTAATCTGTCTGATCCGAATCGAGACACAATTTAAATTGTTTGTTGTCGTACCATAACATATATATATATATATATATATATATATATATATATAGCTAACTAACTTGTAATCTGACATTAAAGTTACCGCAGGAGCACCTGAGAATCGCGTTTTACAGTACCATGATGTTGCTAGTTCCCTTGAGGTCCCATTGTAGTTGAAATTGTTTTCAATTATTAGTATAAGAAAATGGAGTACTTAACTACTTATCGCTACTCGCTAGTCTATCATCATTTAGTGAAGAAGGGGTGTGCTCATTGTGTTTGGCCAAAGTTTGGCAGCCTTTGGCTGCAAGGTAGGCATGTAATTAATTTGCTGCTTTTTGTGTGGAAAATGGAATGGAAGATAGGATTAGGAATAATTAGTGGGTCGATTGGATTAATACCCGACTCAACAATTTGCCCAAATAATCTTCTGGGTCTTTCATTCTTTTTCTACCTTGAGGTTTGGGCCTGATCGAATTGGGATCAACCTCGCGGACTCTCTGATCGAAACCTGGATCCAACAAATGGAGGCCCATCAGTAAGTAACACTTCGTCACTTCCCCGTCTTCTTTTCTTTCTTGAATTGGATCAATTAAATTAATTGTTGACGGCTTTTCAAAGAATTGATCATCATTGGACTGATAACTCATTTGATTCCAACTTTTGATTTATATACTTAGTATCCTCTCATTGAAATCACTTCCTCTACTGTTACTTAGTGACCTAGTAAGAACTGATTTGGTTCTATTGGTTGTTGTGGTCCACAAAAATCATCGATGGAGCTATAATATACTTTTGATTAGCATATCTTTAGTTATAAACTGAATATTTTTTGATGATAATACAAAGCTAATCTTTATTATCATGAAAAGTTGCACATACTTACTTATCGAAGATGTAATCAAGTGGCCACTACGTTAGCTAATGGTAGTCACACTCTTGCTTTTGGCTCGCACTTGATTGATCGTAATGATGTGAAACACAAATTATAAACCAATAACACCATTTTTCAAATTTCATAAACCCAATTTTTGCGGATACAGATTAGAAGATCCAAATTACCATACTTTTGACGACACCGAATCGGTAAATCGAACAAAAATAGTCATATTATATACTTTCTCCATGCCAAACACCAAAAAATCGTACACGTGTACGTATATCAAAATTTAAAGCAACACAAATACCAGCTAATTTCAACTTTCAAGAAAGTAAAAAAACAAAAACAAAAAAACCCTTCTAAAATCCAATCTCAAAGCAACAGCCGAATGATCGCCGCCGTGACGGCGGCAGCCCCGCGAACGGCCTGATTCTGCTCCGCCAGCGGCGACGCCTTCCCGGCGCCGAACTCGTCGTCACACGAGCCGGGCTCGGCGGCGGAGTCGTTCATCGCCTCCTCCCCGAACTTCGGGTCCCCCAACCGCACCGCCTGCACGGCCTCGGGAATCTCGTCGTTGATTATGACGTCATAAATCTCGGCGCAGGCCCCGAGGTGCTTCCGCATGGCGGAGGACCGCGCCGCTTTCATCAGCTGCTTGATGCGCCCCTCGGCCGCCGTGGCCTTGGTCCTGACGGCGTCGAGCATGACGAGGGCCAGGGTGTCGACGTCGGCGGCCGTGGCGGCGCGGGGGTCGGCGGTGATGGTGGAGACGCAGAGGTCGTAGTTTGGGGTTTGCTTGCAGGTTTGGGTGACGAGGCTGTTGGCGCCGCCGCCGGCGGCGGCGGTGGTAGAGGGGTTTAGGAAGAGGAGGAGGGAGAAGGCGGCGGCGGCGAGAGTGGCGAGTTTTGTTAGTGCCATTTTTGATTGTTTGGGCGAGTTGTGGAAGGAGAAAGAGTGATGAGGTGGTGATATATATAACTATAAGGGGAAAGGTAATGGCGAGTTTAATTTGATTGGATCAATAATTGATTTAGCTATAAGTTTATACCAGGAGTCTTATCTAGTTAGTGTAGTGTAATATTTTGTGTTAAATCGTTATATATTGTAAAAATATCTTATCTAGTTAGATTATGATGGAAGGATTTTTAATCGAATTGCCGGTACGGTAATGGTTATACAAACACGGTTGCGAATTCTTCATTTTTTTGTGCAAGTGTTTTGAAAATCAAGAAATTTAATAAGGATGATTATTTGTTAGTACTACTAAGTCTACTATCTTTTACGGAAATATGTACGAATAAGGATTTGATTTAGTGGTACTATTCTTAGTTTCAAACTCGGAGATTCCTTGTTTGAATCTCGGGTTAAAATTTTCCTGTCCGCAAACCAACGATCTTCTTCATTATTATGTAACCGAAAAAACCCCGAGAGAACGTGCACCGAAAAGGACAATGCCGGGGGTGAAGGTAATATTAAATAGTAATTAACTCACACCTGAAAATATTTAGGGAAAAATCTTCACTAAGATTTGAGTATGAGATTTCCAAATTGGAAATCAGCGAATAATTGTTAAAGTAACCCGTTGTTCAAAAATTATGGTAAAGGTAGGAAAAAGATCAAATGAATAATGATAGCTGTAATACAAAATATTCACAGAATTGTGATGGTATTTGGTGGTTAAATTCCGAATGATTACTGATTAGTCTCATGAAACAATATATTGTACAATCACATGCCTTCAATAATTGGGACAGTGTGTAGGCTGAAAGAAAGCTGCGGATGGATCAAGGAAGCTACTGGCTAATTTTCTTTCTATCATTCGAGCCTGCTTTTATTCTGTTCGTGTTAAAGCTATTTTATGAGAGATTGTGGAGTAGAATTTTGTGGGCAGTGGATAGAATTGAATATTAGCACAAAAGATATCTATCTTCTTCTCTTTTCGTCATTTTCTTTCTTTTCCTATTTGAAAATGAAATGTATATCGGTGGTTGAGGATAATGATCGATGAATGATTGATGGATGGCGTTATCGGGACGAAGTACTTAATTACTGTGCTAACTTTGTAGTGTGGGACTCAAAGATCCATCTGCCTGTCCTGAACTCACATCTCTCTTTGCCACACGTAAGCTCCAACAAAATTTATGACAGCCAGCCATGGTTGCGGTGTTGATCGAAAATTGGTTTTATGGAAAGGATACGTTATATCGAATCAATTGGGGGTTTGGGGGTGTTGATCCAGACTAATTTTGGATCAATCAAATAGGCCAATATATGGAAAGTTGGAGAATGCTTCGAACTCTGAATACGCTATTTGGTTGTGCTGTTTAATTTCATAATCCCAAACTTATACACGTTCATTGGAGACATGAGAATAAGATACAATAACAAAGTTATGTGTAAATAATTAACGTAATAGCAAAATTGATTAGAAAATCTCTGATGCCTTCTCGTAGCTTTGTAATATTAGGTAGGGCTGGCTATTTGGTTCGGGTTTTTCGGTTTTACCCGAAACTGGATTGTATAACCCGAGACCATACCGGGATCGGATAGTAAACAATCAAATCCAATCTTTGGGCTTAGATTTGAGGTAAAAAAAAACCGTTCGGGATCGGATCAAAAACTGGATAATGGCCGGATAAGAGAGTTCAACACCCAAAACTTAAGGGTAATTTGCATAAACAGTCACAAACCTTTGCACTTAGTACAAAACTTAACGAACTCCTCAGTCCTCATCCTTTCAAACCTTAGGCCACTCAAATCCCCACAAGCTCAATATAAAATCAAGACCGAATTGGGACCGGACCGGATCAAGACCGGACTGTATCCAATCTAATCTTTGGTCCTTATATTTTCAAAAAGACCAAACTGAACCGAATCAATTTGGATCAATTTAACCGGACCAGACCAGACCGTATAGCCACTTCTATATTTAGGTAGGAAGCTCTATCGTTAATATTGCCTTAATTTTGGGCCACAGAAGCCCATTAGTTTTGTCTTCACATCGAAAAGGAGAGGTCTTAATCGAGCCGACTACTCTTTCAGCCTTGTATAGCATTAACGGGTGTCATTTGAGAAGCAAATAAGCAATCGGAGGCGGGCCATTTTCTGTCTCAAGATTGTAACGTGGCCTTTTGAATTGAAGAGAAAAGAGACATGGTTCACAAAAATAAAAAAGACTAAACAAAATATAATTGGGAGATAATCTCACCCATACGAAACAACCAATCATGTGTTTATAGTCCATCTACGAGCATCATTTTATATGTATTTGAAATTATTGGATTGCTCGTATTCGTTTCGCAGGGTGGATGAAGAATGCTGTGATACGTGATAACAAGTTAACAACGCGACTGCACTTAATTCAATGATTTCTAGCTACTGTGACATGTTACACATGTAGAGGTGGCAAATGGATTGGTGGATTGGATTGGTGGATCCATGGATTAAATGGATTGGATCAAGTAGATGGTAGATTATCCATGAATTCAAATTACATCCTCAATCAAGGACTAATATGTCAAATGTAAAAAATTTAGGTACTAAAAGTCATAATGAAACATTTTAGGTACCAAAATGTAAATTTCCAATGATATTTTCGTATAAAAAATTAATTTTTGGGTACCAAAATGTAAAATAAAAAAATTATAGGCACCAAACCGTAATTTGTCATTTGGATCCATAGATCAATCCATGAATCCACCAATCCAATTCGATTTGGATCAAATGGATTGGATTAGTTGAATATTTTTAATGGGTTGGTGGATTAGATTGAGAATTGTCACCTCTGGTGACATGGTTCTCACACATGGTTGTGAATATATGTTAGAGTGTGGTATAAAATCCAGCATAACCTTCTCCCAACAACTCGAGTTATTAGAACCAACTGGTTTGTGACATGGTATTAGAGTTGGTTTGGCCAATTGGTCATGTGTTCGAATTTTCACGACCCCCAATATTACAGTTGATTTAGGGATGGCAATGGGTAAAATAATAGTGGGTATAACCCGCACCCGCCCAGTCAAGCCCACTTTGAAACCCGTCAATGTCGGATATGGGCCGGATTCAGGGAAACCCGAAATATGCACAGTAGCGGGGATGGGTCGGGGATATCAGACTATCCGCCCCGGCCCCGTCCGATATGCATACCTGACCCATTACCTTCTCTCAAACCAGCCAATCCTGATCCATTACCTTCCTCATTCCAAGCCCAAAAACTAAACCCTAGACTAACTCTCTCTAACCTCCCCGATGTTTTGGCCGCCCCCAACTCTTTCTTTCCTCCCATTTTCTCTTATCTCTCTTCTTCACCATAAACGAACTTCAAGGAGAAAAAAACTGAACATTTTCTTCATCTTTTCCTTGTGCTGCACTGCATCGACCGCCGCGAATTCTCCAGGCCGCCGCCGAACTCTTCATCAAGCGAAGTGACGGGAGGAGCTCGGCCATTCAGTGGTCGCTGCATCTCCAGTCGGCACACCATTGATTGCCGCCTCTGCTTTGCGGTGATGGTCTGAGTCTGTACGACTACGTGACGCCGAACTTGAGATCAATCGTCGACAGTCCTATGAGTGCGGAGGGTAAATCCCGGCCAACCGGGGAATGCCCAAACCCGCATGGGTATGGGGATGGGCAGTGATTTAGTATCCATAGCTTATTCCGGACGGGGACGAGTAAAACCCGTTTGTATGTGCGGGCGGGGATTGGGGAGCCACTATCCGTACCCATACCCACCCGTTGCCATGCCTAAGTTGATTAAAGCACAAGGTATTGTGGACCTGTGCAAATTTCAAGTCCGTGAGTTGGCTTTCATTTGAGGGGCGTATTGGAGTGTGGTATAAAATCCAGTATAACCTTTTCCTAACAACTCGAGTATTGTATTATTTCATTACTAGAGCGTGTTAGAGCGTACAAACGCATGTACGCTAATATAACTAATGCGTGTTAGAGTGTACAGACACCTGTACGCTAATATAACTAATTCGTTCAATATATACGACATAAAAGGATAGTTACTAACTGTCTAACACCCCTCCTAGACACAAATGAAACATATTCAAACCGTCTTTGTCAAAGTTATCCATTTGTCTTGCATCATTTAAAACTAACATTGCATATGTGTAAATCCGTAAACGTTGTCGTTCTTCCATAAACCGCTAAAAAATGAAATAAACCCCAAAATTAGCAGACGGCTTGTTTGAGCTTTGGGAAAAAGGAAGGGAATTTGTGTAGATTTCGGAAATCGCTGGTGAGTGGTGACCACGTACGATTTCCTCTTCTTTTTAATTATTTCCCCCCCTTTCTTTCAATCAACTCTATAAATTAACTAGTGTGGCCCGGCCACTTGGTCAGAGGAAGGTGAGGTATGAAATTTGATAATATAATGTGGTGTATAGCTTATTGTTGTATAGTTTTTTTTATGAAATTCGTGATAAAAATAGTGAATTTTAGCAGGAAAGAGACATGAATGATGCAATGAATCAAAAATTGGCCTTATGAACCAAAATCAAGTACATGTTATCTTGTGAAACAATATTGTTTCTGGTAATATGATGAGGTGGAGTAAGTTTTATAGAAACCGAATTCCAGAAAATCGAATAAAAAATCGCCTATCCCGTCGGTTTTGGGAAATGAGCATCTCACAATTGTTGCTAGCTTTTACTCGGCCCGTTGGTCGATTAATTTGCTTTATAAAACTTTCATCTGGTCGTCATTGTGCTTTCTGGTTTTTGTTAGGCCATGATAAAATCTAAGGAAATCAAGAACGAATAACACAATTTGGGATAGGAACCGTCGTTGTCGTATCCTAGAAAATGGTGGTAAACACAGACTCACCTGCCAAACTGGTTTGGATTGAGATTTTTATCGGGTATTAGGGAACCATGTGATTATAAATTAGACTTGATCAAAACGGGCCAAAACTTGAAATTTAGCATGTTTGACCGACCCATGCCAAATTCTAATTATTCTTTACTTTTAAACTTTCTATTTGAAGACCCTGACCCGGTGAGAAAAACGGGCCGCACGCACCCGCCGGGCCGAACGCTACAAGGTACCGGGTTGGAGGTCAAATTGTGTCATTTTTTTCTTTGGTTTGCGAAATGCGCCTATTTTTCGATTTTTCTTTTCGCCTAGCTCAATTTTTGGAATGCTAAGTTGAACATTTGAATATTTATGTTATATAAGTGTGTGTGAATTTTCACTATATGTTGGATCTATATACGATATGTTATTTTGGTGTAATATTATATGTTATAACTCATATGTTAGATAAGATTTGATATAATTTATGAGGATAAGTACAATATAATGACTTTTTCCATATGTTCGGGCCAAACCGGGCTAAAACGGTTGACCCATTAACCCTTGACCCACTAGCTCGACCGGGTCCGGGTCAACCCGCGGGTTGACAACCTTGATGACTGCAATTCGCCATTTGCACATCACTTATTCGAGAATAAAACCATAAAAATTCAAAAGGAACTGAAAATGTTTAGGATCGTTTTAATGTTTAAAATGACCAAATAGATCGTTCTGTTTAATTTTTTACTAACAAATACCAAACGATTCCCTATAAAATACACTATAATTTGATCATTATGATATCAAATAATTATATAATATATATTTGAAATTAGGGATGGCAATTTCGACTTGACCCGATTTACCCGACCTTTTTGACCTGTTTTGGAGCAGGTCAAACCCGCCCCGTAGGCGGGGCGGGGTGGGCATGGGTACCTCTCATCGACCCGACCTGCCCTGACCCGCCCCATTCGCGACCCGTTCTTGCCTATATTACATATAATCTTAGTCAAATTACTTAGGATTTTCCTCTTATTACATTATATTTTAGCTATAATAAAGTTGTAAATAAGTGAAAACCTCAATTTCTTCAATAATTTAACTACATTTTATCATATTATGGTTTCTTTCTTGGTCTTTTAATGAAAATAACGAATGTTTCTAATATTTTTTCGCATAATTACATACCCAACGGGTCGATCTGCCCCTACCCGCGCCCCGTGATAAATTACCCGACCTGGACCCGACCTGCCATGGGGCGGGTCTGGGTATCGAGATACCCGCCCCGGACCTGCCCCATTGCCATTCCTATTTGAAATAATAAAAATTGGACTAATTGGGTTGGTCGAGGTTGAACCATTGAATAACTTTAAAATACATTATATTTTAGCCACTAAGATATAAAATAATAGCATAATATATATTAGCCAGAGAAAATAGCTTGTTTTAGAATGACAAACCAATGATGTTAATTTTTTTTACTTTATGGCCAAATCCCGTGTAGGTCAGACTCATTCAACTCTTTTATTTTATGGTTAGCGGTTAGCCCATTAGATACCATGCATTAGTTTATTGTTAAATTTGTTATTTTTAGCAATAAAAATGAGTATTATTTTTGCCTTTTCATATATATTTTATCACCAGGGAGAAATAAAAGGGCTTAAAGAAAAAAATTGACACTCCTGGACCCGTTTAAATCCGCATGTGTACTGTAAGTTGGCTCGTTCCACAGAGGAAAGAGAAAAAAATTGACACTCCCTATTCTACCCTTCCTACAAACGCTCCTGGAGCAGGGAATTTGAAATGGGGGAAGGGTTTTTCCCTCCCTGCTATTATATGTTTTTAATTTAAAAAGATACAACAAATGTACTTAGTGTGATTGGTTATGATCCTTGCTTTTCTCTAAAATGGTCATGGTTCGAATCCCAGTACGTATCTTTTTAATGAATAAAAAAAAGTAATTGTGAAGACCAAAATGTCCTTCCTACTTTCACTCTCGTTGCAGGAAATTTGAAATGGGGCTCCCGTTTTTCCCTTCGGTGTATTATATTATGTGTAGATTATCACTCGCTTAGTCACTCTAATAGTTTAAATCAACATATCTCACCTAGCGAATGAGGTTGTGGTCGAGTGGTTGTACCGCTGGTTTTCAGCCCGGAGCCTCCAAGTCCGAATTCAGGAAACGACGCTCGTTTCCCACTCCCCCCCCCCCCCACACACACAAAAAGATATCTAACCTAGCTTTGCATAACGTCAATGAGTACCTCTACTATATTTTAAAATACAATTTGAAATTGTACAATATCATTAAAAGTAGAAAATAAAATTCCCAGCCAAATTAAATTACCATAGAATTTCAATTTTTAAGATATTCTCACCATATTTAATTCAAACCGTCTCGTGATACTTAAGGAAAGATCATAGTAGTACGCACCATACATACAAAATTTGTATATAATGATTTTACACACAATATGGTAATAAATAATATGCATATATCAAGGTCTATATCTCTATACCCCCCCTCTCATTTCACCTCCACATTCAAAATCACATTCCCCCCTAAACCACCATTAAACCAAAAAAATAAAAATAAAAAATGAAAGCCTCAACCTCCATTTCTTACGCTCTTCTCCTCTCCATTTCCCTTTCCTTCCTCCACTCCGCAACCGCCGCCCTGACGCCGTTACTAGTCCAAACCTGCAAGCGAACCAGCGACTACGCCCTCTGCATCGAGTCCCTCTCCGGCGACCCACGAACCGCCGACGCGCGCTACGTCAGCACCCTGGCCGACATCGAGCTCTACAACGTGTACGACAAGACCCAAGCCACGCTGGACATCGTCGGCCCGCTCCTCCAGAAAGCAACGGACCCGAACCTGGTCCATTCCTACGGGGTCTGCGTCGGCGCGTTTCAGGAGATCGCCGGCGACCGGTGGTCCGGTGCGATTAAGGCGCTGGAGTCGGGGGATTACGCCGGAGCGGAGGGTCAGCTTGGTGGGATTAAGTCAAACGTGGAGTGGTGTTTGGGGGAGTTTGGAGGGGAGCCGCAGCCGTTTAGTGAGGCGGCTCGGCTTGTGGGCCGGCTGGCTGACGTGGATATTGGGATCATTAAGCTGTTGCATTGATGAGTTGAATGTTAATTATAAACTATGTTTTGTGGTTTTGTATTAATGAGAAGATGGATTGATAATCTTACTAGTAACTAGTACACTTTGAACCAAGTACATTTATATGGTTGAAATTCACAATTGATATGAACTCCTTCAGGGCCATAATTAACCGCTAGCTCTTGGCTTTGCCTTGGAGAGCAATCGTCGATACCGTCGACGAGTCTGCCGGCCGCCGGCTAACCACTCTTGTCACGATCTTATATATGGACACCAACGTCTAATTGCCCAACTGAAATAAATGCAAATGGCCCGTTACATATACTGAAATTGAGTTTCGATCCCGATGAAATTGATGTACGCATTCTATTTTCGTTTCGTGACTGACAATTACTCTAACCTATATATATATATATATTAATTACAGGTTGAATCTAGAACTAGCGAAAGATAAGGGAGAAGAAAAACTTAACTTATATTATTGAAGTTTATCGTACGGATTTACACAACGTAAGAGTGGAATATCGCATAACAGAGTGCAACAAAATGAGAACGAAATAAGGAAGGTGAGTGTAACAGCATCATGGAGGTGGACGAGATAGTACCGGAGGGTGAGTTACTCCTTTATAGAACGTACACCCAAACGTTCGGGGTGTTACATCTTATAACACTTCCATCCATCTCTCCAACATAAAAAAAAATGTACGATATTTATTTTTCGTTGATATTTTGCTATATTTTTATAGGATACTTTTCTATATTTAGTTCTAAAAGTCTTTTGAAAGTTAAGGAAAAGATTATACAATTTCTTTTTACACATTTTGGTAAAATAATAAATATATGAGTTATCCCCCAAATCCTTCCACTATAAATCAACCTAGTTTCACCCCATTAATTCCACCTTCACATTCAAACTACACAACACTATTCTCAAAACACCATGAAAATGAACAACCCCAATATTCCTCACACTCGCGCTCTTCTCATTTTCCTTTCCCTCTTCCTTTCACTCGCAACCGCGATCCAAACACCGTTGCTGGTTCAAACCTGCAAGAGAACCAGCGACGCCGCACTCTGCCTCTCGTCCCTCTCATCAAACCCTAGGACACCCTCGGCCCGCGACGTCGAGACACTGGCTCGGATAGAGCTCGACACAATATCAACCAAAACCAACGCCACCGTGGACATCATCATTCAATTGCTCAAAAATACCACGGACGCGTATATGTTACGAGCCTATGGGTCCTGCGTCGACACATTCGGCGGAATCGTGGTGAACAGGATTCCACAGGGAATTGCGGCTTTGAATTCGAAAAATTACGCGGAGGCGAAGAATCAGGTTGGATTAGTTCAGTCCGATGTGCGGTTATGCTTCGAACATTTTTCCGAGAAGCAGCCGTTTACTAGTGGATCTCAGCTTGTCAGTCGCTTGGCTGGTGTGGCCATTGGGATCATTAGTTTGTTGCATTGAAGTGATGTAATGTAGTAGTTTTTGGGTTAATAATAAGTCGGTTTGATTTTAGTGTTTGCCCACATTCTGATTTTTGACATGCCATTGAAAGGGGATGAGATGAAGGGGGAAGTGCACCTTTGTATTTGAAAATCAATGACAGTATCGTTAGAGAATTTGTTGCCAATTGGCTCGTTAATTTGTTAATTACACATTCGTGTATTTATTTGAAAATAAAAGAAATATGGTGATATCTTGGGTAAAAATAGCTAATCACTATGGAAGTGAACATAATATATGATATATCACTAAATAAAAATTCACTTATAACCAATATTCCGACTAAAATCACGGACAAAAACATACATACCCCCTAATGCTTTCCATTACACATTCCATCTACGTCCATCCATTTTTAGAACATAAGAAAGTACATTTTATATTTTATAATTTTGTTATTACATATTCTAAAATTTGTTTCCAAAAGTCTTTTTCAAAGTTAAAGAAATATCATAATACCATGCACCATGCATATATATAAATTTCATTCATACAAAATGGTAAAAAAGTAAAAATAATTAATATTGATTCATCCGTATGGTATATTCACATAATAAATACATTATGATTAAAAAAAATAATCAACTTGCCAAATAAACCATAAAATGTCACAAGTCTTTCCACTATATATCAACGTTTTTCACCCCTCCTTTGCACCTTCAAAATCAAACCACATTGCTTCCAACCACCATTAAAATGAATAACTCAACCTCCATTCTTTTCACTTGCACTCTTATCTTTTTCCTTCCCCTCTTTCTTTCAGTCGCAATTGCGGTTCCAACACCATTGTTGATTCAAACCTGCCAGAGAACCGACGACAACGCTCTCTGCCTCTCGTCTCTCTCGTCGGATCCGAGGACCAGCTCGGCCCGCAACGTCGAGACACTGGCTTTGATAGAGATCAGCACCATCACAGCCAAAACCAATGCCACTTTGGATATGATTGATCAATTGTTCAAAAATGTCACGAACGCGGATTTGTCTCGAGCCTATGGGACATGCATTGACAGGTTTCGGGGGATCATGAAGAATACGATTCCACGAGGCATCGCGTTAATGATTTCGGCAAATTATTTCGAAGCAAAGGATGAAATCAGACACATTCAGTCCGATGTGGGGATATGCTTAGAACAATTTCGCGAAACGCAACCGTTTGAAAGTGGGGCTCAACTTATGATTCGTCTGACTGGTGTTGCCATTGGAATCATTAACTTGTTGCATTGAGTACTATGATGTTCTAGTTTTTTTTTATTAATAATATGTATTGAAATTTGAAACCTGACAATCTAATTGATCCGTTTGGAAGTCCAAAATTTAGATTAAGCAATTCTTCTTGGGAAATTTCAAATTGACTCATTTTGAGATAATTACAATTCTCTGGAATCGGAGGCAGACAATTCGAATTGACTCATTTTAAATGACTCATTTTGTAAAATAAAATAATTGATCAAATTGTCTAATTGATCCATCCAAACGATTAAGATTTAAGAATATATTTTTCTCTCCTAAGAGATTAATCCTTGGGTTGGGAATACCTTGGTCTGGGTGCCCTCTAAGCCACGTTCGCACACACCATTCACTCGATTGCTCGAGGAAGCAAGTGGATTGGGTGGAGTTGATCTTGAAACTTTTTAGATAATTCATTTTATTTATCTTTTATTCTTTTGACGATAAGTTTGATATAAATAAGTAAATTACCAACAAAAAATTTCACATCCTTTTCAGTTTTTACTATGTTTTAATTAAATAACTAAAAATGAAGTTATCTAAATATAGTATTTGAAAAAACATATTAATTTAATCGTTATATATCTAAAATGATTTTTAAATGAATATAATTTATCACTAGAAGATGTTAATTTGTCTAGTTTGTATTTGGGGAACCTAAGAACATATTAATTTTAGTCGTTATATGTTCATTGCTAGTATAACCTAAACAGATTAAAGAAGTAGCAGTTTCTACTAACGAGTATTGATCCCCAGTACACTTACATAGTAGAGCAAAATCCTCTCCGCTAAACTACAAGCAATAGAACTAACATATTGTTGCATACATTATTATTTCATACATTTTCTTTCACTTCTTCATAATTTCAAAAACTCTCAATCATAGTCCATGAAACCGTACCGGATATAGTACTGGAAAAGTCAGTGTTATGATATTTTATGATAAAAACGTGGTTTAACCCTAGTTTAACTGTTAGACCGTTAAATTCCGCCTACTTAGCCTCCGATACTGATATTTCGTGGTTGAACCGCCGGTACCATACGGTTTCATGGACCATGCTCTCAACCTATTTACACGTAATTTCAAAATCCCTCTCGAGAGACAATGTAGCAGCGTCCCTGATTATTATATTGTCGGTCTGGAAGATGGAGTAATTAGAGGTTATGACGATATCGTTTGAGTGATTCTTGTGGTTTACTGTTTACAAAGCTCAATTTTCTTAATATATGTTTACTTGTCAAATACCATCCCTTGTGAAACAAATTGCCCATGGTACTCATGTATTAGACGAATAAATTTTATTTGCATTAGAAAACTAAAAGCCATAACAAATTTTAGAAACGATCAAAATCTACATCAGCGAACATTCTTAATGATGGCCACCGCCACATCGGCAAGCCGCCGGACGGCCACATTCTCGCCGGTCAACGGCGACTTACCTTTCCCGCGAAACTGCTCCTCACACAATCCAGCCTCCCTCGCCGAATCCACCATCGAGTCCACCCCAAACTTCGGATTCGCATATCTCACTTCCGTCACCGCCCCGGGGACGTCATAGTCGATGATAATCCCATAGTAGAAGTCGCAAGCCTTGAGAGCGGCTTCCTCACCACCACGAAACGACGCCGTCCTGATACGCTCCTTGATGTGACGACGCGTCGTCGTCGCCTTGGCCTCGACCACGTGGATCATCGCGAGCGCCAGTTCCCTGACCGTCCTGGCTCGAGCAGCCACGGCGGAGAGGGACGACAGGCAGAGGGTGAAGTCGGGAGTCTTCTTGCAAGTTTCCGTGATGAGGTTCGAATTCGCGACCGAGGGGTGGGGTAGTAGGAGGAGGAAGGAGACGGTAATTAGAGTGGCGAGTCGTGACGGAATCGCCATGAGTTTTAGGGAAAAAATCCCAAAGTACACTAGTTTTTAAAAAAAATTCCCAAAATACATAAGTTATAAAAAAAATTCCAAAAGTACACATGTTTGAGCATCATCGTTTTAGACAAAAACGGTGAAGGTCATCACCGCTTTTGACCAAGACGGTGAATACTTCACCGTTTCAAACTAAAACGGTGAAGGGTTCACCGCGTTTGTTAAGAACGGTGAATACTTCACCGTTTTAAACAAAAACGGTGAAGTATTCATTTGAATTCCAAGTATTTTGATAACTCTAAATGGTTCTCCTCGTCGATACGATCGCGCTGCCGAAAACGGCTCGTTATTTCGACCTCAAACGAATAAGATACGCGCATTTTAGTTTTTAGTACGCAAAAGTTACTTTAACGACATGTGCAGCTTTGAACTCACTTATCTCACTCGTTTGGACTCGGAATTGAGATCTGTAAAATTCTATGTGATCGTGGTTGATTTTCCCAACTTTTTTGTGTTGAGGGAAGATAATGATTCTTGATAAAATGATCCAGAATATTCATTCGACAACTTAAGTGCGTAGGATAGTTTTTAGACCATGCAAACTCAAATAACAACACCTAAAAATCACAAAAACAACATTGATAGTTCACTACAATGATAAAACGATAAATTCACTCATTTGCTTGATTTTGGCCCCCATCTCCACCTCTTCCTCCTCGTCCTCCACGAGTTTGTTGTTGCGGCCCCCATCTCCACCTCTTCCTCCTCGTCCTCCACGAGTTTGTTGTTGCGGATGTTGGAATTGAGAGAACCATATGTAACAACATCATGGGTTCTCTCAATTCCAACATCCGCAACAACAAACTCCGAACCCCCCGATCATTCGTCAAGCTACCGGTCCAACTCAGCCACCACCACCACCATATGTAACCCCAGTTGGGGCTCGGGTCAAGAGAAATCCGCGACCAGCCGTTGAGCAAGCCCGCCAAGAAGCAGTGGCGGAGGGGGGAAGAAGGGGTCGAGGACGTCGTGGAGGACGAGGAGGAAGAGGTGGAGATAGGGGCCAAAGTGAAGCAAATGAGTGAATTTATCATTTTAATCGTTAGCTTTTGGAAAATTTGTAAAATACAATCGGTGTCCAGCAATGCTCTATAAATCTCTCTCGATATATCCTACTAGACTAGGGGAGCCCGTAATTGGGTTTAATCGTTAGCTTTTGGAAAATTTGTAAAATACAATCGGTGTCCAGCAATGCTCTATAAATCTCTCTCGATATATCCTACTAGACTAGGGGAGCCCGTAATTGGGTTTAATCGTTAGCTTTTGGAAATAATTGGGGTAAAAAATAGCCTTTTACTATTATATTTGGATTTGAAATACAAGAACAACTGAGTTATAGTCTAATGAAAAATATGTTTACTAATAGTAGCATCGACCAAGTTCAAATCACATAGGCAACCACTTAAATGTTTATATTTACCCATACACAAACTACTATTGGGGGATTATAATATTTTTTCCAAATTTTAGGAGTGTCCCACCACCACTTAAATATTTTTTTTTTACCTATATGCAAACTACTATCGGGAGTTGAATAATCGTGTTCCCAAATTTTAGGGTGTCCGGGACACTCCTAGAACCCATGGATCCGCCACTGGGTTGTTGTGGATATTTAGACCCATAGGATGAATTAATCAAAATGGGCAATGCCCTCCAGGTAGGTTTTCGATAGAGCCCGGGCTTTCCATTCACCTTTTGATCCAGCCCAAATGGGCAATGGCCAATGAAAGCCTATATCAGGTTAGTTCATTATCATATCACATCAAGATCAAATCGACACCTAAATCAATTTCAATTTGACAAATACAATGCGATTCAATCTTTACTACAATTAATTTTTTGAATAGTACTAAAGAAAAAGCATACCGAATGCACGGATGATCCCGGTTCGATCCTAAATTTTTATTTACTTTTGAACGGTGGTGGACTAGACTGTTCACATCTCTACTGCTTTCTTTAAAACCCGAAAGAGGTTGTTGGCTACGTAAAAGGCATTAAGTCGTGGTTCGTAAAACTACACATGAAGTAGTACTATGCAAGTTATTTGTATGTATGTTAGTGGTATACTTGTTAATTAACTGATAACATAAGGATGTAAAACTTGTATGAAAATAAAATAATATACTCGATTAACATTACACAATATCGTCAAAACTGGACGGTATCACCGAAAATTGCCCATTCAACTGAGTAAACTGAATTATTATTGCATTTCCCGTTAAATTTGTGTAGTGCATCAATTTAGACTGCGATAATAACTTTTACTGTTCGTCCGACTATGTGATATAGGCCTGCATGGAGAAGAAAACATTATTATCTTAATAAATTGAAGGTAATTAACCCAACATAGTAAACCGTATCACAAATTAGATAAGAAAAGGATATCGTCCTATTCCTGTATTCCTATAAACATAGCTGCTTGGATTTACCCATACTACTAGTAATGAACATTTTGGTGTTTTCTTGTCCTCCAAAGAATTTTGGCTTCTACGTTTTGGCTTTACCGCAAATACTAACACAGTCAACTTGGACTTGGATAGGCACAACAAGAAGAAAAACCCCGAGAGTCGAGAGAGATGGAAATCCAAAACGCAACCTTCTACGGTTTACGTTACACAATTCAAAAAAACAGGATAATATTCCAATCCCTCTCCGGCGGCCTAATAACAAATTAAAAAAAAAAGGTAACTCCCAACACGCAACTTGGATTAAACTGTGAAAAAAGGTTTCCCGTTTAACTCACAAAACAACTCCACTCCGCCGCTCTCAAAATCAAATCTTCTGGATACTAACTAATCTGTCATAGTGCTAATTAATCAGGATTACAAGAACTTTAGACATGATCAGAAATCAAATAATTCAATTAATACGATCAATATATGTATTTACAGAGAAAAGAAAACAAACGAAATTGAAGCGATCAAAGAGTGCATCCACAGAAGAGGAAGAAGTAACAGAGCATGGACACGAGCGCCACCGACTCCACCGCCGTCGCCAAGCTCCAGAGAATCTCGTCGATCGAGAATTCCAGCCACCGGAGGGGGCTCGGCTGGCTCCACCACCACCACTCCCCAGTTCTCAGGTACGCGAAGTCGAATTCCGGCCATCGGAAGCTGGACAGCGGCAAGGAGAGGCCGAGTTCCGGCCACCGGAAGTAGGAGCGGTACAGCCACCGACACATCGCGAACTATTCCGGCGGATTTGTTTTTTGGTGCGCGGATTTTTGCAAAGAAAAAGAGAAGAAGGGAAATTAGGGAGGATCTGGATTTTGGACTAATGACATGATTATGATTAGACTAATTGGGAAGGGGGATGAGAATATATAGTATGCGACCGCGTGTATGGTAAGGCCACGTGAGCCAGCGGGGATTCGCCCAACTGAGGAAGTTTTGTTCTACTTCATGGCTGCGATTTCAAGCGATTTTTTTACTGCCGTAGTCGACGGCGACGTTATGGTCAGCAGCCAGCACAGCTTGCATTAATGTTTAGGGAGCAACGTTTCGGTTGGAGGAAGCAGGCAATGGCATGTGAAACGTGGGAGTGTTTTTTGAATACTTTCATTTATGATCTAAACTGCCATATGCTCCAAAACTAGAGCTGTTAATGAGCCGAGTCGAGCCAAGTTTTGCCATAGTTCGGGCTCGGCTCGTTAATATATTTCCAGGCTCGTGTTCGTCACGAGTTTTAATATGCAAGCTCGAGCTCGGCTCGTTTATGAAAATGAAAGCTCGAGCTCGGCTCGAGCTTGGCTCGTCAAATAAGCTTAACGAGCCCAAATTCGAGTTCAACTCATAAAATGTTCACGATAGCTCAAGATTGACCTAGAACTTCGCACAAAATTAAATTCTAACCTGTAACAAAGTCTAGCAAAGTAAAACACAATATTTATCTCAATTTCAATACATAAAATCCATGAATTCTAATCCTTTTTTTATGTCAAACCATTAAATGAGCTTGTTCGCGAGCTTTCGAGCTGAACATGGTATGACTCGAGTTCGGCTCGTTTAGTTAACGAGCTTGTTCGCGAGCCGGCTCGATTAAAACGAATCGAGTGTCGAACGAGTTTTTCTCGAGTCGCACACCGAGCCGTTCATGAGCGGCTTGGTTCATTAATAGCCCTATCCAAAACGTGAGGAGTGGAGATGGTTATCGCAAGAGTGTTTTCTTAGCAATGAATAACTTGAGTGTGATATCGCATCGAAACATCGACGTCGGCTGGAGATGGTCGTCATACGACTGTTTTTTTGGTGACGAATAGTTAGAGGGGTTGTGTGAGATTCACCAAGTCATTTATTGGGTGTTTATGTCATGAATCTGAAGAGTTATTTCGTTATCAGAGTTAAACTTAGAGATGTCATTGAATGATTTGATGAACTTCTGCTTGACGCCTCATACATACACAAGTAGAAAGCACAACTTGATTTACAATTGTGGTGACCATGTTTCAGTGTCTGAATGACCCAGGATACCAACACACGCTTCTTACTTTTCATTGTTACTCTCTTCCACAATGTAACGGTAGACTGTGGAAACATCTTCTTATTCATGCTTCTGGAGGTGGCAATTGTTTATCACATAAACCGTCATCTCCACTAGATATCAAAAGTAATTTGATTGATCTTGAATTCTTGATGTGCAATATTTTGAACCATGTACCATATTTTTTACCGGTTTTGACTAGTAACACTAGTATTAGAGCCGATAAAAACTAAGACGTCGTTTGCTAAATCCACGAAGCAAACCACTCCTAGTAATTTAGAATGGGTTCCACCAAAAAAATTCTACAGAATGGGTTTCGATTATGGACTGTGGCACGACTCTTATTTGTTTTGATGCATTGGCCTGTAATGTGAGGCGGCCCAATAATTTTATTTTTTATAAGAGAAGCGGCCCAAAAATTAGCTGCGGCCCATGACTAATTGTTTAAAATGGGCTTGAAGGAAAACCCTAACCCTAGAAGCCTCCATCCGTTTTCCCGCGCGTGATATACACCTGCTGGCACCAAGAAAAACGCGGAGGAAAAACTAGTATTCAAGCGCCGCAGCCGCACTGGCTCCTCAAAAATACATATTCTCCCACCTCCACCGTCCGATCTCATTCCAGCTCATCGATCCGCGTCGTCCCAGGTTTCGACGGCCTAGATCGGAGCTGCAGAGCTACTGGTTCAACACACGAAGCAGCTCGTCTCTGTTCCTCCCCCCTCCCCCATCCTCTTCGCTGTGCTCCCCAAAAAAAATTCTGATTTCAATAATTATTATTTTCCTGGAAAAGAGATTTGAAAATTTCATTGGCTTCCGTTAGATTTTCCCGATCTGTTCGCTGGGGCGGAGAAGCAACATGAAAATCACGGAGCTGGAAGGGAAGGATTTGAAGGAGGAGGTTATTGCAATTTCAACCGACGACGACGAGGACGACAGCGACACGGAGGAAGGGGCGGAGGTCGAGGCGCCGGAAGATGAGGAGGACGTCGACGATGACGAGGAGGAGGATGATGACGACGGCGACGACTCCGACGACGATGATGACGACGAGGATGAAGGCGTTGAAGATGATGACGACGGTGAGCAGGCCTTAAACGCCGCCGTCGGTCCAGCTGTCGTGTCGGTAGAAGACGATGACGACGAAGGTGAGATTGAGAACGAAGAGGAAGCCGAAGGTGGAGACGACGACGATGACGACGATGAGGCCGACGACGACGAGGAGCAGGGAGTGGTAAATACACTCGATTCTCTATCTCAATCTGCGATTACACAACCGATTTCTCTGTTTCGTCAATGAAAACTAATTCCAGATGATATTTCTTTTACCAGATCTATGACGAGAACGAGGACGACGAGGATGATGTAGAGGAAGGTGTCGAGGATGACGGAGCAGAGCCCGCGTTGAACTCCTCCGCGGCCCCAGTTGTCCAGTCGGTCGACGATGACGACGATCTATTCGGCGATAACGAGAACGGTGAAGAGGACGTCGAAGAAGTCGAGGATGACGACGAGGACGATGAAGTCGATGACGAAGATGATCAGGGAGAGGTAACGCTCCTTTAATCGTTGAAACTCTACTTGGATCTTGACTAATTCTTGCGAAATCCCTCTATAATCGTTCCATCTGCTTGAAAGTATCAACCTAAAAAGAAAATTCACCAGATCTGACGTTTATCACCCTCCTTTGCTGTTCTGTTTGGCTACTGATGATGATAGATATCATATTTCGCAGAAAGACGTTGGAGCCGAATACATCCTTCGCCGGCGGCCAAAAGAGGAGGAAGACGGGATTGATCTGGAACTAGACGAGAACGGAGAGGACGAAGACGACGATGAGGAAGAAGAGGACTTGGTGGAAGATGATGACGAGGAAGAAGCCTCGAGATCTGCAGCCGCAAAACGGAAAAGATCGAGCAAGGATGACTCTGATGACTCTGATGATGCCAGTGATGGCGGCGATGATGGTGAAGAGGACGAGGACGATCGGAGGCCATCAAAGCGATAGGAGGCAGAATTGTGTTTTTCCTTGGTGTTCTATGGAGGAGGGGGATCACCCAGAAATTTAACTCTCACAGGTCAAATCTCTTTAGTCCCTTATCTCTCTATGAAAAAAACGAAGAAAAAGAACCCAGTATTTGCTATGTGGAGGAGGAAAAAACTGGGGAAAGGAATATTATCATCAATCAGTGATCTGTTGTTGATTATCAAGTGGGATGAGTTTGTCTAGGAGCACTTTCTGTTTGGATAGAGGTTTGTTTTAGGTCAGGAGTTTTGGGCTAAAAGACTTGTTTAGAGTAATGTTTAGGGAATTTTAGAATGGTATTTTGTAAAAATCCTAATGATGGTTGTCAACCTAAGCCTATACATTATTTTTCTGCTTGGCCCTCTTGAATTGAATGAACAAAATGGACTTGATTGCTCAATGAGGGTTTCCATTCGGTGGCAATGTGGTCTGTATTGGTTTGTGTGTGTGTGGTTGTTGCAGTTCTGATATAATTTGGTGATCAATTTGTAACTTTTGCTGTGGAGTCGAGGGAATGATGAATGTGTCATAACTCATGAACCCATGGCTGCCAGGCTCCTGCCAGTTTACATTGTTGTAGGCTGAATTGTGATAATGCAGCTGGTAAGGAGAGAAAATGGCTCAAAGAGTCCGGTGGTGCTCGAGCCCATTGGTTGTTTGGTTGGGTTTGGGGTTATGAATCACAATCGGTGCTCGCCTGTAAACAATTGAAGGCAAAGTTTAGGGTAAAAAAGCTAGTAGAAGGGCGGCTACGCGCTTTGGGGCTCTTGTCCTTTGCCCGAAGATGTATTGGAACAAGGGTCCCGCCAGCCCACATGGGCTGCTCCCTTTGTGCACGATTGAAGGAGTGGTTCAGCTACTCAAAATGGCATAATCGTAATTTGAATGAACTACCGTGGTTTCAAGGTTCGGTAGCTTTTTTTCTGTAATTGCCCTTAACTCGGGTGTTAATCTGTTCTACAGGGTCGATTCTCCTACAGAAGGAACTCGTCTACTTGCTCTGCAACTCATTTTGACCTTGACCTGGCGATCTTTGAACTGTGGTAGCCATCTAAATACCCGCCATAGCAAAAGGCTGCGGACAATTCAACTGAAAACTCGGTGAAAACCATCAACCGGACTGCTGATTTCTAATTGAAAATTATGAAATATAGTCTGCGGCGGGACAATCTGCTGTGCCATTGACTTCTTATGGTGAATCACGAAGTTGCAGAGAAGCAACTACCTGACCTAATTCGTTGCGTTGTTGGTGGTGACTTGACGTCTTCCTTTGAGAAAAACCAGCTCTCACATTCAGTGACGGTGAGTGATATTTATCAAGCAACAGCCACCACCGATCATGCTCAATTCACCATTGATGTAATACTTTTGGAAGGAAATGTAAATCATAGTTTTCACAAATTCAGATTTTGCCGTGAAATACTCGTCCGAATTCGTGTAAACTGTAAAGATCTAAACATACACGACAAAATTCAGCAGCACTACAAATCTAGTTTGGGCCGGATCTGCAGTATGGGTAAGTAGCAGAAAGCCCAGCCTACTAAAGCCCAATTCCATTTGCGGCAACTTTCTGAAGCGGGAGTTGACGATTAGTGGGAATCCAGGAATATTCGAAGGCGGGAGTTGGGGAAACCCTAACCCTAGAGGATAGATGCCTCCATCTGCACCCTCGCACGTGACATGCGCCTGACTGAAAGAAAAAACGGAGTTACCTCAGCGCCGAAAACGCAATGACGTTGTCTCCTAAGAAATACAATATTCTCAATCTTCCACCGTCCGATCTCCTTCCACGTCACCGATCCGTGTCGTCCCGCGTCTGGACGGCTGGGATCGAAGTTGCAGAAGCTACTGGTTCAACGAACGAGCAAGCTCGTCTCTTCCCCGACCTGCACCCTTCTTCCCCTTTTGCGCTCTCCAATCCGAGTTATTTCAGTTGATAATTTTATCTCCAATAAAGATAGGTACTCCCTTCCAGTTGTTCGATTCTCCCATCTCTCTCTCTCTCTGATCTTTCCCGTTTCAACATGAAATTCACCGAGCTGGAAGGAGTAATTTTGAAGGAGGTTGAGTCCGAGGAGGAGCTGATGATTCCGGCGGTCGACGACGGCGAGGCGGAGGAACAAGCCGCCGTTGTTGATGAGGACGATGATGCCGAGGATGATGACGGCGAAGACGACGATGACGATGAGGACGACGAAGATGAAGAAGACGACGACGATGATGATGAGGGCGTTGACGACGAGGATTCCGAGCAGGCCTTGCCGTCTTCTGACCCTCCTGTCGTCCACAGCGTCGGCGACGAGGACGATGAGGAAGATGAGGACGACGACGAAGATGAAGGTGGAGACGATGATGACGACGATGACGATGACGACGACGACGATGAGGACGAGCAAGGAGAGGTATTCACTATTGCTTGTTACCACTGTTTAATTATTGTTTAATTGATTGTAGATCCGTGTTTGCTAATCGTTTTCCGGTGAAATTCCATTAGATCTCAAAATTTCGGTAGTCAATTAAGCGATGAGAGCTTTTTTGCTTCTTCTATTCAACAGGATTTTTTACTCCAATCGTTACTTTTTCAGTATAGTTTTGCTTCTGGCTGTGCTTATATCGTTCATCAGTAACTGTACCTTTGACCTCTCTGGCCTGTTTATTATTTGTGTGAATTAGAACTGCCTTCAGATCTGCCTCTCAAACTGAGTTTCGGAGCAATTTTAGTTTCACTCGATTACCATGTTAACCTAATTAGACTTTCTTCTCTGACCAAATCGTAAATTCTTTAGCGGATTTTTTTGTTTTGGAATTTTCATTTATCCTAATCTTATTGTCTATATAGCTTCGATGTCATTTAGGGGTTTAAGTGTTTTTGTGATTGGTTGATGGCCAATTGGCCACTATGAGGAGTGGAGGGGAAGAGAAGACAGAGCCCTGATTGGCCTTCACCATGCTGATAACTTTCCACTGACTCAGCAACCCACCATTTTTAAGCTCTTTTATCATTCTTCTTACACGACCGGATTTAGTAGATTTACCGGCCACTGAAACCATTTTTACCTCAGGGATCAACTATTTTTTTTGTTTGTTTGTCTGAATTGGGTTTATGGTTGTTGAACCATTGTCTTTGCCTAACAAATTGTGTCGTGTCTTGGATGGTGATTGATTTGATACTGGTTATTGGCTGGTTATACCTGTTGAACCGTATTGGTTCACTTTACTGGTCCACCCATTCGATCAGGACTGATAGCTTAGTATGGTTTCACAAGAATTGATATTGAATTTACTCATATTCGTACCTCCCTTTTTCAAATGCAGAAGGATCTGAGTACCGATTACCTCCTCCGACCGGTGGGGCGCCCAGAAGAAGAGGAAGATGCAAGTGATTTTGAACCGGAGGAGAATGGCGAGGCTGAGGACGAGGAAGTCGATGAGGACGATGAAGAATTGGGCAAATCAGCTGGTTCAACGAAGAGGAAGAGGGCGAGCAAGGATGAAACGGACGACGATGATGATGATGATGACAACGACGATGATGATGGTGGGGAGGACGACGTGAGGCCATCAAAGCGATGATATTAAACCGTGGTTTCTTGTGTTGATGTATTAATTTTAGGGTTGTGACCAAAGTTTAACTCTTTGTTAGGGGTTAATCTCTTGTGCTAAAATGGACTTGGTATAAAGGGGACTTACTGTGGCTATTAGAATGGCCACATATGTAACCCAAATGCCTGACCAAGTTGTCATCCGTGGCCTGTCACGGAGTAGTAGACTTGGTTGGTTATGTTGTTGTAGCTTGTAGTTAGGGATTTTATTCAAGCTTTGTTTTCTTCATCATCTCTGAGCTCAAGTTGGAAGTTTTCATAGTTGCTTGGCTTCACACCTCACCTCATTCGCTCGATTTGACTAATGGTGGTTTTCAAGTATGGCCAATTCGAGCTTATCTTCTCGCAATTGTAGTAGGTGAATGGTTGAAGTCTGAGAGTCGACTACCTGTCTACAATGCCTATGTTTGAATTGACTTTTAAATGTATTATTCGAGTTCAAAAACTGAAGCAGGGTCAAACACTTCTAAAAGTTCGACTTTTGAAAAGTCGAAAAACGTTTTTGTATAACATAAAAGCATAAGCTTTAATTTGGAGTTTCGGCGAGAAGATGTTTTGAAAATACAAGACTATCCTTACCATATTTTAATTTATTTCAGAAAATATAATTTTCTTTCATTTATATCATTTTAAAAATAAAATCATATTATTTAATATAAAAGAAGTCTAATAAGATCCATTTTGACTACATTTTATTGTTTAAAATTATTATTCATAGTTTATATTATAAGTCCTTTATAGCCATTTTACACAACCTCTCATATTAAAAAGCATTTATAATAGTTTTTCAGCCAAACACTCTAACTGTTTTTTTTTATAGTATTTCTTTAACATATCGTTTGGTATAAATGAATTCCATAAGTTTTGAGGAATTCATTTTGAAATGAAACATTTTGTGTTTGATATTTAACAGAATTCATTTTCAATTCTAAATTTTGAATTCTATGAAATTGGAACTAGTTATAGCAATTCCGAGGAATTGAGATGGATTTCCAAATGAATTCCACAAGTATTTATCAATTATAACAGAATGCTATAATTATTCTTTTTTATTAACTAAATTACTTATATATATGACATACCAAACACAAGAATTCATTTGACAATGAATTATACACGACAATTCATTTTATTTCTAAAGATTTGAATATGACATACCAAACACAAGATTTCATTTAACAATGAATTCTACATAATAATTCATTTTACAATGAAATGAATTCTCAATTCATTTGGTACCAAACGTCTGTAAAAGATCAAGCAAGAAGGTGCTTGTGCAAAATCTACAACAGGCCAAACTGAGCCAATGTCTTGCGGGTGAACTGACCATTTGTTAGGTAGAGCCCATTAATGGGGAAAACTAATTCGAGCCCATTAATGCGGAAAACAGAGTTGGTCTAGCCCTGTTCTCTAGGGTATCAGTGGAACTAAATATGGGCCATGATCCGTGACAGGCCGGGAAAGAATATCCTATCACGAAATGCCCCCAAAAGACCACCGCCGCACGTGACTTGCACCTGACTTGAAAATCTAGCGTAAAATGGCCGAGATACTTTCTCCAAAAGAATGCAGGACTCATCCACCTCTACCGTCCGATCATCTTCCACGTCACCAATCTCTGTCGGTACTCTTCCAACGGCTGAGATCGAAGTCAGTGAACGAAGAAGCTGCTCCCTCCGTATTTCACGAAATTTCAATTGTTTCCCGGGAAACAAATTACGGTATTCCGCGGCTTGAAGTTCTCTCACGAATCGGCGTAGCTGGAAATGAAAATGACGGGACCGGAAGGAAAAGCTTTGAATGGGGAAGAGAAGGAAGAGGTGATAGCGATTTCGACGGATGATGACAGCGGCGGTGACGATGACGAGACTGTGAAGGCCTTGGATTCCTCCGGCGGGCAAGCCGTTCATTCAGTGGAAGACGAAGAGGAGAGCGAAAATGAAGACGAGCAAGCCGATGGCGTCGAAGATGACGGTGCCGAGCAAGCGTTGAACTCCTCCGGCGAGCCAGCTATACAGTTAGACGAAACTGAAGATCAGGGAGACGACGACGGAGTGGATGAGGAAGGCGAGCATGTAGAGGTAACGAAATTTAGCTATTCTCCTGTTAACCCTACTGTTTGGTTTGCTCTTTGTAGTTCATTTGCACATGGTTTTGAGGCGAAATTCTACCAGATCTGACGATTCCCACCCTGGTTCTGTTCATTGTCTTCAAAATTTCCCGTAGGATTGAATTGGATACCGTGGTTTCCCCCTAGATCTGGCTTCTATTCTCGCCATATTCTTTTTCACATTTGGGTTCTCTCTGGTTTTCCTCAATTGTTCTTGTTTTCTGATGTTAAGATGGCTTTGTCCCTCGTTTGTCACTTCGTCTCTACTTTTGAACTGTCATTTTTGTGCATCCATTCTTTCATGGAGCAGCGTTCGGTAAGTGACTTCGAGCCCCAGGAAAATGGTGAGGTGGATGACGACGACGGCGACGAGGAGGAGGAAGATCCTACTGGTCCAGCAAAGCGGCAACGATTGAGCAAGGATGAGATCGGAGACGACGAGGACAACGAGAGCCCACCGAAGCGATAGAGGCCGGTGTTTGGAGCGCTATGAGTCTGTGACCAAGTTTAACTTTGATAGGTCAATCTCACTTTCCTTGCCCACTTTTTTTTTCTGCAAAGCAGTTTGTTTTTGCACATCTTCATTGGAGTTCTGTTTCTCTGCGCAGGGAGGAGGGGGTTTCCAGACTTCTCGAATAACACTGCATCGGAGAGAAAGAAAGACCTGTGCAATGTGGTTTTCTTCATTAGATGCTTGCTTTGTAAAATTCAGAGATATGCTTCCGTTGGAAGCTTTAGATTAGTTGTTTTCGTTGATGGACAAAGAACTAATCTTCTCTTATTGCAACTTGCAAGAAACAAGAACTACCCCCTGATTATGCTTTTAGGTTGGTAATTGGTTTATGGATTTGGTATTGTTTTCAGATTTGATGATCAATGCATTTGACTTGCTTATTATTGGTCAGCTGATGATAAAGTTGACCATTTGAATCTAATTCATCAGTATAATTAGTCCACTACAAAATTGACAATTTGATATCCATATTTTATTTTACATATCATAAAAAATTACATTTTGCTATCTAAAATTCTTATGATGACATTTTGTACTGTTCTTTTTTAAATTTTCATAATAGGCCAAAGTTCAATCGACACTTAGATCAATGAGTCTAATGATTTATGAATTCGATGAGTCCAATTTATTTATCACGTACTATTATTTTGTGTTCTTGTGGAATTATACTAGATCAAATTGAGATTTGATAAGAACATCCCAACCACAATACTTCACGATTCAATCTTATGAATAGTGATGCTCAAACTAAAAGCAAACTCGTCTTATATTTAAGACTAATAATCGGTTCGGTCATAATCGGAATCTTTTAGTTGGTTATGGGTTAACCGTTTTAAGTTCTTTATACTTAACATTAACCAGACCGTTTAAATTAGTTGGTTAATCGTAATCATATAGTTGGTTCTCGATTATTTTGTCGGTTAGCCGGATAACAGTTAATCAAGTGATTCAACATGATTATACCAAAATAACTATTCAATAACCTGGCCGGTTGGGTTGCCGGGTTAAGTGGGTTTGTTAGCCATTTTTTTATTATTATTTACACTGATGTGTCTTGCTAACGGGGAGATCAAGGACGAAATTTTGGACGGAATTACTATTTTGTTATCCATTCAAACTTTTATTACCGAAACGTGCAAAATTAAAGGATTGTGACTGTTTTGTACAAAGTGAATAGTTTTGTGACCATTTATGATAACTATCCGGGATTATACTATAGTGAGAGACACCTATCTCTTTGGGTTTGCCTAGTGTCTACTTTCCTGCTCGTTAGGAGACACGTGTAGTGTGTTGACTATTTCACATCTCTTGGGTGATCAATTATGGAATTTTCCATTGTAAAATTCGGTGATAACGCGGCATATGGCCAACCGTTCTCTATTTCTCCAGCTAGCACAGAGGCAGAGCACACCGTGTTACATTACACCACCACCACCCAACCAAAAGTTATCGTCTAGAAGAACTTCCACCCAGCCAAAACCCAAAAGTACAACTACTACAATTTGAGGTCGTATTATGGGCCAACCGTGGATTACATTGGGCTGGGCCGATCTCCGCTACTATGGGCGCATGGCCCATCCGGTCAACGTGGGCGAAGTAAACAGTTTCAACGGAAGAAGAAGAAATGGACTGGGGTCAAATGTCGGTGATTGGGAATTGAGGACGACGCCATCTGTCCATCATTCCCACGCTCCCCAATACTTATTCTGTGCCGACAGCGCTCTCCCCACGATCAGGGGCGGACCTGTGTGTTGGGTAGGGGTGTCGCCCGACACCCCTTCGCCCGAAATTTTTGTGAAGGACCTATATTTTTTCGGTACAAAAAATTTTAATACGAAATTTCCGACACCGCTCTAATAATTATAGACGAACCCATTCATTATACTAGAAATTATTTATTGTTATAAATGTGTTCATCTTAATTTTTAATTATTCATACTAAGTAAAATAATTTTGGTTTAGTCTAAATAACCCATCACCATAAAATTCCACCCCACATACAAACAGCAGTAAAGCACCCTTGCTGGAAGAACAAGGCGTAGTACCCCTCATCAGCCCACAAACTTGCATCACTATCAAGTTGAGCTATTTTATGAAGTCATTGATATGCAATTGCAAGAATTGAATACTCGATTTGGTGAGGTGAATACTCGATTGTTGGACTGCATTTCTTGTTTTAGTCCAACTAACTCTTTTGCTGCTTTTGATAAAGCAAAGTTGATGAGTCTTACTGAGTTTTATCCTGAGGAATTCTCATCCAATGTGCACTCAAGACTTGATCAACAATTAAGAGGCTACATTTCTCATGTCAAGGAAGATAGGAGCTTTGATGGATTGCAGGGAATCGACGAGCTAGCTAGAAAATTGGTTGAGAGAGAAAAGGATACTTTATATCCTTTAGTTTTCTTGCTTCTGAAGTTGGTGTTGACTTTACCTGTTGCAACTGCAAGCTGTGAAAGAGCATTTTCAGCTATGAAGATCATCAAGAACGATCTTCGGAATCGGTTGAGTGACCAATTTATGAATGATTGTTTAGTTGTGTATATTGAAAAAGCTATATTTTGCAACTTAAGCGATGAATGTATTCTAGAAACATTTCAGAATATGAAAAGTCGTCGTGGTTCGTTGTAAACGTGACATTATGAACTTATGAATTAATTTCTAATAATTTTTATTTTTATTTTATTATTATTATTTTTTTTCGGCGACACCCCTCTTCGACAATCCTGGGTCCGCCACTGCCCACGATCCAAATCGATTGCTTGCTTGTTTATCAAATCAGCCGGCCAAGCAGACCAAACCGGATCCCAAATCTAACCCATAACCCAAACCAAATCCATGCTACTCAATCTGCCCGCCTACTCCCAGTGGCCAATAGTTTCGCTTGCAAGCTACGGTTGTTCACAAGGTTGATTTGAATGCACAAGGAGCTCCCAAATTTCAACAACAGTTTCATTGTCATCCTTTCACGGCGAGAGAAATGAGAGAAAGGAGAAAAATGGATCGAAAGCCTGAGCCTGAGGTTCAGACGTCTGCGTCTGTCATCTTCATCAACCAATCCACTTCCCAAATAAATGCACCAATCCATTTCATTAGGCCCCCAAACGCTTTAGAAATGCCATTTATTCGTTTGATCCGATGAGCTAAAATAAGTAACAAAAAGCGACACAATTTATTTCTACCAACTCACATCTCAGCCGTATAAATCAAATCCAACGGTGTGTAAACCACGGCCATTTCATGAAATAAATATTTAAAACAAAAAGGAAAATAATTAAATTCAGTTGCCCTTGCCCTCTTCTGATAATCATAATCCGCAGCATCAACTAACTGCAAGCTCTCTACTCGTTTGCTCTTTCTCTCTCTCTCGCCTCTCGGTCTCTCCCGCTTCGCTCGGCCGACTCCGGTCTCTTCCGTTCCGTAGAAATTTTCGGATTTCCTTCTTCCGGTCTCCTCGATTTCCCGCTCCCGTCGCTGTGCATTTCGCGGTTGCCAGCTGAGCTCGCCGCCGGCGGTTTCCTTTCGGGGCAAATCTAGCACTTCTTCGCCGGTCCGATTTGCAGTGCGAGGAGTAGTCTGATTGCTATCGGATCTGCGAGACGCACTTCGATACGCTCCGGACTGAGATGCGCGTTGATTAGCGAGTGAGATCGCTACCAATTGCGCTTCGAAGCAGCCGTACTCATGGCGATCTCTAGTCCTATCACTCCCGGCCAGGTGCGTCTTTCAATTCCTGGTCTAACCGAGTAGTTTATGTTTCTAGATCTCGTTCTTCCATTGATTCCGAGCCGTATCTTGGGGAATTCTAAGCTGATTCGTGCCTTAGAGAGTTTCGTCGGTGCATGCGAGTGATCCGACTTTCGTTTTGTGATTAGGAGGATGTAGCCATGTAGGTTTATGGATGATGCGTTGTTTGTGCTCTTAACTGTGTGTTGTGTTGATACGTAGGTCTCCTTTTTCCTTGGAATCATACCTGTGTTCGCTGCGTATGTCTACTCAGAGTTTCTGGAGTACAAGAGAAAGAGAGTAACCAAAGCGTAAGGGCAAACTCTCATTGTCTTTAGTTCAGCTCCTTTCTATCGTATGCACTAGTTACTATATGCAAATAACGTGTATGGTGGCCATCGACGACTTGTTTGATCAGAACCAGAGAGATGCACTAGGGAATTGCTGCAATAAGATCTTGCTGTTTCTGTTTCGTGCTTCTGTTTCGTGTTATTGAGTTTACGATCTTTGCTAGTAGGCACTCGGATATCAGTTTAGTTGAAGTGGGGCTTGATGTGGTCAAAGACGATGATAAAGCTGTTCTGTTGGAAGGAGGGGGTCTTCAATCCGTCTCTCCTCGGGCTCGTAACTTGCATTCTTCATCTCCGATATTCAGGTTAGTGGATAAATTTTTTTCAGATCATTTATGATCTGGTAATCTGTTTTTTTTCCCCTTTGGTTTGGAGGGAAAAATAAATCTGTGTGCATTGTACTTGCTAGGTTCCTTTTCATGGATGAGCAGTATTTGTTGGATAATCGATTGAATCTTAGAGCAATGTAAGTATTTTGAGTTTGACTCAGAGATAACTCAATTTTTATTGTAGAATCACTTTTGATGAGTCCGTCTTCTGCCATGTACAGTTCCGAGTTTGGTTTCCTTTTGGTGTACTTTTACCTTTGCGACCGCACTGATGTCTTTGGCTCTTCAACAAAGGTCTTGCCACCAATTTATATCTTATTCATTTTCTTCCTCTTTGAAGTTCTATGTTATCTACTCCGAGCTGCTGCCTTTATATTTATATATCGAAACAAGCAAAAAAGATCACTGTAGTCATGGTAGATGTCTGCTTGACAACCAGCCTTTGTCTTTTGTGCAGACCTACAACCGGGATCTTTTCTTGTTCCTCTACTTCATTCTCATCATTGTTTCAGCCATTACTTCTTTCACGATACACCATGATAAGTCACCGTTCTCTGGAAAACCCATTCTTTACTTGAACAGACATCAAACCGAGGAGTGGAAAGGCTGGATGCAGGTTTGTCTACTTTCTTTTTGCCTAATGTTCACATTGTGGATATCACCACATAGCTTCACTAGAGCAAGCGTTGCTGGGAAATAATTAGTCTTCCTATCATTGGTAACAGGTTCTATTTCTGATGTACCATTACTTTGCTGCAACGGAGTTGTATAATGCAATCCGAGTGTTTATTGCTGCATATGTCTGGATGACTGGATTCGGAAACTTCTCCTATTACTACGTGCGGAAGGATTTTAGTCTTGCCAGATTTGCACAGGTAAGATATCGTTGGAATTTCTATTTGGCCTCTCAAATTTGTCTTTACAAAGAGCCTACTCAAATTTGAAATTTATTGTTCTTAACAGATGATGTGGCGGCTTAATTTCTTGGTCATATTCTGCTGCATTATTCTCAATAACAGTTACATGCTATACTACATTTGCCCAATGCACACTCTCTTCACTCTTATGGTGTACGGGGCCCTCGGTATTCTGAACAAGTACAACGAAATTGGGCTGGTCATTGGGGCAAAGATTGTTGCATGCTTCTTGGTCGTGATTTTCATATGGGAAATTCCTGGAATGTTTGAGATCCTCTGGGGCCCATTCACTATATTTCTCGGTTGGTATCTCTCAGAAGTTTGTGTCATGTCATAGCTTGCCGCGACTACTGGCCTTCCTGTATCTAACAACACTGTAATTGTTGTAGGTTACACTGATCCTGCAAAACCTAATCTGCCTCTCTTGCATGAGTGGCATTTCCGCTCTGGGCTTGATCGTTATATCTGGATAATTGGAATGATTTATGCATACTATCATCCGACAGTGAGTTCCACTCAAAATTAAGAGGCATTTCTAGTATGTGGAATAAGTATTAGTTTTTTGGTTTTTGTTGATGTTTTTTCCTGTATGACTTCACAGGTAGAAAGGTGGATGGAGAAGCTGGAAGAAATGGAAATGAAACGTAGAATATCAATAAAACTTGTTGTGTCTTCAATTGCATTAACAGTATGTATTGTTCTCTCTCTCTCACTCTCTCTTCCAATCCCTTTCCCTTTCTGTTTGTCTGTTAATACTCACTAGTTTCCCTGAAATTCATAGGTTGGATATCTGTGGCTTGAGTACATATATAAGTTGGACAAGATTACTTACAACAAATTCCATCCTTACACCTCATGGATACCGATAACGTATGTAATGCTTCCCTAAGTAGTACATTTGACTACTCTATACTTATGCCGATTGATTAATTTTTATGTCATTGATAGTGTATACATTGTTCTGAGGAATGTCACCCAGTACTTCCGGAACTTCAGCCTGACCCTTTTTGCGTAAGTTACATGCTTTACATACTAACTTGTTAACCCTGTGACTTTATGCTTACCTATTGACTTCTGACATTTTGTTCCGTGGTCACTAGATGGCTTGGAAAAGTCACCCTGGAGACTTACATTTCTCAGTTCCATATCTGGTTGAGGTACGCCTGACTTCTGTATGATTGTGTCATTTATGGTTTTAGCTTCTAAAATTTAAGCTTTTAGAAAATTATCTCAAACAAACACGCTAGACCTATTTATTCACAACCCTACACATAATTTTTAAATCTCAAAGGCACGCCATAAGATGATTTCATTGCTAGATTCACTTGAACAAACCATGTCATGTTCCATCCTCTCTTTTTGGTTATCGCAACTCAGTGCCTTATTCTAAGCCTTACGAAACCCTCCTAAACTTTAAGTTATGACTCCTACAAAATCTCAATTTGTTAGAAAATCAAAGGAACAAATACTCCTACATTTTTGTTTTGCTTTTCAGAAATGGGCTGTATGTTTATTTTAGTGCTAGTTTATAGATTCATACATCCTACCTTGTCTTCCATCAGCAAAGATATTTATTATCGATCTCATACTTGGTTGTGATTTGAATTTCTGGTAATGAACTTGCAGATCAAGCACCCCAGATGCTCAACCAAAATTACTGCTATCTCTGATCCCGGATTACCCGCTGCTTAACTTCATGCTTACTAGTGTGATATACGTTGCAGTAAGTATCAGATGTTATATGCTTTTTATGGTTGTTATAGGGCAGGGTTATCTGAAGCTTGACTTTGCTGCTGCTTCCATAGGTTTCCTACAGACTCTTTGAGCTGACAAATACATTGAAGATTGCTTTTGTGCCCAGCAAAGACAATAAGCGGCTGGTGCACAACATTATAACAGCCGCAGTTCTTTCCACTGCTCTGTACTCGCTGGGCTTTATATTTCTGAGAGTTCCCCAGTTAATGGTAAGAATTAGCTCTTTGTTATCGACCATCTCAACAGTATAGATGCATACCGTTTTTTCGTCATAGGAGTACTCTGACTGCCTTGTAATCTACAGGTTTAAACTTAACGGGCCACCACAGAGTTCCAAATAGGAACATTATATGCTTGTTCTCGCATCTTTGCTTCTTGTGCAAAGAATCTGAGCTGCTAAGAATGAAGGAATTGTGCCGCTCTTGACTGCTGAGTCAGTCTTTTGGTTTGAAGATTTTCTACCTTTGTATAGGTAACAAGCAAGGTGCGTTTATGATCTCCAAAGAGAAGAGGCCCCCCTGTATTTTGCCCCCTTTCATTCTCGGGTCGATTAAGTGTAGCTGTTATAGTAGTCCAAAATTTACTTTGTTGGGATGAGTTATAAGAATCAGAGTCTGTATGTCATACAAAGTAAGCGTTCGCGTTATTCATTCTTTCGCTCATCGCTACGTACGGGAATCCACTAGTGGTATCATTGCCCGAATTCGTGTTTCGTACAACGTCCTGCTAGATTTAAACTTAAACCGAGGGAATACAATTTTCTTTATCTGATGTTCTTGTCTGAATAAAGATGAGTTATCAGCAATAATCCTATCTAATGGTGTATGGATCCTAGGTTCAGATCAACCGTTCCCTTGATACGTTACCATGTTATCTTGAGATATAAGATGTATCACGGACAACTACTCTACTCGGAAAGAAACTAACATACCCAAATGATAAATTCGCAAATACTTCTTAACAAACCATTTCCCTCGCCCAATCTGCCACCTCGAGATACTTCGGAATAAGAAAAGGGAAAGAAGAGGAACCCTCAAGCATCATGGAAAACATTTCATCAGCCAGAATGCAACAACTTTGATTCCCCCAGTTTTATCAAACAAAAGCGACCAAAATAAGACGAGCAAAACCAAGTGATTCCCACAGTGGTATTTTGCACTCTGGTACAGGGTCCTTGTAACCATCAGAGAACTCCGCCTGCTACTGAATATCCATCCACCCTTCCGCGCTTAAGATGGGATGAAATGTACTCCGCGATCAGAATATGTGCACAATGTCGTATGCGAATCTGTTGTCACGTCAAGGAAAAATACATCTCTACCTTGCTAATGTGCTGCTTCCCAACAATTGAAAATATGGCATGGCAGAGAGGTCTATATCTGGTCGCCAACAGTTTGAATGTCGAACTGTTGCTGTAGAGGATCTTACTCAGTTAACTAGCATACATCGGATTTGCCCATGATTTATATTTTAATTCTCACGTTGGGTTTAACTAGCATGCCAGACCTATCATGTAATGAAAGATGACGTGACAATTATCTCAATATCTGGTTTATGTTCTCATTACCACGTTGTATAGGGTTTTAGCTATCTATTACTGGAAGATAAATAAGAAACCATATTTCAGAAGAGTGAAGGATACGTCCAGAAGAGCACGAAAGACTGCACAGGAAAACAGAAAAAAAAAGTCAAGCTAAAGAAATAACAGAAAACCAGCCATTCATGCAGTTCTAAGATAATAACCGAATAATACACAAAGATGGAGCTATCTATTCTCACTTTACTTGTTGAGGTCTCTATGTCTAACGGTTAACTAGTGCAGGAATTTCTTCAAAGCTCTAACAAATCAACCTAGAGTATGATGCACCATGCATATATTATAGTGAAGTATCCATGGTAACTACATCTCATGGAGGTCAATTTCTTATGGGAGGGGTAACTTAAGATCAGAAAAGCGGGGTAAACGTGGATCAGAAAAGCCCACTTCTAACATCTCATTCCTGTTAAAGAAAAGATAAAAAAAACTGAATAGAAGATGTCGATTGTGTGAAACTAAGAGAAACATACCATAAGCCCACCAAAGAAGCCATCAAGCAGGATTCGGTTCCAAGAGTCAAAGTAGGAGTGAACAGAGAACTTTGCCTTGGCTGCGAGTGCAGCCGAAGTTACAGCCATGACAAGGAAGTAGAAAACAATTCCTATCACGCCATTGAATCCAAGAATTCCAGCAATTACGCCACCAATGATTGACAGAAACGTCCGACTGCACAAAAAAATGAACATATTTAATACACAGATTCAGACAAACAAATTCTAGCCTATGAACGAACAGTTCATTCCACTACTTAGCTAGCAACAACTAGGCTTTGTAGTAAACTATATAAGCCATTTCTGCATATTCACCAAACTAACGGAGGTTCATTTTGAAACATTTCATTATGTGAACACAATATCTTGGAGAGACTTTTCTTAGCCTGGACCAGGAATTTACATTAAGAAACACTCAGTTATGGGACAGAACTTTCATGGAACAAAGTCATAATAAGGAAACAGAACTAATCCTAAGCCCTAGAATCTCAGAACCAGCAATCACACCACCAATGATTGATAAAATGTTAAGATGCCAAAAAGTTACACGAAATATACAATACATAAATACTTATTCTGGTCCTGACTGCATGATACTATCAGTTAGTTTTACCCCGCGTGTACTAACACTTCAGTCTTTCTCTACAATAATCTGAGCCAGTTTTCAAATCTGTCTCACTAAGAAGTAACAGGAGCTACATAACACTACCAAAGAGAAATGTTGCTCAGTATGAAACTGAATTTTGCAATTATAAAACAAATGGAAAGAGCAAAAAAATGAAGTTATATCCACAACAAGCAAATATCCAATTCTAATAAGCCCTTGAATCCCAGAATTCCAGCAATTACACAACCGCTAAAGGCTGAGAGAACTTTTCGAAGGCACAAAATCAACATGTCAGATTCATAAGTACAGGCAGAACAACAAAATGTTCTCACTCCTGTGCAAATGTGTAACAAACTATGAGTTCATTCCACCCCTAGTCTATAGCTCGTTAGTCTTTCCATAGTCATCTAAGCTAGTTCGCTAAACTCACTCCATTCGCCAGAGCTTAATCATGAGAAAATCAATTCTGTGAACACAATTCATACTAGACATTTTCTCAGTCTCCACTTAGCACTAAGAGACACACATTAGGAGCAGAACTTTCATGCAACATCAAGATAACATCAACAGTGCACAAGGCCATCAAAATGAGACTACTGCATCTAATGGACTACCAGAACGAACCTGTAATAAATAACTTTCATGTTACTCTGCAAGTTCTCGGCATTGAAAGTTTGCAAGTCATTCAAGGCATCAGTCGGTTTCTTGTCCGACGAACTCGAGTCACCATGTCCAACAGCCATAACGTCTGACTCCAATTTATATACCTCTAAGCTGAATAAGGCGCAACCTAAACATTTTATCAGCAAAGAAGTTCAGATTCATCACTGATCTTACTCTCCATCCTTCCTCGGAGGAACAAGTACTCAAAGGAATAACACAGCAAAAAAATTCGAAGTAAAAGAAGAAGTAATCTCAAACCGTAACGAACACATACCTTATAGCTCAAGCCGCAAGAGCAGTCGACGTTTTAGCTCCGAAGTCCGAACTGCTTCCGCACACCGATACCGGAAATCGACAGATTCTACAACTCATCGGAGAAGAAAGCAGCAAAGTGAGTCCACGGAGTGAGCAAAGAGGGAGCGAGAGAAGAAAGGAAAACTGAATTCATCGGAGATCTCGACGGAACAATTCGTTCAACGAAAAGCGAATTCCGAATCTCAGCCTAGCGGAACTCGTCAACCGAAAACACATCCTACTAGCAATTATTATAATCACAAATGAATCGCCGGAAAGCAGCTAAACTAAGGAGCATAGTTGCGAAGGACATTACCGCCGGCGAAAGAGAGCTCCAACTCTTCTGCTCTTCTCTGCTCAGGCGGAGAGAAACTCGTCGCTCAATTGTGTTTCTCTGACTTCCGAGTTTCCAATTGGTTTAGCTCCTTCCGGAGTTCTTTTATATCTTCCGTAAATTTCAGTTAACTCCCTAATAATTTATAAACTTACTAATAGCTCCTTGTACTATCTTTTTTCTTCTTGTCTCGCCCAGTGAAACGACATCGGATCATTGCTTCCCCGCCTCCGGGGGGAAACAGTTACAGGAGGAAGAATAGTAACTCGTTTCCTACATTTCTGAAACTCGATTCCTTTTCTGCTGTTCGAATTCCGATGAAGAAAAGAAACGGAAACAGAAAAGCTTCGGATTTTCGTGTGGCAGTGGGATCGGCTTTCGCCTCAAAAAGGGTATGTCTTCCCTTTGTGATTATGGCGGGATTTGAGTTCATCGTTTGTTGAATTAGAGAATGTAGCTGCTTGCTTGAGTAGGGTTCACTAGCTCTAGACTATTTCAAGTCAATTGCCAATTCAAAAGCCTTCAAACAGACCGCGCTAACCTACAGAACCATGATCCGGAGGCTCGATGATGAAGGTAATGTTGATGGCATTCAGTACCTTCTTCACCAGATGAAGTTAGAAGGACTCCATTATAATCCCAACTTGTCCGTGAATGTGATGAACAGTTTTGTGAAAGTGGGTTTATCCGAACAGGCGCTGAAGTTTTTTTCTATAGGATTGATGATTCGGTTGAAGATGTATAATCTCCTTTTGGATGCATTGCTTAGTGAGAATAGGTTTGAGATGGTTAGTTCCACATACAGGATTATGAAGGCAGAGAGAATGGAACCAATTGTTTATACTTGCAACATTCTTTTGAAGGCTATGTGTAAGAACAATCGGGTGGATGCTGCTCGGAAGTTGCTCTTGCAAATGCCGGATAAAGGTTGTGGATGTTGTTAGCTATACAACTGTAGTATCATGTCTGTGTACTCTTGGGAAGGTGGATGAAGCTAAAGAGCTTCCAACTAGATTTCAGCCTTGCGTGCCTAGGTATAATGCTCTGATCAATGGATTTCTGTAAGGAGGAAAGGATTCTGGAGGTGATTCAGCTGTTAGATCAAATGGAGAATTGAGTTCCCCTAAATGTCATAACTTACTCAACAGTTATAAGCTCACTTGCAGATAGAGGGAATGTTGAGCTAGCTCTGCAGCTGCAGCTTATTGGCAAGATGGTGGTTTTAGGCATGAAGCCTGATGCTTTTACATTTAATATGGTCGATTGGTCGTTGATGCTTATTCTAGGGAAGGGAAGGCTTGAGTTCCTTTCCTGACAGTAGCTAGCTTAGATAAAGTAGGATCAATTTCTTTGTTTGGCGATATCATATCTGATAATGGCTAAGAGACACCAATCACCGCAAGTTAGTTGGGTGGTGGAAATTGATAGATTGACTGAATGAGGTTTGCTTCTTCTAGCTATATTGTTGTTTGGGTGTTATTGCACATGTGGTCATTGATGAAGCATAGCTGGTTGGAAGTTGTACAGAAATTGGAATTGGTCGTTTGGATGGATCAATCTAGAAATGAGTCAATTTGATCAATTGTCTCGTTTTATAAATGAGGCAATTAAAACGAGTCAATTCGAATTACCTGCCCCCACCCCAGATAATTGAAATTGACTCAAAACTGAACAATTCAAAATACCTCAAGCAGATTGATCCATCCAAATTTTTTACTGGCAAACGAGGCAATTTGGTACAATTGTCTCAAAACGAGACAATTATGTTAAATTGATCCGTTACAATTCCTCATTCAAACGACCCCTGAATCACCCCCACATCAGGACATTCCCTATTCAATGTAAGTATTACTATTTTTGGCCAGTGTTCAGATTTTGCTGACCGTGACCCAATTGAATTATTTTGATTCAAGAGTTTTGTTTTTTCATGAACACATTATACATTAGCTTTCACTGATGATTTCGATATGATCCACCCATCCCAATCTATGTGCATATAACTAGTATATAATAGAACACAGAAGATCACTCTTACCTCGTGTTCCATCTAGTTTCTCAGTCTATTTTTTTGGACCGCGACTCAATTGAATTAATATGATTCAAGAGTTTTTTTTTTCATGAACACATCATACATTAGCTTTCAATGATAATTTCGATATAATCCATAATAAATAGTACATAATAGAACACATACGATTGCTCTTGCGTTGCATTCCATCCCATTCTCAGCTCGTTTTTCTTTTAGTGACCGTGATTTGATCAATTACTCCAACTCGTTTTCTTTTTGATTTGGTGACAATTACTCCAACTCTTATTACTTGGACGAAACCAAAACACATCACAAGTTCAGCCACAGCTAAAAAAAACCAGAGCAACTAACACCTACAGAAACACAAACTACAGTAGCAACCTATCTCTAAAAAACTCGCTCTGTTCTTCTTCATCTTCTACATATACGCGAGATGCGACCTAGCAATCCGCCCTTGTGCGCCCTTAGGGTAAAACCCACCAGGCGAAGACTCATTCCCGCCGCCATAAACAATCCTCAGTATCTCCTCCGGAGTCCTCCCGTATCCCAGCGAAAACTCGTCACCCGCCAGCACGTTTCCTCTCACCTTCCTTTCCGCGCCCAATTCCTTCGGCACCACCAGCCCTTCGTCCTTCACGCCCGCGCCGCCGAGCCGGTTCCTCAGAACCGAGATCCGGTTCGTGAACTCCGCCACCGAGATCCCGTACGGGTGCACTTTAACCAGCGCCCGCTCGTACAGCAGACCCCTGATGATCGCGTCCTGCCCCGATTCCACCGCCAGCAGGCCCGCCACGAGCTGACCACGATAATCAAAACGGTTCGTCCAACTGTTGTTAGTCGAGATCGACAATTCTCAATCCAATCCATCAATCCATTAAAAATATCCAACTAATTCAATCCATTTGATCCAAATCCCATTGGATTCTTGTATTCTTGGACAGTTGGCAAATTACGGTTTAGTACCTATAATTTATATTATTTACCTAAAATTTAATGTTTCTGGTTTCATACGAAAATTATTATTGGAAAATTACGTTTTGATATCTAAAGTTTTTCATAATGCGACTTTTAAGTACCTAAACTATTTTCATTTTACACGTTGATCCAAGGTTGAGGATGTCATATGGATTCATGGATAATCCACTTGATTCAATCCATGAATCCACCAATCCATTTGATCAATGAATCCATCAATCCAATCAACAATATATGAATCCAATCCATTTGTAACCTGTATCGACTCAGTGTTATATGTTTTTTCTTTTTTAATGTTTCGGTGCGTTACCTGTCTGGAGGCGGGGCCTTGGAGTTTGGGGTTGGCGCCGACGTAGCCGGTGAGACCGACGTAAGGGATGAGGTAGCAGGCGATGAGGTAGTTGATGGAGTTGGCGTAAGGATCGAACGGTGGGGAGAGAGATTTTCCGAATGCGTCGTTGATGACTTTGGCGAATGAGGCCGGGCTTAGATCGAGTTGTGGCCGCGGGAATCCCTTCACGTTGCTCTTGATTGCCCTGGCATGGTTTAGAAGAAGAAAAAAAACATAATTACAGAGTGAGTAATCCTCACCTAGAGTTTTGTTTAGCGACCAAATCGTCGAGGTTTCACTAGCACCTAATATAAAAAAAAAATTTAAATTTACATATAGGAATGACAACAATACGGTTCGAGACAAGGAATCTCGATACCTGTACTCGTTTCGTGACAAGTTCAGTTCAGATCGAATAATTTATCATTCGACACGAGTCGGGACAGACCGATCCATATGAGTATGTAGTTGAAAATAAAATTATTGTTTTTTCATTAAAAATTCAAGAAATATGATAAATATAATTAAATTATTAAAGAAATCAAAATTTTCTCACATATGTACCGCTTTATTATAGTTAAAATATGAGATAATAAAAGTAAATTAAAAAAAATTACATTTAGTTTACGAAAAATAGATTTTGAATCAACAGGTCATATGACAAATCGGATCGAGACGAATATGCATGCTTGCCCCGACCGCCCGACTAGGAGACAAATATTACCTGCCTTAAAAACATGCCAAAAGTTTAGGTAAACCGGATCGAACAAAAATTTTGTCACCAAAGTGCTAACTAAACCAAAACGAGAAGAACAAAAGAAAGTGGAAGTTTTTTTTTTTTTTTAAATTAGTAGTAGTAGTGAATCAAGTTAGTTAGTTACTTCACGTGGCCGACTTCTTGCCATGCAAACTGCTCGACGATGTCGCGGGTGACGAGGTCGAGATTGGCCTTGCGAGCGCCGATGGGCGGAGGGCCACCGTCGGTCAGGTTCGGGGCGTAGACGTCCAAGCCGTGGCCCAAGGCGCCGAAGAGGAAGAACTCTGCCTCCAGGTACTCCAGGTTCAAGGGGAACTCGACCAGATCGACGTCGGACTGCGGCACTTTGGCGATGGCCGGAGGGCGGCGGCGGGGGCGGTAGCGGTCGCCGCCGAAAGAAGACGAGTGGGAGAATGGGAGAAGAAGGAGAAGTAGTGCCGTTAAGAAAGAGAAGCAGACAAGGTGGGAAGTAGCCATGGCTGAGAGCGAACGTAGTAGTGTCAAAAGAGTTTTTAATGACCGAATGAAATGTTCAATTTACGTGTATTTATAATGGCTTAGGGCCGGGGAGAGGGACAAGTGGAGATGAACAGGGACAAGTGTTGCTCATTCAAGAGAGGATGGGGAGCAAATTCAGGACAAAGCAAAATGATCTGTTCCTCTTTGTTTTCTCTTCTTCTTTCTTTCTTTGTTTCTTTTGAGCAAAATTTTAGGCATGTGATGTGATAAGTTGTATTTGGGAAAGGGTTTAAGGTTAACCATATGCTCAACTTTGTGGTTCTTCACATCTCCTTTTTTGCCATCTCTTTTGTGTTGGTAGCCAAGAAGAATATCTTACTTACGATAATCTATTTTTGGTTTAAGTAGATGTTAATTTGGGTTAGTAATTTGTTTCATTGATATTTTTAATTATTCTATTGGATATTGATCTTTATACGAATTTGTTGGACGTATTCCCTCTTGTTTAATGAAAATTTAAAACACCATGACGGTCTACCGTTTATGACTTTATGCCGGTTTCACTTAAAATTGTTATCTAGTTTGAATTGCAATAAAAATATAGTGTCTAGGAGCAAATGTCATTCAGAATTCGTAGCATGACATCGAATTTGAATTGCGTAGAGCATCCATCCCCTAGCTAAGAAGAAGACAAATTCTACCTAAAATAAATAAATGCGTGGTATGGAATTCAAACATTTACGTGTTCGCAATTCATTTCCTTACCAACTGCCCCCCAAATGCGAATTCATTTCACATTTCCTCCCTAAGCCAAAAGTGATGGATGTTGATAGAGCCTAGAAGCGTGCGACCTTTTATCAAGGTTTCTAACTCCATCCATCCAAACAAACAAAACATTGGTTGCCCTTCAAATTTGTGTTCAACTTCTCTACTCAGTTGGTAATCTCTATTTCATTTTGACAACCGAGCTCATATCAGCTCTTAGCTTCTTAGGTCGGCCTGACAACCTGACATGTCTGTCAGGCCGGCTTCAGGAAGTGCCCAGGCAATTCCCCGGCCTTGGCCTCAAGCTTTGCTAGTTAGTCGCAGACCTTGAACACTAGCCTCTGATCCAAGCCTGACCGACATTTCCCTCGCAGCCTCGAGCTCTCTGTCGAACCAGCTCAATGCTTCGACACCTCTCGCGGTGCTATTCAAAATCGAATATGGCTTCGAAGGATTACTAAAAGAGACATACCTATGAAGCCCTACTCAGCTGAAACAGGGATAGATATGCAAATAATAGCAAGCGCAAGAGTAGAAAGTGAAAGATCCAGGGCAAAGGAGCTTCAACAATATTAGGTAAACGAACTACCTTGTACTATAACCATCTTCTGATAAAACCACGGACTCATCAACACACACTAATCAAACCTAGCCTCAGACCAGAACCCAAAAAAAAGGTCGAAGACAAGAAACTACCTTCTCACTTTATCAGCCACCTTATTCCTTCTCCTCAAGTTCCCTGAACCAGTTGAATTCACACTCTCATTCTCTTCTTCCTCATCATCGTCATCAATGTTAACAATCACAACTCCATCATCATCCATTTCTTCATCATCCTCCACCTCACCTTCTTCTTCATCATCCTCTTCATCCCACTCCTCGTCATCGTCAAGCTCTTCATCTAGATCATCATCACCATCCATACCAGCGCGAAGGGCATGGAACTCAAGTGGAGGAGGGCAGTCCTCGGTGATAGCTTTATCTCTCTTGATCACAAGGTGTCGAATGACCCTTTCATCCTGGTCTAGCATGGTCTTGAACTCATTGATCCATCTAGCTTCAATCTCGAAGTTCATCAGAATGTAGTGAGCGTTCTTGGCTTTCTGAATCTTGTATGCCAGCCTTCTCATCCCCCAGTCATTCATTCTCCATATCTTCCCCTTCTTCTCCCTCAGGAAATCTAACCAGAAACCAAAGCTTCTTTTAACAAGGCATTGACGAAAGCAAGAAAGAACATTTCACCAAATCTAAAATTCAACTCTGCACAAGTAACATAGTCATTTACACTACCTTGAACCTTCTCATTTACAGCATCGACTTCTTCGGCATGCTTCTCATGGATTAGATAAACCACTTCGTAATGGCGCACTAGGAATACAAACACAAAGGAAACAGATGTGAACAGAAACCTAAATTCAACCATAGAAGTACCTTCTGAAATGAGCTAAAAAAGCAGTAAATTGGTGGGGGGAACTGAACGAGAAACAAAAGGAAATGCTGTATTACTTACTCAGGTCGTCCTTCAAATCGCTTTGAAGCTCCAGGTTAAGAAAATCGTATAGCTCTTCTGCAGAAATCAAAGGAACAATTGCCCATCACTACCACAATCCAGCAATTTCTTCAAGAGAAGACAACACGGGGATAGAGACAACGAGTTTATTTACCTTCTTCGTCATCACCGAATTCGGGCATGACGCTGCCGTCTTCCTGCACTTGCTTCTGCAATTCATGGCAGCTTAAAGAGTTTAATTCGAGAGGAATGAAGAAAAAAAGGCAAAACCCCAGTAAAACCCCTCTGAAATTGGCGAGAGAGATTTACCTGCCGTAGAAGGACGGCTTCGGGGAAAGGTCCAGTGGATTCATCTTGTTTGGGAGCGAAGTAATGGCTGTCGTCTTCGTATTTCTTGTCTTTCTTCTTCCGAGCGCGAACTGCGGCGGTCGATTCCCTCCTCAAATTGAGGGACGGCAGAGGAGCGGAAGAAGAAGAGGAAGAGAAATGAAGGGGAAAGTTGAAGGAAAAGGTAGAATTGCTGCTGCCGCCGGCGATTATCCGTCGTCCTGTAAGGGCCGGGTTTGGATAGAATACAGAGGAGGTGTGGAAAAGCGACTCCATTGACGACAAGCTGCGCAACTACAGCAGCAGCTCGGGAGGATGAGTGTGGTGATGATACAAACAACAAAATAGATGGGCCACCCGACCCGTCCTTTAACCCGGAAATTTGTTCGCTCCAATTAGCCTGTTACAAGAACCGAACAGCTCATTGGTCGGACCAGTAGAATCACTAACCTATTACGATAGTAATTCTGCCTATTTGGCATTTGCTTATCACTTATCAGGTTAGGGATGAAACTTTAACGGTTCAACATGAAATCATATGAGTCACTTCCATTTCACTGGTTCACTGTTTTAATCACAAAAAAATTATGAAAATAAGTATTTTAATATAAACTAGGACGCCATCCAATTTGAATAAATCATTTTATTCCTACTTCCTCATATCCTTGGTTCCTACCTCCTGATCGACATTATATAGTCCATTGCAGAATATTGCCACCATAATTACTAACTTGAAATTAATAATTTTTTATGATTCATTTTGAAGGATGTGTTATAAATTTGGGATATATTATATGAATTTAAAATTATTTATAATTAGTGATAAATTCAATTAGGAATGACAATTAACAGGTTCGAGACGAATTTTTTGGTATCCCCAGACCTGTCTGTGACAGATCAAATCCAGATCGGATAATTTATTACGAGTTGTGGGTGTGGACAGGCCAACCCAATAGGTATGTAATTTATATAAAAATATTTAAAATATCTGTTATTTTTATTAAAAGACCAAAAAAACAATATAAAAATATAGTTAAATTATTGGAGAAATTGAGGTTTTCACTAATTTACAACTTTATTATAATGATGAAATAAAAGAAAAATTATAAGTAATTTGATTAAGATTACAAGTAATTTAGACAAAAACTGATTAAGAATGGAGCGAGTCAGAGAACAGGTCAAATCGATGAGAGTACTCATATCCGCACTAAAACAAATCAAACAAATCGAGTAAAACGGGTTGGATCGAAATTACCTCCCTAAATTCAATCCTCAATTAGTGTTTTGCATACAATTTTTTACTAGAACGGTTTCTATCAACAGTACTAACTTGTTCGGATCAACAGCTAATAAGGTTATGAAAACAGAGCCAGTTAAAAAAAAAACCCCATCGTTTTGGTCTTTTGGGTAATGGTTCGCCTTTTTCCAATGTTGATCTTAGGTCGCGTGTTTGCCATATAGTAAGCTACACAGTCTCTGGTTCATCAGAGATCCAGAGTTATAGCATAGTATAATTTCTTAGGACTAGCTAGTTATAGCAATTAATTAGAGTTTGTTATCACCATTAAGGAGCGTCGTCTCCAACTTGTTGCATGATCACAAACTACAAGTTAGTTACCGCGCACATACAACACACATATACATGCACCTTTATTCCAAGAGGACATACAACACGTACACATCCAACACCGAAACTGAAAAACACGTTACGTACACGTACTAGTAGCTATAGCTAGGTTGCCATATTCAAAAGCACTTTTGTGATCATCACATGCATATTCTCGACACAACCACCACCATCACGCAACTTGCACCTCAACGGTCCTGGGCTTCTTGGGCTCCTCCGGCGGCTTCTTCTCCACCGTCACCGTCAGCACCCCGTCCTTGTACCTCGCCGCCACCTTCTCCACGTCGGCGTTCTCCGGCATCGGAAACCTCTTGAGATACTTGCCCAGCCGCCTCTCCATCCTCACGTACCGTATCCCTTGGTCCCTCTCCTTCTCCCTCTTCCTCTCCCCGCTCACCACCAGCGTCCTCCCGTCCTCCTCCACGTCGACCCTCACCTGGTCGGCCGAAAGCCCCGGCATGTCCAGCACGAACACGTAGGCGTCCGGGAGCTCCTTCACGTCGGCGGGGGTGGCGGCCATCGCACGCGCTTCGCGGAGGTATGCCCCGGAAGGGTGGTGGCCGCCGCCGCCGCCGGAGGAGGACTTCTCGGTGGTGGTTTCTTCGATGAGCTCGTGGATGACGTCGAGGAAGGAGTGGTCGAAGCCGGGAATGGCGTTGAAAGCTACTTCCATGTTTTTTTTTTTTGTCGGATATATCGGGAGGTTGAAGTTTACGTTGAGGTACGGAAAGTGGTATACGGTAATATATATATAGGCTGTGGTTAGATAAGATCAATGTGATTGATGATGATGATGATGGAGTATGTTGTTCTTTTTTTTATTTGTTTCAGACGGTGGCGGTGGAGTTTGTCGTTTTGTGGGGTGCAACGTGGACACGTTGCATGCAGGTAGCGATGGAAAGTTGGAAATCTGTGGAAGCATCTGACACTCTTCTAGTTCTAGTTCTATGGACCGTAACCCAATCCTAGAATTCTGGAAGGCAAAAGAGGAGAGAGCCAACATTACTATGACTTGTCAAGTTACATGCTCGAAGAGCACATTGAATATGTAGATGTTAATTTTCTTTTTCCGTATTTGATTAATAAAGCTCCACCTCATTACGCTTAGACAAATGGATGTATTTAATTAATGTTTGGAAGTTAGATTGTTTAAATGGATGTATTTAATCAATGTATGTATTATAATTAGATGCATTGTTTCAATGTATGAATTTGAAAAATACATTGTTTGGAGATAGAATGATTTTGGTGGTCCTTAAAAGAATAAGGAACAAAAAGTAAGACAACAATCTCTCAAACACAATCTCTACTAAAAATTGAGGTTGACAATCCTTCATAATAAATGATTCTAGTGGGCCCATTTGCTGTTCAAATACAAACATTCTTTTTCATTTTAAACCAAAAAAACAATGAATTCTTCTGATTACATGTAACTAAATACATCGTCTAAAATCTCAACTTCCAAACGAGCCCGGCGCCACGTTTTCAATACGTAACATACTACAGAATCCCTAGGCAAAACGTTTCAAACATGCGAAACTAAGCGTAAATTGAAGTGCATGGACAGCATGATTTCCTTCTCCATCTCGTTATGACGCATCGTGTCGGAGCTTGCGAGTTGGACGTCGAAAGGAGACCCCGAAAACAAAAAGGAAAGGCAACAAGCAAAGATGCTTTGGTACAAAGAAAAATACGACTACGAGAAGCGATTTGCATTCCCTTAAACAGTAAACTACTCTTTCCATCTTCCTCCTTGCCCCCTCATGATCATTACAGACATAAGCCGCGCTAGCTAGCCAACCCAAAAATCAAGCAGGCCAATTTCCTCCTCTACCCAGAACTTGGGGAAATCACTAAATGAGAGAACCACTTCTTACAACAGCCAGCCCTCTCTCTATCTCTCTGTTCATACTCTTAGCCACAACATGGTCTCATAACAACCATTCATTCTCCTTTCTCTCACCATTGCTTCTTCCCCCTTTTCTTCCTCTTACTATTACTCCCACTCCCACTCCCACTCCCACTCCCACTCCCACCAGCTGCCTTGGAAGAGGATGGGGTCTCTGCAGCAGAAGTGCCGAAATTTTCGAACATCCCAGACTGCACAGCATTCTGAAACCACTCGAAGAACTCTTCCTCCGTCATTGTTTCCTCCATGTTAGGCGGCGATGGTCGATGTGGAGGAGGAGGCACCCGGGCGCCTTTAGGGGACGAGCTTGTCGGGCCCTTGCTGGGATTGGCGTGTCTGGATGTAGTAAGACTAGTGTTCACATGGAAACTAGGTTTGTGAGTGTTCACTGGACATCTCATTCCCTGTTAAACAGCAGTTTCGGAATACGAATTTTCAGCATGTACAGGCCACACGGTTATGATAAATATGATACCAGTTGGGGAGAACATGAAGTGAAATTCTCTTACCTGACAACTATACCATTCGGTGGCGTTGTATATCTTGCTATCTGCACAAACGTATGCACAGGGGGGTTCCACCTGCATGTGTGTATACTGATTTCAGTGTGGATGAAGAAATGAAGGTCCAAAGGGAATGAGTAAATTGGGAGCAAAGCGAGGTGCACACCGGTTGTCCTAACAATCTCTCTAGATAAATGCATAAGGCAAGAAAGTGATAGAATAGACAAGGACATTGGTCAAAAACAAGTGATCAGCAAACACAAAAGGGGCACACACCGGTTGCCTGAAAATTGCTTAGGCCAACCATGCTCATCGGCTTTAGAAGGCTAAACAATAAAAATAATGGCACATACCTTCTGGAGTAACCCAAATAAGAAAGGTTGTGTAGACTGCTCAACCCATCCATCTCCATCTTTTGCCGGATGAAAATCTTTGCATTCCTATGGAATTACAAAGGGTAAGTAAACAAGAAGTATAAGGACTAGCTTGCCCTATTGTAATTGGCTACAAAGCAGTGCTGGAAAACAAGATGTGCCAAGTGCTTAATCCTAGCTTCGAGACCACAAAATCAAATAATTACTACAAAATAGATTGTGGAAGGGGAAACCTGACACCATCTTGCACGAGACTTTTGCTTCCCAGTATGAACCCAGATATGGAAGTTGCCACACTTTTTGCAGGCTATTCGTCTTGAATCTCCAAAAGGATCTCCATCAGCTTCTGAATGAGTGAATCCAGGTGGGAAGGGACCATGCTCGCCATTCTGGTTAATTTAGTCATGTGAGATGCAAAGCTTACCATACAATCAAAAGACTTGGAAGGAAGAATATATTTGCAGCTCAAGAAGTCATAAGAGCTCATACTCTATAGCTAGATGTAAGGTTTCTTCTTCAGAGTACAGAAGTCCAAATGAGATTAAAGAGCCTCAAATGACACATACCAAAAACTAGAGCTGAAAGAACAGGCAGGCATGTTTATGCAGATAAGAACAGAACAAGTAATGGCAGGGAAACAGATATATGCAAACCTTTTGGGAGTTACTATGAAATCTTCGGAAATAGTTTAACAATTCTTCCCTCCGCAACTCATCATCATATGCTTTTTGCTTTGAGGAATCAAGTAATACCTAGAAGGAATATGACAACAATATGAGAAAACTTTATCACATAAGAAACTTTGTGATGTACTTTAACTGGTAGAACCCAGTCATTTACCTCATATGCGTTTTGAAGTTTTTTAAAGGCCTCTGCTGCCTTATCATTGCCCATATTCTTGTCAGGATGAACCAACATTGCCTGAAGATAAGTTTGAAACCACAAACTTGATATAACCGAAATAACAAAGAATCGGGAAGTCATAATTCAAAGCTCCAACTCAATAAAGCAATTCTTAAGTTTGACAGCATGATATGTAGTACATGGAGCAGTGATAACAACGCAGTACCTTTTTCCTATATTCTCTCTTCAGTAAAGTAACATCTACAGGCTCATAGCGGCCCAAGCCCAACACTGCATAGTGATCAGTACAGTTCAACAACCGGATAACCTCATCTTCCGAACTCAACTCTGAATCAGCCCCACTGGTTGATGCCACACCAGGGCTACGGTCTAAAGGCACCCCGGGCATAGATTCAGGGAATCCATTTGGGAAAGATTCACCAGTTGAGAAGTTAGGTCGACCTTCTGGTCCTGCTGAATTCTCAGATGACCCATCAGACCTTCTATGCTGGTTCACGTTATTCTTTAGGAAGTAAACCAAAATGTCGCTTGAGATAAAAGCCAAATTCAACGCCAAAAGTGAACCAAGCCAGCCCACATATCCCCATGCACTGTACACCGAGTAAACAGTGGTGATTAGTAAAGCAAGACTTTCATGGCTTGATATGAATGCCAAACCTGAAAAATGACAGGGAGGAAAAGGTCAGCATTCTCATCTGTAAGAAAGTATAAATAGATTCAGGAAGTGCAAACAGTTACCAGATATTACTGCAATGCATGCTGTTGTCCAAAAGCTTCCATAACACCATAGGAAAATAGTAGCAGAAATGGCAACTACCAAAATCCCAAGGGTAAAACCTATGAAAACTCCCACCACAGCAGCTATTGCCTGCACAATTTGACATTCAGTAAACATTATAGACAATAGAGATAAAGATGATAGTGAAACCAAATTCTGATAACAGCAATGCCAGGGTACATAGAAGGTAACTGGTACAGCACTGGGATCCAAATGGATTGATGAAATATACTGATTCAGTTTCTAATTACTGAGGAAACATAAGACATTAAATGGCCAAAGAACTTTAACTACATTATATGATGTGTGACCAGAAACTGAAGCTGGAGGTTACCCATGTGACACACACTGGTTCATGAGAATCAAAAGCCTTGACGATGCATAACTTGGAGCTCTGCTAAGTAACTGGGTGAAGCATAATCAAGAAGACTTACCAGGATAATAAGAAACTTGGATAGCCCAACCATGGCAACAATAGATAGAATGCTGCACCATATAACTGAGAAAAATGATGTTGTTCCCATGCGCAGAAAGGAATCGACTCCTCTTAGAGTGCAATCCAACCAAACCATTGATAGAAAGAGGACTATATTCCCAAGATGCACGAGCCATTTAAAAACGAAGGGATAAGCTAGCTCAAACTTCTGTCTAGCATAATCACGAGCATTCCGTAGGTTGGAAGTGAGGATAACAAACAATGGCCTCTGCTTCTCAATCCATTCACCTGCTGCATTCAACATGGACAAAGATGTTGCTCTCAAGTTTCTATAAGCTACATCACCAGAAACATTCACATTTTCCATTAAATTTCTAAGGTGAAACCGATCCATTAGGTAGCCTGAGTTGCTCATCCAGTTGGTAGGACCACTTGCACTACTAGTTCCTTGCCCATGTTCTTCTCTCAACCCAGTACTTTCCACAGAAGGATGAATAGGATCGTTCAAATTACTACCACATGACATTGATTCCTCTACATTATGAACCCCATCTGCTCCTTGCTTCTCTTTGCACTGAGACTTCCCAGACTTTTGGTGCTTGACTTTGTTCTCGTCTCCAACATGCACGGTTTTCCTACTAGCATCAGTACTAGGAATAGTAGGCGGATCACCATTTATCAGACCATCTCCTGGGAAAACCTTCGCCTGACTGCCTTTTCCTTGTCCTTTTAACTCTGAGTCTGAGACTTTTTTCTTGTGGTTGGGTAATCCATTCTTCTGCTGACTACCTTTGCGAGCCATATCACCTCTTACTAATTCTTTACTTATTCTCCTCACAGAAGAAGTATAGTAATGTTAAGAGGACCCATTTCTCAACACCTATGATTGCGGAGTCCAGATGCAGACTTGCATGCTCACTGCAGGAAAAGGGAAACCCAATTGAAATTTCAAGAAAACAGATTATGGAAACCCACTAATACTATAGAATATTGCCAAGAACTAGTTCATTCACTCTTTTCCCCATTCAGTCTGCATCAAAGCTATGCTCATTACAACTACAAGAGGCATTTTCGTAGGGCGGCATGCATTCAATTCGAGTGAATTGGTTCGGTAGATTGCAACAAAACACCTCAGAAAAGCGCCCAATGCGCTCCCAAGTTCGGTAACACCAACCCATTTCCACCTTCCCTCCTCTAGTTCGTTAATTTCAACGCACGAACCGACAGCGAATGAATATTAGAGGCGAACCCAGAAGGGAAAATTCAGGAGCATGAACTCAGAAAAGCAAAAGGATAAAAAAAAATTTAGCATACCTCAAAACAATTTCCAGGGGAGGAAAGCCCCAGAAAACGAGTCAGACAGCTGATGATCATATCATCATCACCATCGCCAGTTCAATTTCAGTCTGCTGCTCTGTTGTCTGGACTTTGTAGGAGGGAAAGCCGCAAATTTGAAGCTGAGGAAACGGAAGGGATGACCGATTGACGGGGGCGCCGACGCGCCGTTGCGGGGAATCGGAAGAAACGATGGCGGACGGCGGAGAGAGAGAGAGACGGGTAGGTCGGAGAATCTGAGAGGATAATGAGAGTAGTGGTCGAAGGTTTTTTTCGGGTGTGGGTTTCAGCGATCAAATGGGGGAGGGAGGGACTTTGGGTTTGTACTTTGGCAGCGGCTTGCTACATCAATGGCTGTAAAGATTAAAAAGAGTCGCCACACGGCGACTGGACACTGGTAGTATTGGGTTACTACTACCGGCCCATCATTATGTTTTTATCCTTTTTGTTCCTTCCCCCACCACCCCAGCGGTGTCCATTTCGGTTTTGATTTCTCGGTTTAAACCGAATGGACAACCGAAACCGAGCCAATAAAATGTTTAATGATTTTGGTTCTTTTTTTTTTTTTTTTTTTGATGGTAAATCCTGGAAATTTATTAAGTAGCTAAAGCCTCTTTTACAACCAAGTCCATAATCATAATTGGAGGACGGTCGGCCCATATCTCTTGGGTCTCCCAATCACATCTTACATGGGCCAAAGTATGGGCTGCCTGGTTTCCTTCTCTTCGCCCGAACCGCCACTCAACCAAACCGAGTCGATTCGCCTTATCCTGAAGTTCCCTCACCCGCACACCTGTCTCCAGTATCGATTCCTCCTCCTTCTGAAGCTTGAGAATGGCATTTTGGCAGTCCGACTCCACCACCACAGCGGCGAATCCCGCCGTCTCCACCATTTCCAGACCAAATTCAATAGCTCGAAGCTCAGCCAGCTCCGGCGACCATGCAATTCGTTCTCTTCGGACTGCCGCCCTGACAAAATCGCCCGACGAATCACGCGCAATCGCTCCTAGTCCCGTTCCTCCTTCCTTGAAGACTGCCGCATCAACATTTATCTTGATCCAGCCTGGTGGCGGCCTTTCCCAGGTGAGTTTCTTCTCTTCTCTCTCAATGGTTTCCTGTCTATGATGATCAGTATACTCTTCCCAGAAATTCACCGCTTTTTGAACGATCTCCCATTCCTCCGCCTTCTTGTTGTTATACATTTGGTTGTTTCTCTCATTCCACATCGTCCAGAGCAGCATTCCCAATTGAGCCAGTATATCGTCATCTGCCTTTTCCATTACTTCACAAATCCAACTCCCAATCGATAGTTCAGGCTCCATCTCAAAGAGAGGCCGAAACATAGAAGGCCTCCAGACCCTTATTGCCCATTGGCATTCCCTGAAAACATGGTTCTGCGTTTCTTCTTGGTGACAAAAGGGGCACTCCGTAGCAGCCTCCTTTATTCGCCCTTCGATGTTTTTTCCAGTAGGTAAAATGTTATGTGCTGCTTTCCAGAGAAAAACCTTTACTTTGGGGGGAACCTTGAGGTTCCACATCCTTTTCCAGTTCATAGGATCATATATCTCGACTTCTACCGCTTCTCCTTCCAAATTCCCCTCTGTATCATCATTCTCATGGGTAATTCCAAGTCCTTTTGTAGCTATCCTGTAGGCTGACTTCACAGTATATAAACCACTCTTTTCCTCGCTCCAGACTTGTTTATCTGCGGCTGGTTGTACTGGAATTGGGATCCCAGCAATCCTCCTTCTATCCTCAGGGTTGAAAAAGTGTTGGAGTAGGTTGCTTCTCCAAACTCTGTTCTCATGGTCAATTAAGTCAGCCACTGTAGCTATCTCCCCTGTTGGTAGTGAAGGTGTTGTGACCCTAAAGTCTGAGTCCTCTCCACCTGCTATCCATCTTTCTCCCCAGATATTCACCTCTGATCCGTCCCCTATCCTCCATCTCAGCCCCTTTTTTACCAGTTGCTGCGCTGCCATAATGCTTCTCCACGTGTAGCTCGGGTTGTATCCCACTCTAGCCTGTAAAATGTTGGAATTGGGGTAGTACTTGGCCTTTAGCAATTTAGCTACCAGGGTTTCTGGCTTGACATAAAGATTCCAGACCTGTTTCCCTAGTAGAGCAAGGTTAAACGCTTCAAGGTCTCGAAAACCCATTCCACCTTCCTCCTTCGGTTTACACAATTTCCTCCACGCTTTCCATGGGATGCGCCTCTCTTCCTTTTGCTGTCCCCACCAGAAGCTTGAGATGGCCTTTCTTATCTCATCCAAAACTCCATTAGGCACCTGGAACACTGACATGGTGTAAGTAGCCTGAGATTGCGCTACTGCTTTTATCAAAACTGCCCTCGCAGCTGCAGAGAGAGTTTTCCCCTTCCAATGCTCAATCCTCTTTCTTACTTTGTCTATTAAGACATCGAAAACTGCTCTTTTTTCTCTACCTATCACTGTGGGCAGGCCTAGGTATTTGCTGTGATTCTCCACTTGTTTCATTCCTAGGCAGTTGGCCAATAGCAAACGGTGATCAGTTTTAACACTAGGACTGAAACTGATTTCCGATTTTTGAATGTTTACCATCTGGCCAGAGTCCTCTTCATACTGCTTTAGAATCTCTTTCAGCTGCTGGCATTCTTGAGTGGTTGCTCTCAGGAAAAAAATGCTGTCATCAGCAAAAAGTAAATGAGAGATAGAGGGTCCTCTCACCGAAACTTTTAGGCCATGTAGTTTTCCTTCATTTACTGCTTTATCTGTGAGAACTGATAGCCCTTCAGCACACATCAGAAAGAGGTAGGGAGATATGGGATCTCCCTGCCTCAAGCCTCTTCCAGGGGTAAAGGTTTCAGACTGGTGACCATTGACTAGCACCGAATAAGAGACAGTAGTGATGCACCTCATAATAAGCTTAATCCATCGATCCTCAAAACCCAATTTCTTCATCATCTCCTGTAAAAAAGACCACTCCACCCTGTCATAGGCTTTAGATATGTCCAGTTTTACTGCCATCAGTCCCTTCTTTGCCTTCTTTTTCTGTTTCATTGCATGGAAACATTCAAAGCAATCAGAATGTTATCCGTTATAAGTCTTCCAGGCACAAAAGCACTTTGTGCTTCTCCAATAATCTTGTCCAGCACTCTTTTTAGCCTGTTTGCAAGGACTTTTGACATAATCTTGTATAGAACCTTGCACAGGCTAATAGGCCTGAATTCTGCAGGAGTCATGGGGCCTTTTGTTTTTGGGATCAAAGCTATTAATGTGTGGTTTAGTTCATATGGAAATTCCCCACTCTCTAAGTAGCTTTTCAGCTCCTCCTTCACTGCTGGCCCAACAACAGCCCAATTTTTCTGAAAAAATCTGGCCGGCAAACCATCCGATCTTGGAGCCTTGTTCGGTCCCATGTGCTTTACTGCATACCATATTTCCTCATCAGTAAACGGCAAGAGGAGCTCCTGGTTCATCTCTGGAGTCACCTTTGTTGTTACTGCATCTGAAACTCTGCTGCTACTTGGTCTTGTTCCCGCTGTAAAGAGATTTTTTAGGGAATTTACTAAGCAGCCAGTTACCTCCTGTTGTCCTGCAAAAATTTGGCCATTTTCATCCTTAAGTCTCCTGATTGTATTCCTTCGTCTCCTCTCAGATGCTCTCCTTTGAAAATAACCTGTATTTTGGTCCCCTTCTTTGAGCCAATCTTCCCTGGACCTTTGCTTCCACTTAATTTCCTCCTGCAAGATGATCTCGTTTAGTTCTTTTTCTATTACTCTTCTCTGCAGTAGTACAGCTTTTGATCGCTTTCTTTTTTCCAATATCCTCAATGCTTTCTCTGCTTGTTTTCTACTTTTTCAGGGTTCCAAAAACCTCCGAGCTCCAAGTCTGAAGTTTGTCTCGGCAGCTTTGTACCCTATCCATAACGCCTACAGGGCCCTGCGCATTCCAGCCCTCCTCAATTATAGCTTTGCAATCCTTATGCCTTTCCCAATAGGGCTCATATCGGAAGCTCCACCCCCAGGTAATTTCCTCTTCTTCAAGATCCAGCTTTACCTGAATCGGGATGTGATCAGATCCACAGCGGTCTAGATGGTACACCCTCATGTTTGGAAAAGCGTCCAACCAGTCTTTATTCCCCACTGCCCTGTCCAATCGTTCTTCAGTATAATCCCCATCGATTTTGTTGTTTTCCCATGTGAAAATTCTCCCAGAATAACCGCAATCCTCTAGCCCACAATAGTCGAGAGCTTGCCTGAACATGTCCATCTCCCTAGCCTCCGGGCCATGGTTTCCTTTTTTCTCCATGTAATCAGTTATGAGGTTGAAATCCCCAATCACCATCCAGGGCATTTGAACTCGGTGATAAAGATCTTTAAGCAGTTCACATGTCCTGTGCTTATTTTTCGCCTCTGGCCATCCATACAAACCAGTCAGACGCCATTCTCTTTGCGAGTCCCTCCATTTGATCTTTGCATCAATGTAATTTCTTGCATAATTCTTGACCTCCACAGTCACCTCCTCTTTCCACATTAGCAGGAGGCCTCCAGCTCTATTATCCCCTGCTTCTGCCCCTTGTCCATCGTAGTAGCCAAACTCCTTTATTTTCTTTCTCCATTCTTTCTCATACTGCCTTGTTTCCATCAAAAAAACCACCTCGGGATTGGTTTGACGTAGTAACGTCTTAACCTTTTCAACTGTCGGGGTATTCCCGAGCCCCCGACAGTTGTAGCTAAGAATGCTCATTGGGCTGGGCGGCCCTGAGTGCACTCAGGGTCCGCCTCACCGCCAACCATTTTTTTGCTATGTTCAAGTCTCTCTTCTTCTGTCAGTGTGGGGAAGCTAAGATTTTTCGCCTTTTTTTGGCTCTTCCTTTCATTTTCCCCTTGTGCATCATCCTCTTCTAGGGGGTTAATTCCCCTCTTTTGCGGGGTAAGCTGGGGGGGGTTTGTTCCCCTGTTTCTTCCCTGCTCCTGTCTTCTCCATACCTTCCCTCCTGTTCTCCTCTGGGTTTGTCCTATCACGTGACTAGCAGTTAGCTGTTTCACTGCTCCCTCTCTGACCGGTCCAGGTCTTCGTTCCTTTATTGCCTTCTTTTCCACTGGTACATCATCTCTCCTTCTCTCTTCATTGTTTTGAAGAGAAGCAGTCGGCTCATGGTCCTGATTTTCGCCCTCCTGGCCTATTTCCATTGGTATCTTCTCATTCTTATTTTCCTGTTCAGCAGAACCCACCTCCCCTTGTTGTTCTTCTGGCTTTGCGGGGGTTTCCCTGCCTGAGTTCGAGCCCGAACTCTCAAGATCAAATTTTTGCCTAAGCTGTCGCCAAATATCCGCTTCTTCTTTGCGTGCTCTGTGTGACAGCCAATTCCTTGGGGCTGGGGGCGCAGTCCTCATCTCAAAACCATATGGGTCAACTTCTAACCCCGAGGGTTTTGGACACTTTGTCTTCACATGTCCAATTCTACCACACGAGTGACAGAAGATAGCCAACTTCTCGTACTGTATTTTGAATTCCATTAGTTCTCCCCCTACGTTAAGCTTGATTTTCTTCTTCAAAGGGTTATTGATGGATATACTAACTCTGATCCTTAGGAAATCATCCCACATACGTTCTGCACCATCATCATAGAAAACAAACTCACCAATCCTGTTTCCAACTTTTTCCGCCATGGATTGTGTTCTTAATTCAGCTGGGAAGTCCTTGATTTGAACCCATATTTCTGTTTTGTGCAGGTCTTCTGGCGCTGGCCTTTTGATCCACCAGCTAGCCATAAACAACATGGCATTGTTCTCATAGTGCCACGGGCCCCCGTAGCAGACTTTGTTGCGATCGTCCATCTCCAGAAACTGAAAGGCGAACAGGTTATTACCTAACTCCGTGATTTGGTAGCTCTTTTTCAATCCCCACGCCTTAGATAGCGCAATTTTCATGGACTGAATATTTGGTTCCTTTTCCGATAGGAGCCTCCCTACTAGTCCCAAGTGTCGTACAGCCTCCATCCGGACCACGTTCACGTCAGCATCCTCGACTTCAAGGGGTTCATCCTCCTCCTCCTCGAGGGTTATTCGATTGAGTTGATCCTCTATTCCCCCAGTTGGGGCAGTTTCCTTTCCCCTGTCTTTTGACAGGTTTTCTTCATCCACCTTTTGATTTGTGGACGCCATTGTGATTGCCCTCAGCTTGTGAGGGTGCGACTGATCCCGTTGCTTGTGTAGTACACCACAATCCGCTTCTGAGAACAGAAAATTTCCGCCAAAAGGAGACCTAGCAACACTTTTATCGCCGAAAGCTTTTCAAGACACCTTGGATCGATCACAGGAGCTTATTATAAGCGTTCTCTTAGTGTAGCACCGTTGTTTTCAGAGGTTGGGGAGGAAAACTCGCCTTGTACCAAACGGAAAACCTAGGGTTTCCGCCGCCAAAGAAAGCTCTCTACAAACGAGAGAGAAATAATTAATGATTTTGGTTCTTGATAACAAACCATTAAGTAATTTAGGGCCTGTTTACTTTCATTTCTGTTTCCTGTTTTTGAGAAAACATATGTTGAAAACAGGTGAAAACAACATTTTTTCGTTTCCGAAAACAGCAAGAAGTTGCCCATTTCTGTTTTCATAGTTGGAAACGAATAGAAAACAGAATGAAAAGTAAACAAGTTTTCTTGTTTCGGTTGCCAAATTTATGTCATGAAAACAAAAAAAGGAAACGAAAGTGGAAGTGAAAGTGAACAGGGCATTAACAATTAAGTTTCGGTTTAGACTTTAGACCATAAAACAAATAAGAAAAAAAAACGATATCATGTTTGTTGGGATCATTATAAGTGGTGAATTATTCGATTTTCTTTGTTCAGACCGGACCAAAATCGATAAAGGATATCGGTTTTTTATTAACAGAAATTGGTAAAACTCTCATCAGTTTTTCTTTTTAGCAACTTAATTGTTTTGAGTTTCGGTTTTTCCTGCTTAATGATTTGGTTAACCGAACCGACATTTGACGGTCTTATCTAGTATCCACCATTGTGATAAATATGATATTAAAATTATATCTATGGAACTTTTTATGCTTGGAGGAATGATATTTAGAAATTCAGTAAATACTAATTTTTTCCTTCTTATTAGTTATTACCAATGTCCAATGCTATTATTTTGATTAAGTGCTTATCTTCTTCCTTGTGTTTCCAATTCAACATGTGAAGGTAAGAAATGACAAATGTATAACTAAACGAAAGGAAGAAATCAAGAATTAAATTATCGATGAAATATTATAATGTGTATGGTTCATACAATTGGATAGTGTGAAATACGATTAAAATGAAAATTGTATATTTCATACTTTTTGTGAAATCTCACAAATGTTTATAGTAAATTTGAAATACGTAAATTTAAAAACAATAGAAAGTTAATATTTACATTACATGGCATGTGATCTGCATGATGTTTAGTGCACAAAAATAATTATCTTCAACCCCGAAATGCATGTTACATTGTCAATGAACACATTCCATGTGATTTGTATGGTGCTTGTAAGCAAAGAATCACCTTTGATTAATAGAATGAGTTTCAATTTATGAGGTTCCGTTCGATTTAAAATGTACAAATAACTAATGAATGAACTGTGGCATATTCTGGTCTCTCCGTGAATTAGGGGTATAATTGAACTAAATCTTACGTTGTATAAAATAGTCGTGTATATTTTTATCTCTCGTGTCATTGTTTTCTGAATTGTAGTTTGAAAATATCGTACAAAGTACTATATAAAGACTCGAGCATAATTGCTTGCATAAGTAGGGGCAATGTAATGAAATTTTGTTGGGCATTCTCAATGTAGGTGGGTGAAAAGTTGTGTAAATGAACAAATGGAAGTGTGTGAATGAACTACAAAGAACTTACAACACAAGAAGATTTGCTTATGGCTAGCCATGGAAAGCCCATATAAACATATAAGAAATTACAATACAAACAAGATCGAGACGGAGGAGGATATATGAGGAATTTTACTATGTTATATAGTATTGGTGTTATAGGTTTTTGTCTTTATGGTACAATTTGAAGTTGTACCTTTAATGTTATGGTACAATTTCATATTGTACCTATACTCTTTTGTACAAATTCTTTTATGGTACAACTTGAACTTGTATCTTTATGTGATGGTAGAACTATAAATTGTAAAGTTGTATCATAACATAATGATACAAATTCTTTTATGGTACAACCTGAAATTATACATTTAACGTTACACTAAAGCACCAATACTTTATAGCATAATAGAAGTGCTCAGGATATATAAGTATAAATACAAAAGAAAGTTCAATAATTAATATTTTCCCGCGGCAAAAATAATAACATAACAATAAGTGAGGGTCGACTGGTATATTTCCATGCCCCATATATGATAGTTTGATGGTAATATTGAGAGAATGACACATTTGTTACGTATTCGTAATAAAATCACATGTTTGTACAAAAAAAAAGTACACGGCTTGAAAATTGTTGTCAATGGGCGGATTGGTTTGATGTCTAACCTCCATAGGATTGGGTTGTTTGTATCAGATAGTGCAAATTGAGTTGTATAGTCAGGGCAGAAAGTAGGTGTAGTTTTCTTTCGAAGTTCCCTACACCGAGAACTTCGCTTCATCATTATATCAATCGTTTGTGATCGTTTTGATCTCAAACTTGTTGTAACAAAAACAAACTAATTCAAAAAAAAAAAAATCCATTGATTCGTTTTCTTCCCATCAATTATCGCATTAATTGTCCTATACAGTTGACTTCTATAATGTCATGAATGAGGTTGTCCCTCTTGCCTACTTTTCTTACCGTCTATTGCACTCTGGTGTCGCGGGTCACGCACGTACAAGTCTTTATTGCTTCTGTGACCAAAGACTACTTCTGCTTCTTTTTCCACACACACATTTTCAAAGCTAGCCTTGGATTGGATGAACGTACATTCAATTAAGGTTTAAGGTAACAACTTGAGATGCGTCATTAAAGAGCGGGAAAAAAAGGGATTAACCCAACTTTTATTTATTTCTATCAAGGCTACAATGCCATGCCAGTAAGTAGGAAGATGAAATTAGTACATTCAAATACGTAAAAACAAAACGACAACGTTTAATACTCATACGTCCTCGTCGCCAGCGAAGATCGACGGAGTAACTTAACAGCCGGTATTAGCCTCCGGCTGGATTCCAAACCTCTGGCAGTACGTGTTGTAGAATCCCACCCTCGCCTGGACGGCGGGCGCGTTGCCGCCGTTACACTCGATGCCGTTAATCGCACGGATGGTGGCTCCGAACCCTTGATCGAGGACGGGGCGAACGTTCGTCATCCAGAACCACAGCGCCGCCCTCCACGTCAGCACCGGGTCCCTCGCCACGCTGTCCGGGTCCCCGACGCCGTCAAAGTTAAGTGCCTGCCCGCACATCGCGTAGTTGTAGTTCCACGTCAACTGGAGCGGGCCCCGCCCAAAGTACTGCTTCCCCGGCGCGCACGGGTACTGCGCCGGGTCGCAGTAGTCCGACTTGTTAATTTCTTCCACGTAGCACATGCCTGCGGAACAGACAGAACGTCTCAAAGATCAAAAATCAAAAGAAAGAAATGCAAACCGTAGTGGGATTATCTTCCACGAGTATTTCTTTACTGAACAAAATCGCGCGCGCACATCTTAATTAAAAAAAAATGTTACGCACTATTTGTAAAATTATACAGTACCAATATTATAATCGCAAAAACTATATATTAGAGTTTCACCTGCTATGTGATTTTTATCGCGGTATGAAAAATGATTTAGCTATGATTTTTTTGAAGTATATTTTTTTTTCGATACTAACATCTGGTACGATTACGTCGTGGAAATAATGGAGAGTTGATTACTTACTTCCGGTTTCGTGGGTGACGTGGGCGAAGAAGGCGGCGACCTCGCGCGGCGTATTGCCGAAGTCGGGGTAGGAATTGGCGGCCTGGAGAAGGGCGTCGCGGGTGTAGAAGCTCTTCCCGGCGCAGCTGTCTTGTGCTTGGTTCTTGATGCCGTCGAAGAAATCTGGGGTGACGGTGTCGGCGACGGCGGCCTCCACGACCGTCGCCGGGAGGGTTGCGGTGGCGGCGAGGATGGCTAGGGCGGCGATGAGGAGTTGGAGGTTTCCCATGGTGAAAATTTTAAGTGGGCAGTGTAATTGGTAGAGAAGTAAAAGAGTGTTTGTTTGGTGTGAAGGAAGTGGAGAGTAGAAGGGAGCTATTTATAGAATAGAAGCAAGGAGCTAAGGCAGCCCTTTGGAATAACAAGTGCAATTTATTCCATCGTTGAATTGTCTGCATGCAGCTGGTTAAGGCTACGTCGTGGACACGTTCAACTAAAAGTTCAATATGCCTCTTCTAGACTTCTTCTGGACTTGTAGTTTAAGTTTGTCTAGATCTCGCGCGGCTGCGAGGTTAAACACAATTTATCTGGTTATGGTTATCTCTCTTCTTTGTCGAGAAAAGTCACAAGTGGCCGTCTGCTGGCGGCAAAAGACTAATTGGGGATGGAGTTTGTATTTTTCTTGGTTTGGCTCACATAATTTCAACATGAGAGACGTGAACTTTGGATACTGAGGTTTTGGGATCACTCAAACTCTAGTCAATGATAACAACGAATTAGGCCATTTCTTACGTCCGTCTTTCTATGTAAAAATTGATCACTTGAGAATAGCGTACGGATCTCGGATATGGTAGAGCACTCCACATTTAAAATGAGGTGGAGAGGACTGGACTGTAACCCGACGAGTACTGAAATGAAATACCTAATGTCGAAAATTTACAAGTGTTATACTAACTCGGAATTCAGAGGAGGATTGGGCCCTAAATTCACCCCTGCTTGAGAATTTGATATTTTCACTTATTCAATAATAATTCGAGTTATTATGAGTAGAAATTATAATTTGAAGTCGACTCATTACCAAACCCATAGTAGTATGGGATATGATATGATCACATGGATGGTACTATCACCCTGCCGTATCGTATCATGTCCTGTTCTTAACCAGTGTCGTCTTGACCCAACATAAGATTGTCATCTTTCAGCTAATTGGACTTAATTACTCATTCTGTTTTATAAAGTGTTTCTCATTTATTTTATCATATTTTTTTCTTAGTGCGAAGCAAGTATAAGTGTTGATGTACCCGTCCCGATGTAGTGTTGATGTACCCGTGCCGATGTACTCGTCACGCTCCGTCCCACCCTATTCCCATCACTAATTGTGACTTGTGAGGAAGACTTCAAAGAACGAGTCTTTACATTATTTCTAGTACCATAAATTGCCCCTCAACATTTTGTGATTTTCTGAACCTGCCTCTTTAACATTTTTATGTCAAACTTGCCCTTCTGGCTTCTACTACAACCCCATTCCCAAACCTGTCTATTTGTTATACTTAATACTTCCCATCCAAACTTCGTGAACCATGGTCGAACTCGAACTGGGACGAGGTTAAATGTTACATAGACGCCGGCCTAGACTTTCTCGCAAGCACATGCACTTCAGCTTTCTCCTACATGGAGAATAGCTATTCCGTCGAGCCTTCTCCTGCTCACTTGCAGCCCGAAGCTAAACCCAGATCGCTTAATCAAAACAGAGCTCCTTCCCTCAATTCCACCATAGACCATAAAATAACCAAATTCAACCGCGGCCTACTTGTTTGCAAAACCAATAACAACCAACCAATCATAAACCAAACCGAACGACATCTACAGCCAACGTTTTGCCGCAAACAGTTTTTTGTTTGCTCCAAGGCTACAAACCTCCAATCATGCAGCATTGGCATTGTCCAACAAGCTTGCAACATCATCCATGGATTGGCTGCAGACTCCCAGCCTTGTCTTCCAAGCAGGAAAGGACATAAACCCTACCACCATAACAAAATACCACTGCACCAGAGGATTCTCTGGCAAGATTTCAGTCAGCTAGTTTCTGATGCACAAACCAAATCCCAAATGCCAGAGACAGCCAGCCTTTTTGCAACACAAAACAAATTAGATTATCTCTTCCTCCTACCAATAGTTTATACAACATGCGCAACCAAAGTCTAGACAGGGAAAAGAAATAAACACAGGTACAAGGAGAAGAAGCAGCCTTTTCTCCTTGTGGGTTATCTAGACCTCGAGTACACATTTTATTAACATACGAGCCAAGGACAAGGTTCCCAAATGAATTGGTTTCCTTACTAATAGGCATGATTATTAGACATGGCAAATTCATGTACACAGTAAACACAAGTAAATTCAGTCTCTACCTCAGATCTCACCTGCAAGAGACCATTGCACTTCCAAAGCTGTGAGGCAAGAACCACAATGGATATAAGGTCGTGGCCATCAGAGAGTACATTTCCTTCCACACTCAGACCTTTTGTAGAGAAACACTGGAAGATTTATTAACATGCAGCAAGGACACTATTCCAAGTGAAATGGTTTGCTTATTGGACATTCACATTGTGAATAGCATAATGCCTGAGCTGCGTCAAATAGGAAAGTCCTGTACACAAAGAGCGGGAGATAGATTCAATCTTTACCATCTCAGTCGCAAGGGAAGATTGTACTCCGAAAAGCATGAGCCGAGAACCACAATGGGAACGAAGAGCTGTTGGTCTTCAGAGAATACATCTCCTTCCACACTCTACTCTTCCTATTATACACCAGCACCTGCTTATGAGTAGCCAGGAACACATGCTCACTCGTCTGGCTAATTGGGAAAATCCCGGGTACCATTCCCCGAATACACCTCAAGCTGACTCGATCGACCACACTCCACACTTCACTATCATACTCCTTCATCGCCCATATCTTCATCCAAGCCTCCGAGATCTGCACCACCGACAGACAACCCTCCAATTCGAGCAGATAAACCCGGTTCCCCACCCCATAACTCACCTCATCCGGAAGCGAAATCTTCCTCCACACATCACACTCCACATCAAGCACCAGCACGAACAAGCAGCTACCGGTCAGCCAATGCAGCGAACCATTCACAAAGACGACCTGGTGCCGGTTCATATGCGTGAAATGATCATCCTGAATCGACACAAACTTCCTCCACTTATTCATCCCAGAATCAAACACATAGCACACGAACGTTCCATCCGGCCTATGCCCGAAAGCACGGTGATAGAACGCCACAACGACATTGAACTTGTGTAGAGTCAGATCGCAGGCTAGCCCAACCAATGTTGCCTCACTATTTGGATAAAACCTAGTAATTGGCCTTTCCCTATTCCTGGGAAGCACCTTGAACTGCCTGGTCATCGGATTGCAGACGTAGTACAAGCCCCTGTCGGGGACCCCGGAGCAACACAGCAGGCCATTGCAGGAAGCCCTAATTTTGACTCGATCGTCGATGAAATCTAGGGAGAATTCGGAGACCCCAGCTAGGTTATCGACGCAAATTAATGTCGATTTCAATTCCGAGGAATCGGATACATCTAATAGGACCGTCGAGTTTTTCACAGCTAGTTCATTGTAGAATTGGATGAAGTACTTATCTTTGGATAGCGAGAGCCACCGTTTGCAGACCGTTCTCGCTCGGAAGAGCGGCTTGACCGGCAATCGAACCAGAATCTGGAGGATTACTTCGTCGGGGAAAAACTCCACCGTCGGATTCATGGGTTAAGGAGATGGCACCCGGCCGAATTGGTGATCGGTTGATAATTTTCGAGATGGGTTTTCGATCGGCGTGTTGGGCGGTTTAGGGATTGAAGTGAGGTGGGAGAGGAAATGGAAACGCCGGGGGTGAACTGAGAGCAGTTTGCCGGCGGGCATGGCAGTAATAGTTACGACATGGAAGGAGACAGTGATACGAGGAAGAAAGTGGAACTGAGTGGGATTGTTGGATTAAGGAAACTGGGATTTTAGATCGTCGGAGAATGAATTGTTTTACGAGGATATGCTCGGGAAAATATTCCCGGAAGCCGGGACCGGGCGAAATTTGGGAGGCTGTGATTAGATTGACGGTGGGCCGGGATTGATATGGGCCCAGAAGCCAAGGAGTTCAAGAGGGAGCATAAGTGAGCTATGTTTTGCCCTTTTGGGCGAAAGCGTTCACTTTTAATGGGCTCAATCCGAAACCCAAAAGCCGTCCAAGGAACCGTCTAAAGTTCACTCTTTAGCTTCAGCCTAGTTATTCTGCTAACTTGAAAATTCGTTAGTATATACTAACTAATATCCAAAATGTATGAACTAATATCTAAGTTTGCTGAGTATCTAGATAGCACAGACTAGTATTCTAAACATCACAGACTAGTATCCAGATAGCAGATACCAACTAATATCCACAATCAACCAACTAGTATTTAATATGGATACTATTATGTGTTATCTGGATACTCTTATGTGTTATCTGGATACTAATTATGTGTTGTATGGATATTATTCTGTGTTGTCTAGATATTAGTTTGTGAATTTGGGATGATAGTTGATTCATGGTGGATATCAGTTAGCAAACTTTGAATACTAGTCTGTGCTCTCTAGATATTTTAATACTTGGATACTAGTTCATGTATATTGGATATCAGTTAGTATCTGCTAACGAATTTTCAAGTTAGCAGATTAACTTTTCCCCTTTAGCTTTGGATAGGGTTTGGTTCCGGGATTATCGAATATAATGTGGTTCTGTTTTTGCTCGCATAAATTCTATAATCATGGAAGAAAAACTGATCGAATCAAACTGATCAAATGCAACAATAATCCTGTCTTTGGTCCTGAAATTTATTATACAATTAGATTGAGATTGTCGTAAATCCAGTCGTACCGCACCGTTGCCTATCCCTACCTTTCGGCAAATTAATAGGTTATGGCTTCTTAGCTGTTGTTTTCGCTTGTGAGTTGCGATGGAATTTGAAGAAAGCTTTGCCAATTCGGGCAATGTGGCATATGATGGAAAAATGGAACACCGTCCACTCAGTCAGTCTTCCTCTTCCACACGTATGCAAATGCAATATTGCAATTTGGGGTATGGCGTACCACACTCAACACGTCAATGCATTTTCTTTTCAATTAGCTTTTCTACATTGATTAACATTAATACCTAAACAAATCCCCTTTCCTTTCTTCTTATATTTTCAATATTAACCCCACATTGATAAACATGCGCCCTTTCGATACAAGGGCATCGGTCATCATTATAAGTTTTTCTTAATTAGTAGGTTGTCTTATCATTCAGTTTCCTCATGATGGTTGGAGCTATATTCCTTTCTTAGTGCTCATAATCTTCTAGTACTATTTTTATTTTGTAATAATTAGGGTGTGCCATTAATGTCCCCGATAAAAAATTACCCTATAAAAAAAAAAAAAGTTTGCTCTATCGTACTCAAAGAAATCTTTATTAATTGTGTTTGGTTTTGGCAAGATGGTATCCATTTTTTTATATTATTTTGGAACAAAAAATTGCATGCTCTAGTAACATATCTTACCATTGTGATAAAAACTTTCTTAACAACCTTGTATCTTTTATTTTAGTTATTAACAACCTTGTATATATTATTTTAGTAATATTAACCTTAAATTTATATCACCCTTTTATATATATATAAAAAACAATCTTTAAATCTTACCACAATGGAAATATTGTGCTAAAAAATTGTGCACAACAAACCGCATGCCGCACACAATCCCTTCTCCATCAAGGTGATTCTCCACAAAAATAAATCCCGACTTATATGCCGAAAAGATGCCACAAAGCAATCGGAGAAACAAAATAACTAACTAGGCAGGCAGGCATAAAACGAAGGCGCCCACCTTCTTCTTCCTCCGCCTTCCATTCCATACTTGTATTCCTTGTCCAAAACGGCAAAGGCAAAAAAGAAAACCACACCCTCCTCAAAATCCCAACCCTTTATACTCGCCGGCGGCTATGTATCCTCCAGCCTTGTCCAGACCGACTCCAACCCCGACGACGACGCCGAACCAGCTGGGAGCGATGATGATACACCACCACCACAAACCGGCCGGAAAATCCAACACGGCGTCGTGCAATCTCATCGAGGAGATGAAAACCAAGGGCGCCGCCGATGTCTGCCACGGCGACGCAAAGTGCAGGGAGAAGTTCGCCCTCCTGCTGGCGGAGATCGGATTCCCCGGCAGCGTCTTACTCGCTGCCGTCGAGGAGATCGAGGAATGCGGGCACGTCAAGGAGACCGGGTTCGTGTGGCTGAAGCACAAGAAGACCAAGGATCACTACAAGTTCGACACCGTCGCCGTCCGCTGCGACGCCGTCGTGACGGCGTCTTTCGAGCGAAGGAGGATCAGGAACCTGACCGGGGTCAAGGCCAAGGAGTTTCTGTTCTGGATCACGTTGTGTGAGGTCCACGTCACCGGCGTCGCCGGTGACGGTTGTTCACCCACCACCATCGCGTTCAAGACCCCGGCGGGGTTTTCCAAGTCTTTCCCGCTGTCCTTGTTCGTGGGTGACGGCGGCGGCGGCGATCAGGAGGTGAACTCGGGAATCCGACTGGCGTTTTAATGAATGGGAACAGCAGTTTAGAAGCCTCACAAACACCCGCCTAAAAACAATGATGATTCTCTTTACTTCGTTCCTCTGAATTTCATAATATGGGTATTCAACTATGAACTGTATATATACCGATGTATTTACTTACCAGTTACTAGCCTTAATATGCATTGAAAACCATTGAATTTCTGGTAATCTCGTATGAATGTGTTAAGTAAGACTGGTCAGTTTCTTTATTATCTTTTTCACTTGAGTGTCTTACATAGTTTAGTAGGATAATGGGGTCATGTAATGAAGTGGTAAACTTGGGGACGATGAATGGGTTGCGTGAAGAGAAAAGGATATGCTTACATATGCTTGCAGACAAAGAATATGCTGGAGGGAGGGTGAGAATTGGGCTCTGCCTTTCCCTTTTGTTATCTTCTACTGTCATGTCTTCTTTCTCTTTTGTTGCTCATCATCTTCAGCTGGAAAAGGGAAAAGCGAACCTCATTTTCAACTGAACAAACGAATAGAAAGAGAATAAACCATTCTAGTTACCTCTTGTCGAAAATGATAGTCTAGAACTGGGAAAAGGCCAAGAGAGTCAACTTCAGAGCACAACTTGCTGAGATCAGATGAATATAGGCCACATGCTTCATAAAAGAAATAGTAATGTACTCATTGGAACCTCTTATAAGCTTATACATATATATATATATATATATCAACTGTACCAACTCCATATTGAAGGCTGTTCTTCTGCAACAGTCTTACACTTGGGACAACAGGGAGGGGAAGAGGGTTATAGGACAAAAGTGAGCTACTTTCCAGGGATAAATACATTTAGGGTAAAAAGTTAGGATTTCCTATTCAGAAGGTGCGCAATCTCTAGTTCTCTACAAATCCAATCACATCCTCGGAGCTATTTCTGGTTTTCTAGAGTTAGATCCTTCAACTGGATATACTCTTCTTTTGATGGGTGGTCATCAAAACTTCCAATCCTGGTTCAAGGGAAAAGAAGTCAGCAGCAAAAGAAAATGCAGCAGACTAACAGATGGACAGAGCTAAGTGCCATCATAATAAGCTAGAGCAGGTTAACAAGTAGAAGAAGAAAGCAAGTTACAGGGAATTGAGAGGCAAACTTCTAGGGTGGCAGGGAGCAGTTCGGTTCAATCAGGTCTGGTCTCAATTTGGTTACGTCACTATTTGTTTTTATGGTGATCCAAAATTTATTTTGAGTTTGAGTCAAAACATGATCAAATTCTAATTGATCTATCCAATTCGATTCACATGTCGATTCAGTGTGCAGTGAATCATAACCCACCCTAGCTACAGAGAACAGGAATCTTCCAATAACCCCTCACTATCAGAGCACCACTAGTTATATACAACAGGAATCTGCCAGTAGCTCCTCACTATCAGAGCACCACCCTTAAGGCCTTAACATTTACAAGTGTGCTAACTATCCAGATATAACAGTTGGAAAGGAAGTCATACCTTAGGAACAGAGGACCACTTTCCATCACTCCACTCTTGATGAGGCCTCAGCTGGGCATGCTGAAAGTCCAACTCTTCCCCTGTCCCAAATTGGATTGTATACTTCATCTCTCTATAAGCTCTAATAATGCGCCCAACCCACCACGCATCAGTATACCAAGCATCCACAATATCGAGAAGTCCGTAAGGGCGATTATATGGCACCTCTGGAGGACATGGGCGGACATCAGAAGCATCTACCTCCTCTTCCAGGTACTTGGTTTCATCGTCGGTGAGTAGATTGTCATATTGTACCAGATACCTATCCTTCCTTGGGACATTGAGAATGGTCGCCACAAACCAAGCACCCTGGTAACCAATTTCATCACTTTTGACCTCAACTTTCATTCCCTTGCTGTAACCACCTTGGTAACCAACTTCATCACTTCTGACCTCAACCTTCACTCCCTTCCTGCAACCAGAGCCTGTTTTTGTCACCTTATGGTTGACCTCCCCGGATTTTACCTACAAAAAGAAGATCAATAGTGCCATTGCAGCTTAGCTTTGTAACATTCGATGAATTAACAATCACTAACATAAACAAATTGAATACATGAGAAGCAGCTAGAGTTCAAAGACACTGTTCAACAGCTACACTTCACTACATCACATGAAAGTTGCGAGTATAAATGATTAATGGAATGAATTCAGCTTAAGAACTAATTCTCCCCTACCCAACTGCTTTCAAATTAAGCAAGAAACAGTAAAACATCAACACAATGAAACCCATTATGCAGAAAAGAAGCTTTGTAATCAGTATATGCGTATAGAAGTCTCTTCTTAAGTTAACATACCTTGACCCATTTCCCATTCAACCATTCCATACGAGGCCTGAGACTTGAAGCTTCAAAATAAATATTGTCCTTTGTAGTTGGGAAGAAGACCATATACTTATTCAATCTCTCATCCACTCTCAACACCATACCTTCCCACCAGCCCTCGTTATACCAAGCATCCACCTTCTCAAGAAACTTGTAACAGTTGACTGGCTGAGTTTCAGGTGGGTAAGGCCTTACATCGCCTGCGCTAACCACTTCTCTCAGCGGAGCAGTTTGTTCCTCATTTAGTAGGTTCAGATATTGAACCAAATACTTGTCCGTCCCTTCGTGATCGATTATGATGCCACCAAACCAAGCACCTTCAAAACCTGGATCGTCAGATCTCACTTCCACTCTCGTCCCTTTTCTCAGCATTGTCTCAGTTCTCCCTTTCCCGCATTTGATCTTCAGCATTATCTTCCCAGGTTTCGGTTCCTCCATGTATCGCTTCCTCTGCAGTTCAAAATCCCAACAGAGACTAAGCCCAACGCAACAGCAAATATGAAACATGCAAAACTGGAAACCCTAAAATTGATCACGATTCTTCTCAATTTCCATTACCGGCGGGAGGAGGGGCGGTGCTAGTGGCGGGAACCAATCGCCGTCGACCCAGTCCCGATGGTGCCTGAGGGTGCACTGCTCCGTCACGATTCCCTCGCTCCGGCGAGCGAACGCCACCAGGTACTTGGAATTCTCGAGTATCTCCTTCACAATCCCTGCGCGCCAGCCTCCTTCGCTGTAGACGTCGACGCCGTCCCCCACTTTGAACCACGCCCAGGACACCGGCGGCGGGGCGGGCCTCACGCTGCCGCAGTCGACGAGCTCCTTCGCCGGAATCGAGCCGTTCGTCAGCGTCTGGTACTCGATCAGAATGGTGTTCGGCTGCTTGGCGGGTGCGCGGAGGACGGCGGCGGGGTAGTAGGTCAGTTGGGAGGAACCGTCGTCCCGCTTCAGGACTTCGACGGCGTCGCCGGCGGCGAAATGGGAGCTCGACATTTCTAGGGTTACGGAGGGGAGCCGTTGATTTGAGAAGGGATTTGGGAGGAGATGGAAGGAACGCGTGGGCACTGGGGGCGCTCTATGACATCCTGAGCAAAGAGAGAGTGAGAGCTCTTTGTGTGTATTTTCGGTTTCCTGCGCGCGGGAGGGAGAGAATAGAGTGGAGTAGGGACTAGGGAGTAGGTGATGACGTGGCGGGGCGAGGCTGGGTAAATGGCCGCGGTGTTGGTAAATAATTACTGGTCACTGCCACTGTGGAAACTTTGGCGATAGAGCAAAACGACGCTGTGTAGAGTTCAATACGGCGGGAGATTTAGGTTTTTTGGTGTCTAGGGAAATGTATCTTGGAATCATGAAACTTTAGGGTTTCTTCAAGCTTAATGAAATTGAAAATTTTGATAAAATATGGATTTTGAAAAAGATTTGTTGACATTATGGACTTGAAAGAATTCATTGTTTATTTATTGTATTTTATTATTGATTTTAGTTGATTGGATCATGGATGTATGCTCTCCAAATCCTACCTCTTGGCGTAAGATTCGCAAGTGCGTGGAACTTACAAATTTTTTGATTAAAGTTCATGAGCTCGTTACATCGTGGAAGGAGATGCCGAAGTAATCATTCGTACATTTAGCCAAGGTGCGGTGGTGGATTCTCTGTGAGGGACCCTACTTCGGGGAGTGTCGCTAGCTTATCGAGTCATTTTCTCGTTGTAAAGTGTTTTGAGTGGATTAGAGAAATGCCAACTGAGCTACCTATAGAGTGACAAGTAAAATTTTGTTGTTGTACCCCTTTAGAATTGACTTACTTTGATTTTGTAGGGTGATTTCACTAAATTGGAGCAGTGAAATGACTTACTTTTATGGATTGGAATTTTTCCAAGTTCCTCTTATCATTTACTCGGAAAAAATATATGTATCTTAAACTCCTCTTCCTAATCCTAGAATATTTCCTAAATTGGTAGCTTATCTTATGGTCTACCATTTACTTTTCTCCAATCTCTCTATGACCTAGTTGATCTTGCCTCCGACTCTCTAGTTTTGTTCCACTTCAAGCATCCCGATTTCAGTCCTACCCACCATGGAGTAATCCTAACCATGAGAATGATTGTTAGGATAGTCTCATAATGATTTCCAGGTTGCAGCTATGGTGCTTTGGCATGGATTCGATAAATCTATCTCTTGGGGTTTTTTGGATGAGGAATTGTAACGGATCAATTTGACACAATTGTCTTGTTTTGAGACAATTGTACCAAATTGCCTCGTTTGGCAGCAAAAAATTTGGATGGATCAATCTGCCAGAGGTATTTTGAATTGATCCGTTTTGAGTCAATTTCAATTACTTGGGGTGGGGGCAGGTAATTCGAATTGACTCGTTTTAATTGCCTCGTTTATAAAACGAGACAATTAATCAAATTGACTCATTTCTAGATTGATCCATCCAAACGACCCCCAGTATTTGGGTTATCTTTTCGGTATATGCTCGTTCTAGCGGATATTTGGGGTTTCCTTTGGGTTTGTTTCCGACCTTCATTGTGTAATCTGCTGCTTACAAGTTACTACTGTGAATCCCACAGTGCAATAAAAACGCAACTACATGTCAATCAATCAATCAATCCGGGAGTAAATTACAATGGACGAAATTCATTCTTCGCAATACATCTCATTTTACGTTGCACAGTTGGAGGGACCATAAATGTTACACCTGCAATAGATACGGATGCATTGAAGCATATAATGATGCACGCCTGCAGGTCAGTTCTACCAGTAAATCTATCACGATTCGAGAAAGAAATCTTCACTCTGTAAATCTCTGACCAGTGACCAGAAAGGAAACCACTCATATTTCCATCGCACTTCTTACCTGTAGAAAAATGAGCCTTAATGTCACTGGAACTGGAAACAGGCCTTTAACCCCGGCTTCCAGAGCTAGTTGGCATTAACTCTCTGTCTAATTGCTCACGTTGCATTCCAATCTTCAACGCATTGGTCAGCAATCTTTCCACAAAGACAACTGGGTATATGTGCATAGTTATATGATATAAAAAGTCAAAAATACCATAGTTAGTACAGCGTTGTTGAATAATGTTCTCATCCAATAGGTATCGGAGCATTATATCGACAAATTTACGAATAGCACGAATAAAATCATGCTAGAGAATCAAACACTGGAGCTAAGAGGCTGAAGAACATGTTCAGACTCAGCTTCATATTCCTTTTTCTTTCCCGTCCTTCTCCTGGTGAAGGGCCGAAGAACGCATCTCGATAAGCGGCTGAAAGGGTCTTGCAGACCTTCCATCTCGTAGTGTCCAAACCGCCAATCTCTGTCAATAAACTGGCGCTGGATTGGCTCGTCAAGGCCTCCTGTAGCGGGAAAGATGATAGAAGAATCGTAAAACTGAAGAAAGACAACAAAGAGTCTAAATGAAATAGTACGGCTAATTTATCATTAGAGAAAAAGATGAGCATAAGTAGTTGGACATAAACCAGCTTGAAGAGCAAGCAACAAAGCTAATTATTATTCGTCTCTCCGTTTCTTTATGATCTGGTATTCTTTGTTTCATTTATTGTGCACTTGAGTTCAAGCATGATCTATCATCAAGGGCATCCAACAACACATATATACACGAGAGAACAGGGGAGAACAGGGGAGAATTGCATGAAAGGCATAGCTGATCATTTACCTGCGTACATCAGACCATGCTTATCGACAGCCCGGTAAAAGGGTCGGGTTTTCTTCTCTTTAGCAGCATGTTGAAGATCATCCCAAGCTTGGTCCCGGTCCTCCCTCGTGATCTTACCTGATCTCACTACCTGGAATATTCCTACCATATCAATGAGGAAATAAAGAAGTCCAGGAAACCCAATAAAACAAAACTAGTTCAGATGTCTAGAGTCACAAACCTGGGAAAATAGATGGTAAGAAGGACGAGGAATCCGAGCAAGATTATTCTCACGATCGACTGCTACAAGGCCAAACTTGGGACCATATCCATCAGCCCACTCCCAGTTGTCGGATATGGTCCAGAACAGATAACCAAGCACAGGAATTCCCTGCAAAGTTTATCATCCATGTCAAAGCTACCGATTATTGACAAGGGCATGCTATTTTCGGGCCAGAACTTTGATACTCTTCTCAAGCTAGCCTCTGATCCTGTTATTTTTAATGAAACTAACCCTTCAACATCACAACTTTTACAGACCAAACTTTCCTGTCAAGGTTGACTGACTTGATGTTAGATGTGAGACTCCGTCAGAAACTTTGATTGCAAATTTGTTTGAACTACCCCTGAGTAAACGCCTCTAGGAGGGGTTGTTTCATACACTTTCGCAGTCAAAGTGACTTGCTAGGCTAAGTGGAGCCCACATCTAAAAACACTCAAATTTGACAGAAAGAGTCGGTCTGTGAAAAGTTATGAACTTCGTTTCAGAAACATATCAAAGTTCCAAGGACCAAAATTAGCACTAATTTATCCTATTTAGACAATGGTTGTCAAACAAATAAGTGAAGAGAGGTGAAACCAGAATCATTGCTGCATAGACCGCCAGCAAGTGCTCCAACAAGTATGGTCGACGGATGATATCAGTTTGATCAGCAACTCCATTCTCGGTAACAATGAACGGCACCTCTAAATGTTTGTACCTCTCGTGAAACTGAAGCAGAACACGAAACAACCCATCAGGATATACCCCGCGTCCTGATTCACTGTATTCATCTGTCTCTACTAACTTCAGCCCAACACCGGAAACCACTTCCTGTAGAATGAGAATCGTTAGGTGTCATATACAAGAGAATACTTAATGGAGTTCAAGGGAAAGTAAGAAACCTGTCCATAGTAGTTGATGCCTATGTAATCCAGTTTGTCTGCTATTCTATCAATATACGGAAATATAGTGAGGGAATTTGCAAATGTCACTGCAGCAATATCGAAGAGACCATATGGTCGCATAAAAGACACATGATGTGCCACCCCAACTGGTGGATTCAACGAACTGCTGCAAATTTTCAGAAGAACTATTTAGAAAGCAAATAGAGACTAGCTTGATGCATCTTGCCCGGCTCGGAATGCCAGGAATTCTACTCGGATTGTATGGATACAAAAATAACTGTTGGCAAGACGAAGAAGCTAAAAGATAAACTGGCATTGGAAAGAAAAGAGAACCGCACAAACCAGTTTTCATGGATATAATCGTAGGCTTTGGAGTGTGCAACAGAGATCCAGTGCATCGCCTGGTTGAAAACTCCAGTTGGTAAAGCAGAAGTTGCGACTTCCAGCATATCAGGATGACCACCAGGCCATGCACCAGCACAATAGGTTAGCATACAAAAGACATGGGGCTCGTTAAACGTGATCCAGTAATCTACTAGCTCTGAGACCGCATCAACAACAACCCTGCATCATATGGGAATGTTTTTTTAATAAGGGATTAGTTAATCTAGGCCTGACTATTAACAACTTGAGGGTCTTCAGAAACAATCCTATCTGAATGTCAAATATCAATAACCTGCTTTGCTGCAATCATGGAGAAACAGTAGAGATGTACTACTACAGATTCATTGGAATAAGGCAATAAGCCCACAAGGTCTGTGATAAATTGGCCGACACGTCATGGAAAACGGCTGGATTTGGACAATACGCATAAGAACTCTAACTGGTAATTATCTATCACCAGAAAAACACTGCACCAACCTGGTGAAGTCCATAAAATAATCAACAGTCTTTTCCAGCTTCCACCCACCATACTCACTAGCCCAAGGTGGCAACGAATGGTGGAAAAGAGTCAACATCACCTTCATTCCATACGAATGAACCCTTGTTATGATCCACTTATACCTCTCCAATGCTGCAAGATTAACCTGTGAAAGATTATCTCTCAGTCATGGGATTCAAAAGATATACTACTACTCTATTGTCAAAAGATATTATAGGTACAAAACCTTGCTGCTAGCATTGTACTTACAGCATCCTTAATTCCATTGACAGGCTCCTCAGGCATAATCCGTGTCCAATCTATTCCCATTCTGAACATAGTGACACCAGCATCTTTAGCTAGTTTCAGTTCGGTATCAGGATCAGACCAAAATCTCAGCCTCTCCTCTCTGAAAAAAGTCACAAGCCATCTCTCCAATCAACAGCATACTAAATGCGCACAACCCAGCAGGTATAAAAACATTCAAAACGTACTTACGGATGGGGAACATTGTGCCAAGCTGCTACATTGTGGTGGCACTCTTCATCTGGCACAGACACTTCTTCTTCCTTTTCTTCTTCTTTTTCTTCATCTGTGTACTTCTCGAAACCTCTGATCATAGCCTCCATAGCTACCTTAAGCGTCTTCTTCTTCTTCTTCTTTGCCTGCTTCTTCTTAGCAGTCTCACCTAGTTCTTCTGTGGAAACTGAAGCTTGCTGAGACCCACCATCACCAGCAGCAGAACCAAGTATAGCATCAGCAGTTTGAGTGCCTCCCTGTGATACAGAGTCGCCAGAAGGATTCTCTTCTGCAAACTGGAGCCATGCGTCGTTAAGCTTGTCTTCTACATGAGCCGGGGCGGTTGCCAATCCAAAGAAAAATCCATTTTCTCCTCCTGCAATAACACAAGCAAGCATAATTTCACTTGATTCACCTTATATTTGAACACTAATAACTCCATTGGAACTCCACAATGATACTAATTCCATTTCACTATCCTCTATTTGGTCTGGCTACTACACAAACTGTTAAGCCAAATCAACACCTAACATTCTCTTAGTGGCAGATTCATTTCTCAATAGGAGCAACCAAAAAAAAAAAAAAAAAACACGAAACCTATCTTCAAGCGATTCGCCAGATTCCTAAGCACTACTATGGCGTTTCGCAGTGAATTAGCTCCATCCCCTTATCCTCTCATTTCCCGGCGACAATACAGAACTACTGACCAAAACGAACGCCGAAAACGGCCGCGGTTGCAGCCTCCATTCGCAATAGCTAAACAATCTTAAACCAAACACGACGAGAGAAGTTCCAGTAACCGCAGCCAAACAGGTTTGCACTCTAATTGAGCGACTAGATGCACGAATCGACAGAGGGAAACTCGTCAATGAAGTAGCTAGGTAATAGATAGATACAGCAGCGGGCTAGCTTCGTGGAGTTGGGGGAAAAGAAGATGGAAACGAAGCTTACCGTCAACATTAAAGGACGCCAGAATGTCGGAGCTCTCGTCGATAGGGGAATCGAATGACCGGAGACTCTTCCTCTGGAAACGCCAGAAGGAGATTGCGTTCGAAGCGACGGTGAGGCTAGCGAGGACGCCGGCGACCTTGGTAGCCGTCACGACGATCGCCAAGAACGCCATGGCTTTTCGAACTATGAACACCAAAAGCGAAGAAAATGCAAGTAGGCAGCAGGGAAGCAAGAATGAATTTGAAACCGGGAGCGGAAAAAGAAAGGAAGAATCACGCGAGAAACGGATAGAGTAGACTGTGCAGGAAAAGAGGACAGAGTGACGTGGGGCTGCAAATTCCACGTGTCCGGCTGTGAGAGCGAGTGAGGGAGATGTTCCTGGTGGGCCCCTCGAAATTACTTGGACTCAATTGCCGACGCCTCTAGAAAAATCTGAAACCGGCACGACTCCTCTTTGGTAGGCTGGGTGAGAAACTGAACCAACCGAAACTTATGTAGCGCGTGGAGGTTATTCGTGTTGGAAGATCCAGCCCACTCGTAAAACTAGTCGCCGCGCCAGAAATGCCCACTTGCAAATTTCTAAACGTTGAGAAAGCCCAAAACCGATCCAAATAAGCCCAACAATGTTTTACAAGGCCTTCTCCGGCATCTTTGTAAACCAATTTGTTTTGTTTCAAATTGATACTGAAGATTATTGGGTTATAGGTATAATATGCTCATTAATGTATAATTTTATCAAACATGTCCCTTTATAATAACAAATACCTTAAATTTTTGTGTACCACATATATAAGCCGATACTGGATTAGGCATTGTTAGAGTTGGAACATGTTTTAAAAAAATGTCGAAGGTAGGTGAAATATATAGGTACATACCATTGAAAATGAGGATCGAACACAAATCCGTTTATCGTCCAAAAGAGTTCGTGAGTCGATATAACATATCAAAATCAAGCTGAGTAATACGAAAGCAAGTGGTTTCGTACTAAATGTCATTATATGTCCACTTTATGATAATGGTTTATTAGCTACGAGATAATATGTTCACTATATTATGCAAAACAAAACCAAACCCCCGTTTAGTATTGTTGCTTGTTTCTGATTTCTGTTGTGCTTTTAAGAATTGTGAAAACCAAGAAAAAAAATATGTTTAGTTGGGTTTTTTATTTTTGTTGTGCAACGCAGTTGTACAACCGGGCCCAAATTGGAGAAATGTCAAAAAGTGGCTTTGGATGTGTTTCGTGTCCTATTTTCCTTTATTTTCTTTCTTTTTTCTCTTTCCAATCCATCCATCTCTCCAGTGTCGGCACCACCATCCACCCTTCTCCCCCCACCGTAACCACTCCTCCTCTATTTCTCAATCAAATCGTCTAAGTCACCGGCGTCAACGAGCTCCAAAACCCCCGACTCCGATTCCGACCCTCCTCTCTCGTCGTCTAATCCAACTCTCTCGCCATTTTTCCTTTCACTGTCAAATCCAACTCATCACCCCTTCCCTCCCACCTCTCAAACCAATCGTCGCCAAGTCCAGCCGCCCCCGTCGCCAAGCCTTGTCGGAATAGCTTCCTACGTTGCCGTTGCCACTCCCTACCCATCTCCTCAATTCCTTCCGACGACCCCAACACCCAATCCCGACCCTACTCTCCCTTCCTCCTTCGCTCGCTCCGTCCGTCGCAAACCAAAATTGACGACTGCACAACGTCAAAAGGACAGGTGGATATGGCGATGGAAACAGAGGATCTGTCTTGGAAGGTTTTCGGCGGAGTCGGAGGAAGTGGATGGTGAAGAAGGGTTTCTGCATCTCGGCGGTTGCTTTTGATTTCTAGATTTCCCCAACCACAACAATTTTCTTTTTTGTTGTTTATTTGGGTTGTTAATTTAAGTTGTGTTGGTGTTGTGTTGCTTCCTTGTTTACACAACCTCCTCACAACACAACAAGAAGGAAACTAAACTAAACAGGGCCACTTATCGGTGTAAAAAACAACCATACATGGACCACATATGAACTACCTAGGGTTTTTATACAAAGTCTGGTATCATAGGAATCTTGCTTGCATATATTGGTGTACATTTGGCTTTGTTGAACAAGGATTATGAACAAACCCGTATCACTAATAAGTAATAACATCATACGATCGTCTTGTGGCTTCCACTATGCATCTTGCAAATATAGGTTGCATGATCATGATGAGCACGTACGGCAAGGAGCAGCAACAGCTAGGTGGCCGGTGAATGGTGATGGCTGCATTTCTACTCATCGGCCGGCCGGCCTGCTTGTTTTGTCACATCACTTCCCCAATTTAACCCAGGCAAATCCGTTGCCTTTCAAGTCCAATGGGTATTCACATGCTACTCTTCGTCCCCCACCAATAGCTAGCGGTTTACGTCTTTCAGTTCTTTGCACCTTTGCATAATATATTGTCATTTTTATCTGAATCGCTCAAATTACATGTTTGATCGCTCAAATTACAAAAATCTTTCACAGTTGCCACCCAAATTACTTTTCTTTCTTACTCGCCACTAACTTTACGAATCGTTTCACCGTTAGTCACTGGCCGTTAGACTCCGTTAACACCGTTAACTTTTTGATGACATGGCAAACGGAACTGCTGACTGTGCCGTTAATTGATGACGTGTCAATTTAAAAAGAAATTAAAATTTAAAAATTAAAAATACAATTTTAAATAACTCTTTTTCTTTCCATTTTCCACCTCTTCTTTACACCTCACCATAATTGAAAATTCCTCACTGGGAGAAAAATAGTCACCGTCCCAGCTTCCACCTTCCACCTCCAGCCGCAGTGTCGGCGAGGCTCTCATCTCCTTCCACATCAACTCCTTCAGCTTGTGCCCTTCTCCAGTTTGGTGCGCTCACTCTCAAGCAGCCCATTCGGATCTCCCGGACCCCTCGGTTACTCGATCACCCAGAACAACCATTTCCATCTCCCTGGCGAGCTTCAGGCCAAGTGAACAAGAACCTCCTTCGGATCCGAATGCTCATCTCCGACATCGGAGACCTGATTTTGGGTGCATGTTTTTTATGCTGGCTCTGGTCAACCTTGTTCAATTCGAGCTCGGAACCTTGGAAAGCGACAACTCCCACACTTACGAGTACGCCGCAGTCATCCCACTGGTTATTTTCATTATCGTTGCTAGCTTGATATGCTACTCCCTAGTTCTCTACGCTTTCACTCGCTATTATTGTGGCTCTTTTGTAGATCTCGACCTTTTGGTTTATATCCAGAGGTGTGATGTCTCTGTTTTTAGTTTTTACCTTTTAGTTTCTCTCGGGAAATAGATCGAACATAACGTTATGTGCATTCCAATAGAACATGAAAGGATGTGAATTTGGATTTGGGTTTGATTTGATGTTATGTGGGGCTGGCTGAAGCATTCTCCTCACTTCCTCTGTAAACCCCCGCAACGATTACAAGCTGTATAGCGGGAGTCTTTCGCCAATAGTAGAAGAAGAAGAAGAAGAAGAAGAAGAAGAAGAAGAAGAAGAAGAAGAAGAAGAAGAAGAATAGAGTTTGGAGGTGGAAAATGGACAGGCGAGATCACTAGGGAGATCTTCCCTTGTTCGCTGCAAGTCTACCGCTGCTTCCCTCCGCCTCAAATCCAGCAACCCCAATGGCGTCGTCTGCTCCTTCCTCGACGTCGTCGTCGGTGCCGGCGCGGAGGGACCTTTCTCATAGCCAGATTAAGGCCCGACTCTCTGCTCCGCTGAAGCATCATCTTACCTTCCCACTGCCACCGGATGCGGGGTAATTGCTCTTCGCCGGGACCATTTAAATTGCCGAGTCGACGACCTCCGAGCTTCCCATTTCTTCCTCAGACCAAATTCAGCTTCCCATTTCCTTCTTCTCCTCGACCACGATCGGCTCCGACTCTGGATTTGGCGGCGAGTCGACAAGAGGAGGAACGGGGGAGTGATGCGGCGGCGGCAAGTGGACATGCTTGGGATTGGGGCTTTTTGTGGACGAGCATTTGATGCTACGATGCAAAATGGATTATTTGATTCACCTGGAAAGAATTTCATGGGGGAAGGAATGGTTGTTTATTGATGACACTGTGGAAGATGAAGAGCTTGACCAACAAAAGGCGACAGTGGGGAAGGTGAAGAAGACGAGGGAGAAGGTGGGGCCTGATTTTGTCTTTTTTTTTTAATTAACATATCATTGTTTAACGGTCTAGTCAGCTATTCCGTTTGCCACGTCATAAAAAAACTAACGGAGTTAACGGAGACTGACGGCCGGTGACTAACGGTGAAACGAATCGTAAAGTTAGTGGCAAATATGAAAGAAAAGTAATTTGGATGGCAAACGTGAAAGATTTATGTAATTTGAGTGACCAAATGTGTAATTTAGCCCATTTTTATTACACGAACTAATTATTCTCAACAACGGTAAGTTATTGGACAGACAACACAAATTAATTCAGCTGTAATTTATTACATGCTGTTCTAAACAAAAAAAACCAACTCGTGAACTTGAAATATGTAAATGTCATTAATGGCGGAGCTATAGGGTGAAATCGGAAGGGGATACGGTATTATTTCGCTCAACTTTGAAATACAACTATATGTAAAACTCATAACAAATATTGAAAATAGAGTAGTCGCGCGCGGCAAGGGTTTAGCCATCTTCCCCAGTGACCGCGATTCAAATCTGCCTCCTCCCGTTCATATTTCTGGCTCTATCAATGTATGTCATGTTTTGTGTTTAAATCAAATCTCTAAATACTGAAAATCATAAAAAAAATTCGAACACATACGTACAAGATCACTTCCAATTATATGACAAATTAAGGATAAGGACGGCATAAGAGGATGTTTGTAATTAAACTTGCTGCCAATTGCCACAATATTTTGCCGTCGATGGTACATACTAGAAAAATGATAAAAGAAGAATTTGGTTACGTACGTGTATAGTGCCCAATAAAGAAAAGACAACCTTAGAAGCTTTGCAACAACGTGGCGACCATGATTTGGTATCGTTTTCATTTCCCACGCGTTCGTTTTGTATCGTGTGTTTGTCGTAATATTGTGGGATGCCCATGTCGATATATCGTCAGAACGTAGTACTCCAAAATTATTGGGGTTCTTGTGATAGATTAGCCTTATTAGTTAAGTGAATTGGATTGGATTGTATATAAAATACGGTTTAATATTTACATGTGAAAGGAAAGGACATGCCGATGCCAAAGCATTCGTTATGAAGCGATGCCGAGTGTTTGATTAAAAGAAGATAACACAACAGAAGTTATTGTTGTGGCCTTTTTTTGTTTTGGTTTTATAACTAGTGTTGGCAGAAAAGCCCACGGATTGTTAGAGAGTGGTATAAGATCTAGCAAAAACTTTCTCCCAACAACTCGAGTTATTGGGATCAACTGGTTCTTGATATGGTATCAGAGCTTGTTTGACCAAGTGGTCGTGTGTTCGAATCTCCACGACCCTCCAATATCAACCGTTGATTAAAGCACAAGGTATGGTGGGCCTATGCAAACTTCCAGCAAACTGATTCTTGACACTTAATAAGATATATTTAATTCTTAACCGCTGGAATTAACTTACAAACCTAACATTAAATCCCACTCAACAAAGTGAATGAACGTTGAGCTGAGCTAAGGCATGACGGAAGACCAAAATGAACACTAATCCAAGAAAGGGATGTTCATCATAAACTATACGAGTTGTTTTATTAGGCAAATACATTGTTATGTATACGGTTCCTGTCTTACTTATCTCGATCGTATTGTCATTTGGACTCTATCTAAGTTAGCTACTTAGCTTGCAGCATTTGTTTCATACTTGGGAACGTAATAACTAATAAGCCGACCAATCCCCACGTAACGACAGTGAACTGAATATACGCCATTTGTTGATTTGTTAACAAGGATATGCATGGCGAAAGGTTGTCTGGTTGGTAAACAACATGCACAGGAAGAATTTTAAAATTGGTACCGGAGGTTAATTATATCGGAAAATTAGAGGTAGATTTAATTTGTTTGTGTTGGGCGTGTGACTCGGGCCTGGCCGCGTCAAGGAACGGACGCAACTGGATGGACTCCGACATAGCAGCGCGAAGACCCCGAGCGCGACACCTCATCGTAGTCAACTACGTCCTGGCGCGAAGAGTTTGTGCGCGATGTGAGTTACAGGCGCCGAGGAAGAGCGTAGCGCAGGCAAAGCCAAGAGAGGAGGGAGGCGTAGCTTTCCTCCCCAGGAAGTGGTCACATCAAGGCCAGTGGCAAATCTCTGACACGTCCTAGGTAGGGGGATGGCCTGGACAGGGTCTAAAATCCTTAGTATGTACCAGTGGTCACATCATTGTATCCCAATTGTCACATCTTGTATCCCCACTTGGGTCAACCACTCACCCACCACAACGAAGCCTATAAATACGGCATTTACTACGGTGGGTGAGGGGACCGCATTTTTCACCATTCTCTCTCTATAACTATTACTTCTCTTTCTAAAAGTTCGGACTCCGGTCCTCGCTCAACTCTCTAATTCCTATCTCCCTGATCGAACTTGACGCTCGCGTTTCTTCTTGACCCAAACTCCCATTCGAACCTCACTCCTACACTCAGTTAGGTTCAAACAATTGGCGCCCACCGTGGGGCCAAGGAGAAACGCTAAAGAAAATCCCCCGATGGCAGAGCACAACCACGACCAGCCCGACCAAGCAACACCAGTCAAGGCAATGACTGACCCGAGGATGTTCGCGGAAGCCAGCAACCTCAACGCCGTGCTCATTGAAGAAGAAGAGCCCGAACTGACGGCAAGAGAAATGAGGGATCTAGTGAGAAAGCAAAACGACGTCATAGCCGACATGCAGAAACAAATGAGCCAAGTTATCGCGCTCATGATGAGCAGGGATAGCGCGGCAGCGACTGGTGCGGTGGCGGACGCGCCTCGACGAACCTTGGCGGTAGCGCCACAACAGGCTTTGGGAGAAACGTCGGGGACAGCCCAGCCACCCCAGCACGGGGCGACGGAACTCCCCGCGAGCGAAGCGCCGGGGATCGAGCCACCAGAGCGGGCAGACCTCAGCTTCTTAGAGCAACATCTGTCTCCGCAGTACCGACCCAACCCGGCAAAAAGAGTCCTTCACCAGCCGCTGAGCGCGCAGATAATGGCGGAGAACCTAACAGGAGCGACGCCCGCCCTCCCGACATACAACGGCACGACCGACCCGGAGGACCATGTAAGCACTTTTTGCCTGCGTATGCAACTCCAGACCAACTCCAACGCCGCGCTATGCAGAACCTTCCCGTCGACATTCACCGGCATATGCCTCGACTGGTACAACCGCCTCCCAAATGGAATCATCCACTCATTCGAGGAGTTCATACTCCTGTTCACAACGAAGTTTGCGTCCCAAAAACGGCGCCCGCTTCACCTCAAGGCCCTGATAGATATCAGGCAAAAGGATGGAGAAAACCTGAGAACCTTCTATGCCAGATGGTCCAGGATAGCAATGGCCGTCCGCGACCTCACCCCCGAAACAGCCGCCCATCACCTCATGGAGGCCACCAACAATATGGAGCTCAAGCGGGCGTTGGCCAAGAGACCCGTCACGCTATCGACAGAGTTGGAGATGAAGATCGAAAAGGCGATCACGTTGGAAGAAACCTTGGGGGCAGGGTCCGTCAGGCGCTTTGAGCCGGCGAAAATGCCACGAGAAGAACAGGCGCGACGTCAGCCTCCAGCCGCGATCCCACGAGACCACTTGCTACAGATGCACAGTGGCCCGAAGCGTGCCCCTCCTCCCCCACCAGAGCAGGCGCAACGCGGCCGATCGCCGGACAGGCGCGCGCATAACGCCTACACTCCCCTTAATGACTCAATGAGGAATGTGTTCCATGTCCTTCGCGAGAAGGGTTACAAGATCAACTGGCCTGCCCCGTTGAAATCCCAACCCTACATGCGCGATCCACATAGGCATTGTGAATTCCACAGAGCAACGGGGCACCGAACAGAAGAGTGCCGAGACCTGAGGTACGAAATAGAGGGCCTCATACAGCGAGGGCTGCTGACCGAGTTTGTTCACGTGAAAAAAGAACAAGTTGAGCACCCACAGCACCCGCCGCCGCCACCGCCCCAAGCCGAATATAACGATGACACGGGCGCATACGTAGTGCGCAAGGAAATTGGGGTGGTGACGGTCGAAGGAGACCGCCCCCAAAAGAAAACCAAACGGGAGCGCGCGATGGAGTGCGCGACCACCGACGCGCCGGCAAGGTTCAACCTGAGCTTCGACGACGCGGAATTCCCACAAGGAACCCCATCAGAGG